CAAAGGGGAATGTTTCCAGAGATATCACACATGCAAGCACTTCTAGGAGCTCTGGTAAGTGTTCTCCAAAAATTTTAGTTCATAAAATTAATTAGGAGATTTTATATTAATTTTTAAAGTGAACAGTGCACAAGTTAGGGTGCTAGGCTTAAAAACCCCGGTCCCCAGGGTGATTTAAATATTTAAACAACCGGTCTGCAATGTGTTAAAACCAGTTAATTTTAAAGAAAGTTGTTACTAACTTAACTCTGAGATTACACTTACTTTGCCACTTTCAGTTTCAGATTTTGCATTCTTCCTTTTCTCTCGTTCTTCCAACTGATGTGTCCTCATAGCCTGTCTAAATTCTTCACGTTTTTTATAGGTTGTTTCAAGAGAACTCACATCCAGAGTATCTGTTATCTACAGGAAAGAAACACGCACAAGAATAATAATGCCTAGTGCATATATGCCACTACAAAATTCAAGAAAATGACTCATGCAGTATCAAGGAAACACTACTGCCAAAATTGTGGTTTTGTTTTGATTTGTTTATCATGCTAGCAGTTGCAAACAACTGCGTTCATTTGGGGTTATTGGATTTTTGGACTCTGTCCATCATCTAAGTGAGCACAATATTTCAGAAATTGGATCTGTTTCCATCATCAGGTGAGGCAGTGGGAGCCACATACTCAGTTGGGTCTGTTAGAAAGAATTAACCTGATTCACTGGTTAGGTCTTTCTAAAAGACTCAACAAAGCAGGTGTCTCCCACCCCACTCCCTGATGATGGAAACAGATCCAGCTTCCAAAAAACTGTGTACTTTTTAGAATACCACATGATGGATAAGTCCAAAAACCCAGTAATTCTGAGAATCCTTCAGAATTAACCAATTACAATGCTTGCAAAGTAAGAAATGTTAAGGACATTCACATAATTTCAATTTCACCAACATTTATTATTCTTTGCCTTTCTACCTTATGAAAAGAAAACAAAGGACACAAAAATGATTGGTAAACAAGAAAAAATATATATTTAGGGTCAAGATGGGTAATGCTTTTTTCAAAGGCCTGAGCAAACTTTCTGCAATAATAAGTATGGCCATCTGTCCCACAGTATTATAACACAAAAATCTGGGGATTTTTCATTCAAGGGAAGCCAATATAATGCTGTAAACTGCTGTCACAGAGCATGCTTGCCACAAGTCTGTACACGCATAACTAGAAAAGAAATTCTGGTGCTGAATAGAGACACAAGTATCCTGCATATCTCCATGAAATGCTTCGTATCTGTTACTGAAAATTTTCTTCAATCCTTTCCATCCTCAGTTCTTCTGACTACTTTAGAATAAAAATCTGTTACACTTGTATGTCTGTAATATAACTCAATTTATTCCAAAATAATAAACCTGCTAAAAGACACTGATATACATTGTAGATTCATTAAGTCCGTGGAATGTGGTTTTATCGCATCATATTACAAGGTATTCACATACACTTATGCAGATCCACATCAGCCCTCAAAATAGTTGCCGTTGGCCGCTGTGCAAGTCTGCCAACATTGATATAGCTGTCAAAAACATTGCTGAAACATATTGGCAGTAAATTCCCGTACGACGCTTTGAGGACATTCCACGAACTTGTGTATATCCACATCATAGAAAGGGCTAAATTACAAATTGTTAATATATATTTATAGACTGATGTGCATTATTATTTTATTAACAACTTATCACTGATGTCTCTTTATCATTCATCTTCAAGGTGCAAGCTCAATTGTTTTTAAAGTTTTAGCAGACATAAACCATGACACAATGGATCAAGAGTCTGTTTTTCTAATTCTTGATCAAGAGTACATCTATTTGTCATGATTCTCAGTAACAGAAAAAGCGTTATTACCTCAAGGAATTTCAAGACGTCCTCCTTCAGGAACTGAGTCCACAGAAATAACACTTCCATGCCTTCATTTTCCTTCCAGATTGCTTCCAGCTTCTTGTGCAACAGTATTAACTGTAATAATGAAATGCATACTATAAGAGCATTAGGAGGAATCATGATAGCTTAGTCAGTATGGTGACTATGGTATGGGCCGAATGACCAAGGAACAAGGACTCAAAACCCAGTGCTAGAAATGTTCTCTTTTCCACAGCATCCTAATCTGTGATCCATGCAGCCTCCTATCCAATAGATTTCCCAGGAGGAAAAGCAGCAATAGGGTGTGTCATCATCTAGTACCAAGATTAAGAGTGTGTGGAGCTATACCTCCATGTCCACATGCATCTACATGGTGTGGTGGTTAATGAACCACAGAGAAAACTTTCACAGTCTAATGGATCAATTTGACCAACAAATTTCCCACCTTTTACTGAATCCAAAGATTCTTTACCATGTTCACAAGAGCTTGCCACTGATCTTGGCAAGGGGCCACATGAATCCAATCCACACCCTCCCACATATTTCTTAAGACCCATTTTAATATTTTTTCCCCCATCTATGCCTAGGCCTCCCAGGTAATCTCTTCCCTTTAGATTTTCTGACTAAAGTACATATTTATTATAATTCCCATGCATGCTGCATACCCAAGCCATCTCATCTCCATCGATTTATCACATTAATTACAAAGCTTCTCATTTTGCACTTTCCCTGTTACTTCCTCCATTTTGGGTCTTAATATTTTCCTCAGCACCCTGTTATTAAACAACCATCATGTATATATGTCCCTTAATCTGACACACCAAATTACATGCAAAGTCAAAACAAGTAAGTTTAGATAACATCTATAAAAGCAATGGATAAATAAAATACAAGCACTTGTAGATTCCATTTCAACTGTGTGCCGAGTGCATGTAAACAAATGCAGATATAAGGATGAGTTAAAGGCACAGTTCACACCACACTAACTGTTCCACAATATCCACTGTGTGTAAAAGTATTATTGTTGCAATTAACAGAAGTATCATGCATACTGCATGAACAGTATTTCCCCAGCCTGGAAGCCAATAAGCAGTGAACCCATTATCATCTGTCACCGATGTTTTGCTTATGTACACTGCTTAGACATTCCAAATACATTCCACATATGAGTTCAATCAACTTATATAAGTACCTTATAACCTTATTCCACACCAAGGCCACCATGATCTTCATATAAAGTCTACATTTAAATTTTGTGTTGATTTCTGTTTCTAATACACCTTTCAGAACTTTTGTTCTATACTGAAAATTCTGGTGGTCATAAACAACATTACACCATTTCTTTGCCCTGGTATTGGCACCTGTCATCATATTTATGTCAAGTCTAATGTACTCAAACACGTAACATCTCAAGCTTTCATGGCAGCTAAAGTTAATAATTTTTTTCCAGCTATCAGCCATATTAGGTGAATAAAAATTATTTATCTTTTGGGGACCACCTCTAAGATGGTCCCAGAAATTCCAGTAACTTTTAACCAACTGAGAGCCCAAGACAATTCCATTAATATTCAGACTTCACATAATTCAAGCTTCTTGTCATATGACTAAAAGTGAATATTAGCACCTTCTCTACTTCAGCTGGAATGACAAAAATGACCTCTTATCTTCAACAGAGGGTCCATTGTGAGTCTGGTACTCCATACAGTACATTTTCATTTTCTGAATAAGTAGATCCCTCTACTGGCTGAAACATGTTTTTGGGTCACCTGCTTCTCAAACACAAAAATATTCCTTGCAAATGTATTATACCATTTTCTTCCCAGTACTGATCTATAGAGTTTGAACTCAGTTTCATTTACCAACAACATATTGAAGAAAGTTGGAAGCTTTCTACATTGGGGATGTTTTTCAGGGGAAAAAAAAAAAACCTGAATGTAATCTAAATAAACACACTTTTATAGTCTATAGTGTGTTAATTTATATATACATAGGTTTCAAACTAATATCTTTTCTGGTGTTCCTGGCTTATTCTTCACCTCTCTTTGATGTAATTCACACCAAATTCCTAGTCTTTATTAGTCTGGTGCATTAAAAATGTATGCATGAGAATTTCTGAGTCTGGATTCCCTTTGATGTCATGCTGTAGAATTCAGTACATTAAGCACATCATACCTTATTGTTCTGCAACCACTGGCAAGACAGCGTGTATGTAGGTGATGAACGAGATGGATAATCACAAGGAAGACTGAAGTGAAGACTTATGGGTGGAAGATATTTCAATGGCAGTTCTTCTAAACAAGAATCTAATACAAAAAGAAATGTTATCATTAATATTACGGCACAAATGACATGTGTAAAAAAATCATAACTTTAGAACAGCTTGGAAATGTGTTGCCTTAAGTAAATGACTTATGCAATTTGTTATCTGATTCTGCTCCGGTCAAACTAACTATTTTACATGATGAATACGATGGATAATATTGCCATCAGTAAACGAATCATGCAAGCTCTTTTTGATTTTGATCTAGTATTATGTAAGTATTTTACTTTGGCCTCCAATGTTTATATGTTACCAAAATAACATTTTTCTTAACCTTCCTCCCGTAAATCCCTGAAGACAACTTTGAAACCCGTTGGAAGATCAATGTAGGCATAAAACTGCCCTCCAAGAAGGTTATTTTCTTCATGAATTTGTATTTCTTCCTCGTTATAAATACTTTCCAATACGCATATTTCATCTCTCTGACTTTCTTTGTTCGACATGACTAAAATTAAATGCCAACTAGTATTACACTTTACGTCTCGAGCACACTTAACGAACTTTACCTACTTCTCTACCTATGACAGTGACCTAGGTCATTTCCGCTGCGACTCAGAGAACTTTCATGGATGGCAATTACTCTCGAGATATCGAAGTGGCAGAAGGAAGTTTTTGTCAGGTTATTATTCCGAACTATTAACTCAAAAGGAAGATTTGTTGTTTATCTAGCGATCTCTGTTAAAATTAAACTACTCCCATACATGGAAATGGGGTAGTTAAACCTACGTTAAATTTCAGTACACAAAATTTCATTATACAAAAAACAAACCACCGAAATATAGCTAGCTTGAAATGAGTGGGAAATTTGTACACTCAGAGGGAAATGTAAGGGCTAGGACACCAAGGAAACTGGCAACCGCAACGCAACCGCAATTTCCGAGAATTGTTATCAGCCTGAATTGCACACGTTACTGAACGGAGCAGCGAAAATTGAGGAACCGGCAATGCAACTCGCGGAAAGTGTCAGAAACTCCATGCAACGGAGCATGCCAGTCTTTTCACAATTGCACTGGCCGCGTGGTTTCCTAGTATTAGCTGTTCATATAACGCGCTTCAGTAATGCATTTGTTTCTGAAGATGTTGCGAAAGGTTGACGAAAATGCTAATTTTGTTTTTCGGCAGTTAACTGAGCAACAGTCTGCTATATAAGACAAACGCCACACACACTATGCTAGACAGGACAAAATAGATTTGGCTTGGGAAAAGTTTCTCATGAAACTAAGGAAACAATGTTTCATTTTCATAATACTGTATTTAAGCATCTTGTTGCATTGATATATCATTTATTTCACATATGTTTCCGTCTTAATTTCAACTTATTATATAGTCACCCTTCTTCAACATTACATGGCTAGGGTGTATGCGGCCATTTTCAGGTGTCTTATATTTTACTAAAATACCTGCACTGTATGTCAAAATTTCGTATCGCGTGTGAACGCAATATTTCCTGATTAATATAAATTTACCTTAATTAAAACAAACTAATTAAAATCCCAGTATTTTCCTCATGGTCGTCGTCCTCTCTTCTCACGCCGTCTCAACTACCACCACATTATGACAGGATCAGTACTATTATCCGACATTGCAGAAGGTAAATGCACGAAATTAAAAAATACAATCATGCATTACGTCAGACGAACATACCTACCAGTTGCCTGTTTTAAATCGGTCACATTTCTCGGAAATTTCGGTTGCCAGTTTCCTTGGTGTGCCCTCGCCCTAAATCATTTAATCTTCTCTCAGTCGATACTGTGTATCGACCGCAGATATGTCATTATTACAATTAGTAACACGTCCTAGTGTACATATTCATAGTCAAAGTCGAAGTTACTTTGCGACTGACGTGTATACCCATTGCTATGCAACGGGTCGTTAAACACATTTCAGCAAACACACGCACACGTAACAATGGGACGCTCCTTTATAGATATAGACTGTTATAACTGTTTGTAGTTACGATCTGTAAGTGATCAATAAATCTAGTCACCAAGCCAAACCGTGTCTATAGTCACTAATACACGTTACAGTATTTTAAATTCTGCTGTATCTGAAATCAGAATTATAATATGTTTGTATGTTCGTGACCTTAATGGTTCAACAGTGCCGGAGTTAATCATCTGAAGTCTACGAATATACCACACTCATATTTTCAGTATTACACAAAAATAAACGGACACTTCTTATTTGCAATATTGTATATCAGCGTCATATTGTGTGTGAACTACTTATTACAGTCCTCAAAATTAATGGGTTTTTGGACTTCGTCAATCGTCCGGTATTCTAGAAACCAGAAAACACCAAAAAAAAAAAGAGCAAACTCCCTGGTTTTAGTCCGCAAGCGAACTATACCGACCGAGCGACCGCCGATTGTCGGCGAAGTTTGTGCCAACTTTAGCGGAAAGAGGGTATCGCGTGGTCAGGACAACGAATTTCCACGACCGTAACTTTCGATTTTCTAGACCGGAGCCGCTATTTCCTTGAAATAGCTTCTCAGTTATCCTTACGAGGCTGAATGGACCCGTTCCAGACCCACTACTCAGAAAATCTGGTAGCGCCGGGAATCGAACCCGGACCTCTGGATCGGCATCCAGGAACTGACCACTAGACCATGGAGGCGGTCCCAGAAAACACAACATTTCAGAAAATGGATCTGTTTCCGTTCTCAGGTGAGTTGGGAGACATCTACTCTGTTTGTTTAGAAAGAGTTTTCAGAATACCGGACGACGGACAAATTAAAAAAGCTTAGTAATTCTGAATGTTACATATCATCGTCAGAGCCCAATAGAATCTACTTATTATATTCCTAGTTTCCGGCAAAACAATTTCCGTGTAAATTGAATAAATTTGTACTGGATTGTACTTTACAATATGTTTTGGCCATTTATGGCCTTCGGTAGGTAAGTCATTTTGCATTCACGCCCTACTTTCCCCCCTAAAATGTAAACGTTGGCCAATGTAGAGAAAAGACCGCAGAATGCATATGACCTTTCCCCAAAGTAAAAAGAAATTGACCAATGTAAAGAGGAAAAACAGAAGAAAGCATATGACCTCCCTCTAAAAAGTAAACACTATTCAAAGAAGAAGAAAAAGATGACAAAAAAAGAAGAGCGCGAATGTAGAATGATTTACCTGATGATGGCCGTAAATGGCCGAAACATGTGAAGTAAAAAGCAGTACAAGTGTATTCATTTTATATACGAACTGTTTTGCCGAAACCTATAAAACTATTACATCTCTTATTTATTAACATTAGGATACTTCAAGTATGGAGAATGGCTTTGTAGGCGTTGAATAAGAATTATGATGGTAAGCTACTGAATGCTTTCATATCAAGTTCAATATCGTAATGGAATTTTGATCGTGCAAAAATGCATTTAATTCAGACTTCTGAGGCCACTCCGTACCCTATCTTATGGCAGTCATAACTGCTGGTCTAGAGTAAACATAGTAAGGGGATTATGATAATGCAGTGCTGGATTTGCTGGTCTTGCATTCTGCTGTTAAGTTCTGTAACCTTGAAAGAAAAGAACTGACAAAAATGCAAACGAAGAATTTTCTGAATTCAGCATTTCTTTATGAATTAAAATCAAGGTCACCATATTGGCGAGTTTCGTATAATGATAACGAATTATACGCAAATAATCACAGACTCACCTTCATGCATTCTACATCAACAATTGTGATACAAACAACTATGGTTTTTTTCATGATTGTTTATGATTCATACTGCCCTTGGTACATTTCAGACACGAAAGTTACCTGCACTGCATAATCCTGCATTGTCGCCGGGTAGAAGTTGGTTGCGAAGACGTCCGTGAGGGCAATAATGAAAACATTCTGGCTTCAGAACTGAATGTGTGTACGACATGGGAAACAAAAAGGAACTCCGTGGCTTGAGCCCACAAGCAAACTATACCGACCGAGCGACCGCCGCCTGTCGGCAAAGTTAATGCCAACTTTTGCGGATATAGTGTGTCGCGTGGCCAGCGCAACAAATAGCAACGGCCGTTAATTTAGATTTTCTAGACCGGAGCCGCTATTTCCTTGAAATAGCTCCTCAATTATCCTCACGAGGTTGAGTGCACCCCGTGAAACATAAAACGAAAATCAAATCCAATTTAATGGCACAAAATCCGACACTAACCTCATTCTCCTTGATTAAACCTAACCTCATTCGAGCTCACCTAACACACATACGCGAGATACCAGAGTGGGCAGTTTCATGCAGACGGAATGAGCCATTTCAAAAGATGAAAGTAAACAACAACCAAATTAACTTTTTTACTGATGTAGATGCTTCAGAATCGATAAATTATGCTAGAATAAAATGGACAAGACGAAACCACACAGAACCTAAGTCAAGACAGGCGCTTAAACCGAAGCTGGAGTTGAATTTGGCCACGAGAGTGCGCTAACGATACGTTACAAGGACAGTGATAACTATATAAGGCCAAGAACGGATGTGTGTGAAATAAGGTACCTAAAAATAAAAAAAAATAATGTAGACACAAATCTGTCATTACATTCATGTACTCGTAGTCCTTTAACATAATGCCATGTGTATCTGTGACTGTAGACGGGGTTTGGGTTGGTGAATGGATTTACTGACCACTTATACACACGACTCATAAATACAAGCAATTACAGCGCCACCGCTAATCTCCAAGATTCTCAGATCACCACAGCACACGCTAAGCCTTTTCCAGCCTGCTGTGTCTTGACCAGCCGCTCCATGGCAACGGCTTCTAAAAGTGGAGCTCCTTCATTTGCACCGACCAAGTCTTCCCTTCACAGATTTTCACACAAATTTTGTCCCTTGCTTACACTAGCTCGGCACAACCACGTAGAAACTCCCCGTTTCCATTGTTGCAGTCCAACTGTTGTATTATTAAGACTCTGCTGTCTAGCAACGGGAATGTGTTTACCGAGATGTTTCGCATAAACGCTCGCTGTTAACAGAGTAACTGCTTACCAACTGGTCTATACACCACAATAACATAACACCTCAAACTGACCTAACAAACCTAATAAACATTAGATATGTTTATAAAGTCACAGGAAGGATAACCCATATTCACTCATTGCACGAGGCTGAGTACATCCATGCAAAAGGTACACGAAATTGGAATCAAAGGATTACGTAATGCCAACGACGCTCTTAAAGAGGACGATGTTTCGGAACAGAGGATTACTTTATGGGAAATATGNTGGGGGGGGGGGGTACTGACTTCTGGATCAAGGTTTGTTCCAATGATAGCATGTTACGGGGACTGTAGTGGCGACATACTGACACATCCTACTGAACTTACGATGTGCACATTCTAAAAATTAGAATTCAGTTTGAAAAACGGGAAATTCCAATTTAAACTCTTCTTCGGCTATACGGTTCTTTAAGTTTAACCTTTGCCTCATTTTTTTTGGCGTGGGTCCTGAACAAGTAATGTTTTCTGAGGAGAGGTTGTTAGTCTTTACCCAACCCCCTTAGGAGAACCGCGGTATACTCCCTCAAGGGGGTTCGCTTCACCACGCCTAAAGAACCCTCCATACCCTCGGCTTTTCTGTATGGGTTTTCCTTCCCGCTTGAAGGCGCCGGATACTCCCGTTTCACCACGCTCCGTCTGCCACATCTGGGCTCTCACCCCAGAATGTGTTACCCAGGGGTCACTACGAGGTGGGTGAGCTAGGATTTACTGGTAGAGCCCTACTTAACAGGTGGTGTTCTGGTACCTAATGATGTGCACCTACTGTATCAGTGCACCCCACCAGAACCATCTACCAGCCTTTGTCCCCCCTTCCAATTAAACTCATCTACATTAAATTTACTGGGGGCACGCGGTAGCGTAGTTGGTTGAGGCACTATGATGGCGGAATGTTGCGGGTTCAAGCCCGATGAGGTCACTGGATTTTTTTTTCAGTTGACCTAATCCTTCCAGCCGCACTATGGCCCTTGGGTCGACTCAGCCTCAAACAGAAATGAGTACCAGGAATTAATTAAATAATTTTATGGGGAGTAAAGCGCGGCCGGCGCGTAAGGCTGACAACCTTACCGCCATCTTTGAGCCGACTGTCTAGATAATGTGAGAGCCTCGACGTCTCACAACCCTATGGGCTTTCACGGCCTGTTACAGGGATAGCTTTATTTTTCTACTTACTTTCACATTAAATTTACGGAAACCTTGCCAAAACGCACGTGGAGTAACAACCGTAAAGAAACACAAAAGGAACCAAACCATGCAATAAGAGAATGAGGAGTAGCAAAAGAGCATGAGGAATGGAAAAATGGGAACTCGGGGCCAACGAGGTTGATGCTATGTAACAGATTAAGACATGTATGGACTCTTGAAGGAAAAAATTGTCGTTTTTAATGTTGTGATTTCGTAACGAATCCAATCCCAATAGCGTAACGCTCAAAACAACTACAGACTGCTGTTTTACCTATGTCCTAATTTTCTTATTGGTCGAAGAGCCAGAAGGTAAGAGACCACTGGGAAGACCAAGGCGTTGGTAGGTGGACAATATTAAAATGGATCTTAAAGAGATGGGATGGATTGGATTGGTCTGGCTCAGGATAGGGACCAGTGGAGGGCTCTTGTGAACACGGTAATGAACCTTCGGGTTGCATAATATTCCGGGACATTCTTTAGTAGCTGCAGATTTGGCGGCTCCTCAAGAAGGGATCAGCTCCATAACTAAGTGAGACTTCTGGAACAGTACTGGTTATTATTCAAAAGTTGAGAAAAATAAGAAACAAATTATGCAAAACTTGATTTTCTCACAACTATGGTTATGAAGAGCTTTATGTTCCAGGATATAACGCCGTATAGTCCGCTGAAAGTCAACCGACGTTTCGGAGGAACATTTTCCCTTCAACTTCAGTGTCTCAGAATAAGTCGAAAAGGAACCAGCTCTGCTTGCCACCTGCACCTGCATTCACGCTGGTTACTTGCTCGGCTTATTGTTCGACCTTGAAGATGAAGTCGACATGTACCTCCGAAACGTCGGTTGACTATCAACGGACTACACGGCATTCTATCCCATAACATAGAACTCTTCAAGTAAGAAATTGAACCTCTCCCATTCTAACCTCACAATTATACATAAAGACAAACAGTTGGCAGCCGTGGGTTTTGTCCTTGCAGCATATTACAAGGATTGTTATCGTCTCTTACAATTTTTGTTGCCATCTACATGAAAAAAAAAATCTGAGTGCGTTAGCTATCATCGCTACCTTGTTACCCACAACATCAAAAATGCTGGTTAATGATTTTATCTGGTCATATGGAGGGGAAGAACAGACAGACATGCGTCACCATTAGTCGACAAATGTAGCACATAAAAAAGCCACGTCTGTGAGAGAGTTCTCAATCCTCTGCGGAAGGTACAGGAGATAAGATGAATAACGCTGTGTTTTATTTCGTGTTCATGGTGACGTCTGCACTAGGAACATATAATGTGAGGCTATATGGTCCACCCGCCATGTTGACCAGACAAGGTCTTCCGTATAGTGGCAAATATTTTCTTAAAGACTCCGAAAAGAACTTTACTTTTCCTGTAGGATTCTTGTTTGGAACTGCATCATCTTCGTATCAGATTGAAGGAGCTTGGAATGAAGATGGTAAGTTACTGTTTCACTACTAGACAGGTGCAGTTCCTATTCTGGCAGTACAATTCCTTATTTAACCTCCCGTACACTTTCCCGTAAACCGCGACGTTACATGAAGCGCCGATAAGCGGATTCATTTTTACTGTAAGACTGTTAAGAAAAATGTAGGTTACGTTCCTCAGTCTTGAGTTCGGATAGCTCAGTTCGTGTTGCGCATGGCTACGGACAGGAGGGTCTGTGTTCGATTTTCATCAGTTCAAAATATTGCTCTTCTCCACAGCGTCCAGACCGGATCTGGGGCCCACCCAGCCTCCTACCCAATGGGTACCGGGGGAAAAGCGGTAGGGGAGTGAAGCTGACCACTCAACTCCACCTAGCGCAAAGGTAAAAAATGGTGGAGCTATACCTCCACACCCACATGTTTTCATGGTACAGTGCTTAACTAATTAAGCAGAGATACAGCTTCACCTTGACCTTTACGTTCCTCAGCCTTTCGTCGCCCCCACAACATGGACTACAATACAGACAGTACGAAGCGAATATAGATACTTGGATATTCTTCGCTATAAATGAAATTATAAATTTAAATTTTATTTATTTAACATTTAATGGGGATAAACGGTAGCGTAGTTGGTCGAGGCACTATGCTACAAGCTGGAAGGTCGCGGGTTCGAGTTCCGATGAGATAGATTTTTTTTTTCAAATGACCTAATCCTTCCAGCCGCATTATGGCCCTGGGGTCGACTCAGCCTCTAACAGAAATGAGTACCAAGAATCTTCCTGGGGATAATGGGCTGCCGGACAACGCGTAAACCTGTCAATTTCACCGCCATTTGTTAACCGATTGTCTAGAAAATTTGGAGCCTCGACGTCTCACAATCCTACGGACCTCTACGGCCTCTCAAAGGGATAGCTTTACTTTACCTTACATTTTATGTGTGTGTTTCAGGCAAGGGAGTTAACATATGGGACGAGCTTGTCCACAAGCATCCAGAGTACGTTGTAGACCGATCGAGCGGGGACGTGGCCTGCGATTCCTACCATCGGTACCGACAAGACGCGCAACTTCTCAAGAACCTCGGTGTGAGTAGAACCTTGATGTGGCGCCGTGTAGATATTGTGTTAACCGACGTTTTGGAGGAACGTATCGCCTCCAGTTTCAGGGTAGAAGACAAGAAAAATTCGCGAGCGAACCAGCGTGAGCAGGTGCAACAGACTGAGTCCAGCTGGACACAACCTGGACGTTTGTGTCATGGTCTCTAAGATACTTTGAATATTGCTACGTTCAATGGACCGCCTCTGTGATCTAGTGGTCAGAGTTCCTGGCTACAGACCCAAAGAACTTGGGTTCGTTTCCCGAATCGACCAGATTTTCTGAGAAGTAGTGGGTCTGGAACGGAGTAAACTCAGCCTCGTGAGGATAACTGAGGAGCTATTTCACAGAAATAGAGGCTTCGGTCTAGAAAACCGAAATTAACGGCCGTGGGGATCCGTTGCGCTGACCACGCGACACCCTCTATACATTAAAGTTGGAACTAACTTCGCAGACAAGCGGCGACCGCTTGGTCGGTATAGTTGGCTTGCAGACTAAAACCACGGAGTTTGTTTGTTATTGGTATGTTCAATATCTTTCAAATGCGCACGATTTATTTGATTTCACGAAAAATATATACCGTTTTATTAAATACAGTAATATTACCGCAGGTTCACTTCTACCGGTTCTCCATATCTTGGTCGAGAATTCTCCCCACTGGACATGTGAATGTCGTGAACCAGGCGGGCATTCAGTACTACAATAATCTCATCAACGAGCTGCTAGCCAATGGAATAAAGCCTCTGGTAAGTATAACGGGCAAGAATATATAGCGTGTCCCAGAAACACAATTAATACATGCAACAAATATTCTTTTGAAAATTGTGCCCTTTCTGCATGTGAAGCATGCGGTGGCGTAGTTGGTTGAGGCACTATGTTACAACTCTTAAGGTCGCGGGTTCGATTCCCGATGAGGTCATTGGATTCCTTTCAATTGACCTAATCATTCCTGCCGCACTATGGCCCTAGGGTAGAATCCACCTCTAACGGAAATTAGTACCAGGAATCTTTATGGGGGGTAAAGGGTGGTGGCACTTAAGACAGACAACTCACCGCCATCTGTGAGACGATTTTATTTTAGTGGGCGTGGCCAAATTTGTCCGGAAAGACTGAGGAACGCCATGAAGAACTTCGAAAAGGATAGGCGATGTCCCAGTTGAGATTTGAACCAAGCTCTTCCCTTATACATATGAGAAGCGTTACTGTTTCAGCCAGCTCTTCGATTTAGGCTTGTCAAACACTGAAGCATTTCAAGGACAGCGACTGTACGTGTAGATCTGTCTGCAAAAATGCACCGTTTAAAGCTAAGTCGAGGTAGGTGCACATCAGCAACGATTCTATTGAGTTCCTTTGTTTCAGGTTACGATTTACCACTGGGACCTTCCTCAGCCACTGCAGGATCTGGGCGGATGGGCCAACCCCGTAATGGCGGACTATTTCGAGGATTATGCCTATCTACTTTTCTCTAATTTTGGTGACAGGGTTAGTTACATTTACGTATTCTAATTTCAAATCCCTTATCCCTTCTAGGCACGAAAGATCTGGTATAAATAAGCTTAAAATTATAGGAGCTGATTTCTTGAACAGTGATCGCCTCTGTGGTCTTGAGGGCAGAGTTCCTGGCTACAGATCCAGAGGTCCGGGTTCGATTCCAGGCGCTACCAGATTTTCTGAGAAATAGTGGGTCTGGAAGGAAGCTCACTCAGCCTCTTGAGCATAACTGAGGAGCTATTTCAAGGAAATAGCGGCTCCGGTCTATAAAACCGAGATTAACGGCCGTGGGTATCCGTTGCGCTAACCACGTGACACCCTCTAACTAACTAACATCGCCGACAAGCGGCGGTCGCTCAGTCGGTGTAGTTTGTTTGCGGACTACTGGCGACGGAGTTTGCTTTTTGTTCTGTTTGATTTTTTAACTGTAAGTATCGCGACATGGCATCAATAGCTGGCAGTAATATATAACACAGAAGACCACAGTATGAACACTTTCTCTTGTTGTTTATAGGTTAAAGCGTGGATAACATTTAACGAGCCAGATTCATTCACTGGAGGCTATGGGACTTCCGGATATGCTCCAACGTTTCATGCCCCTGGGATCGGTGAATACCTGGCAACTCGCACAGTACTGCTGTCACACGCAAGGGTTTACCATCTGTACCAAGCCTACTTCCAGAAGTTGCAGCGAGGTCTGTGTTCACACTGAACTCCATGTTATCATTTCCAAGTCAACCAGAACTCAAGGAACTCCAAACAAATACAATACTCCACCCACTGTGGGAACGAGGGTGCGTCATCGACAGCTAGTGACGTAGACCGTTATGTCATCATTGCAAAGTCAATAGATTTCAGTACTTTAAATACACATCCGCCTACCGAATGTGTAAGATCGAGAAAAACCGAAGTGAACGGAGAAGTTCATGGAGGTAGGCCTAGGCCCACTGGAGCTGTAGTGCCAAGGGGGGGGGGGGAAACATCCGGTATTCATACTGTCACGTGTAGTGGGGTTCTAGATGGGATGATTGGCTTTTATGTTGATGAGTATTAATGTGATTGAGGGAAACCGCTCAGTGCAAATATGTGGAGATCTTAACCCAGCGCGTTGGCAGCATAGGCGCACCGAGCAGAAGGACAGTATTTATTAGAGCAATCAAACAATGAGAAGTCCCTAAGATTGCTGGGAGGAACACGAAGGCTAAANGCTGAGTCGACACCATAATAATAATAACAATAATAATGCTCACTGGATTGCCTTGTGACTGGAAATACCTTATTCGAGCCTTGGTAATTATAATGCTGGAGAACCAACTTTTCGCGGGGCTTGTCCTCTTAAGGGTGCAGTTCGTTTCACAGATGTGTATATTCATACATCCTAAATTCATTGGAGACACAGACTTTACTCAGTGGGGATTATAGATCTAAAACAAAGTTACGAATTTTGCCGCGTTTAATCCTGGACACTGCACGATCATCTTTATTTCGATGACAGATACAAATAGGGTACACATGCACAAGTGTACTGTGCATCGAAGTAAAACACATTCCACTAGTAAGGAATAACAACAGTAAAACAGTAATTACCGTCTGTTAATTATTATTTGATTTTATTATTTTCATTAAGGACTGTTGTGTACACGGTCACCTTTTAATTTGGACAGTCTATAAAGCTCGAAACCCAGAAATGACAGTTTTCTTGATGAGAGATCCGCTGCGTGAGACTTATCTTTGTAACTTTAATGACTGATGTTCAGACTATAACTGGAAAGATGACACGAACGGATGGGGTACTGGTACTTTCGTTATGAACTAACCTACTCAATAGGCCGCACCATAGCTCAAGCGTTTAGTCGCCAGCTTCTCACCGCGGCGGCCAGTGTTCGAGCCCGGGTCTGTTCAAGTGGGATTTGTTGTGGACAAAGTGGCGCTGGGGCAGGTTTTCTCCGAGTACTTCGGTTTCCCCTGCCAATCTTCATTCCACCAACTGCTCCACAATCACCCTCACCTATCATCTGGGGCTGGTACAATAGGCCAGAAGTGGCCGCAGTACAATGGACTTAGTCCCACCCCACTAGCAGTAAAAAAAAGTTACGAATTTCTTCCCGTTCTGAAGATTTCCTGTTTCTGTCCTAGGGTGCTAGCCCGCTGTCAAAATCGAGTTCAGTCTAGTCGAGTCGACTGTGACTCAGATCCTGCACTGTTGCTCTTCATAAATTCATGCGCGCCCCTGTCACACTGAGCCATGTCGGGACCAGTGTAGTTGAGTGTCTGCCTTTATGGCATCGTGATGAAGCACAGTAGATTAGACTCGACTGGAGTCGATTCGGTTAGCGTGTCAGGATTCTTAGGAACCGTGCAATGGGATTCACCAACTGAAATGTAACGGAAGTGGCACTGATTCCAGGCAAACTGGGGATTACTCTGAACATTCACTGGTGTGAACCTCTCACAAATTCTACGGAAGACATAAAGGCCTGCGAAAGATATCAGCAATTTAAGGTAAGTGCACCATTTATATTACCCAAAGAGACTAAAGAATATTTCCATAAGAACTGGTTTAAATCTTTCTTCTTCTTCTTCTTCTCCTCCGCCTCCACCTCGTCCTTCTCCTCCTACCCTCCTCGTCCTTCTCCTACTCCTCCTTCTCCTCCTACCCTCCTCGTCCTTCTCCTCCTCCTCCTCCTCCTCATCCTCCTCCTTCTCCTCTTTCTCTTCCTCCTCCCCCTCCTCATCCTTCTTGAGCGACACGTCAGAGACAAACTCGGCCCAAGGTCTCCTGCGTTCTGGGTTTAGGAATATTTTTACAGAAATTTGCTAAGGTTCTACGGATGACTGATCGTCCCATTGAACAGAAGGATTGACGGATACTCCGAGTGGCATTCAGGCCCCTGAACCCAGGGTCTGAGCGGTAAAATACCACACGACTTGGACCTGCGGCCATTTTGGTACGTGAACTAAATGTTGACTCTAAACAAAATCACTATTTCATAACACTGTATCATTCGGTTAATATTCGGAATATTGTCTGAATTGATTTTTGATCATTTTTGGTAATATTTTAAGTTTTAATCGTCAGGAATGTGTAGTTTGATTGGTACAAGCCTTTCGAAGTAAGTTCCTTCTTCCATCTTCGGGGGAAAACGGTTCTTTCGAAAAATTGGTTCCAGCCCTCCAAACTACACTACATTTGCGTTCTAGAATATTAAAATCTTGATACTCAGAGCCGTAAGAATGTCAAATCTCGCCTTTGCATTTCTCTTAATTTCAGGCGACGTTTAAGTGTATGATCTACTGCATCTACCCCAGTTTTATGAAATTCCTCGTCTGTTATTTAATCAAAAGATTGACTGGAGTGACCACAAGAGGCAGCCTCCTAACCTACTCCAAAGGAAAGATTTACCCTTTAAAGCACAGATTTCCTCCAAAACTACTTAAAAACCAATACCAACTCCATAGGAAATCGCTAAGTTTCCATTATGAAGAGTAGTTGATTGATGCTGTTTATGAAAATAGTTGAGGTTGATTCTGAGAATCATAAGCACATATAAGCATATTCTGTGGAGAAATAATAGTCTCCTTAATGTTACACGAGGTTGTCTATATAGCAATTCTTCCTCTTCAAAGGACTCATCCAATCCACAACCTCACACACTATTTCTCTGAGGTCCATCTAGGCCTGCATGTACCAGGTGCTTCCTCTAATTCCCTTCACCTCTCCAACGCTTTCATTTTCCTTTCTTTCTGCCCTTCCACAGGATTCACGCAAGTCCAAGGCCCCCAAGACTCTCTGAAACAACATTACGTAACGTCATAGCATTTACGTGAGCAGTTTTTAGACTCCTGCCCAATCATAAACCTAGAGGACCACTCCTTGTCGGTCGATTTAACATTTTTTATTCAATATACAGAGTCTTTGCCAACTTTTGCGGATAGAGGGGGTCACGTGGTCAGCACAACAAATCCCTACTGCCTTTAATTTCGGTTTTCTACACCGGAGACGCTATTTCCTTGAAATAGCTCCTCAATTATCCTCACGAGGCTGAGTGGACCCCGTTCCAGACCCACTACTTCTAAGAAAACCTGGCAGAGCCGGGAATCGAACCCGGGACCTCTGGACCAGTAGCCAGGAACTCTAACCACTAGACCACAGAGGCGGGAACTAACTTCGCCGACAAACGGCGGTCGCTCGGTCGGTATAGTTCGCTTGCGGACTACAGGCCACGGAGCATATACAGTATTTGTCGCTATCCTCTATATCTGGGGGCTGTCTCCTCTGTCCACAGGCTTGATAGCGTTGCATGCTACACGACCCGTCATATGTTCCACGTCAAGGTTAAATTCTTTGGAACTCAAGTTAGCGAGCAGACAATGTATGTTATGATACAATAAACTGGTTTACGTTCGTGTTGTGCAGTTGGGCCTGTTTGCACACCCGATCTTCAGTTATGAAGGAGATTACCCTGAAATTGTGAAGCTCAGGGTTGGACAAAAAAGCAAAGAAGAAGGTTTTAGAAATTCCCGTCTGCCGCCTTTCTCTCTGAAGGAAATAGATTACATTAAAGGTAAGCTGGTCTGCCTATGCTGTAGGAGACATGATGACAAAGCGCCGATCACAGTGGCCGCGCGGTCTAAGGCATGAACCGTCTTCGCTCGCTCGAACACTGTGATCGTGGGTTCGAATCGCATTCAGGGCATGGATGTTCAGTGTTTGTGTGAATTTACTATGTTTGTGTACATGTAGAGGCCTTGTGATGAGCCGATCATCCGCCCAAGGAATCTTAAGGAGTGTATAAGATCTAGTAAAGCGAAGTGAAACGGAGAGTTTCATGGAGGTAGGGCAAGGCCCAAATTGGGGCTGTAGCGCGGAAGGAAACAAAACCCAAACTTAGTGAACATCTAAGCCTCATACCTTGATATGTCTCTACTATCAAAGAGTAATCATAAGGCGGGTTCTATTAATCATTACTTCCAGTACAGTTACTTAAGCAGTCGACAAGATTTTGCGTTCATCCTAACAACTAATATTACATTTAATAGAAAAATGTATGGTAAAATATATTGATACATTATACTAACAACATAAGTCGTAGAGATATTACATTTCTTACATTTGTCACTTATAATTCATACATAATCTAATTTATTTCAATTCTTATATAAATAGATTGTCCCAAAAGTCAGTTAACCTAAAATGTTGTGGCATATAAACGCGCTGATAGACAACGACCGCAATACAAACAACGAAACAACGGCTGTTGCTAGACAGCGACCCTCGCTCAACGACTGTAGTTCAGATGGAAGCAGCATTTTCTATGGTGGTCCTCTCCGAGATTATCGACCGATTTCAGTTCAGTTCAGTTAATTCAGTGTGGAGGTGGATTGGAATACCTCCATCATGGCCCTACGAGTCGTAGGAGGCAACGAAAATGGAAGTCTCGAATCTGAGACTGATGGTCGTGAGTCCCACAGGACTCAGCGACTCAGACCAGAGAATCACTGAGCTGGCAAGGCCCGGCGGTAATTGTAAACGACAGATCCGTCCTCTCGTCAGAGAGGGCGCCCCACATCAACAAACCCGTAACTGTCTGCCAGTAATAAATAGCTGGCCGTAGGCCCCAGATGGGTTCTGGCCGACTGACCGCCGTTCGTAACATAAAAACTCAGACTCAGTTCAGTTAGTGCAGGGCAGAGCAGTGAAGCCAGTTGGTTAGTTAGTGAGTGAGTGAGTTAGTTAGAGGACCACTGCAGGTCGGTCCTTGTGAGCTGTTGCTGTTAGAAGCTGGTAACTGAGGCATGGGGATAATTCGGGAAACCAGAAAAAAAGGAAAAGTCCGCCGTTGAAAGCCGTTACCAGGCGACAACCTGTGAAGACAGAGCAGACTGAGAAGACCTAGTACGTACTGTAGTGAACTGTTGAGTGTGTGAACTAGCAAATTGCGCTATAGTTACTTGTAGTTACGTTCTGTAAGTGTTCAATAAATCCAATTAAGAATCCAAACCCAGTCTATAATCACTCACACATGTGAGAATTATCTCGTATTAACGGGAATGCTCAGATTTAAACCTACCAATCGATTTGGAAAATGGTATCGCAGCGCTGTCAGCTGTGTACTGAACACGAAAGATCTGATTTCGAGAAATATATGTAAATTCAGTAATTAATACAGACAATTGTAACATATTTTAATATACATTTTACTAACCAGTTAACTGACTTTCGGGCCACCTTATATTATGTGTAAACCGTAAAAGATTTTATGAAATGTTTTGTTATTTGTCTCTAATTAGGTTTCCTGAGATGACGCTGCCTTGTTTGACCGTCTCTGTGATCTAGTGGCCAGAGTTCCTGGCTACAGATCCAGAGCTCCCGGGTTCGATTCCCGGCGCTACCAGTTTTTCTGAGAAGTAGTGAGTCTGGAACGGGGTCCACTGAGCCTCGTGATGATAATTGAGGAGCTATGTCAAGGTAATAGCGGCCCCGGTCTAGAAAACCGAGATCAACGGCCGTGAGGATCCGTTGCGCTGACCACGTGACATCCTCTATCCGCTAAAGTTGGCACTAACTTTCCCGACAATTGGCGGTCGCTCGGTCGGTATAGTTCGCTTGCGGACTACAGGCCAAGGAGTTTGTTTTGTTTGGCGTTGCCTTGTTTGCCCGTAAAGAAGATGTCTTTTCCCTAAGAGTTTATACGGTTTTACGAATGTGTACTAGTCTGCCTCAGTACTAACTAAGGTTGAACAGCATCGTGGACATCAATCCCCTCAGTAATTATTCAGAATTTAAAGCAAAGAACTTTGTGTGATTGTCTTCCGTGTGTTTTAGGAACCTGGGATTTCTTCGGTCTGAATCACTACACGACGGTATACGGGACCAGTGGCGAAGAGGGGCCAATTCCATCTATAAGCAGAGACGCTGGTGTAATTACATCCCAAGATCCTGCTTGGTATTCTACGGGCTCTCCATGGCTCAAGGTGTCTTATTTCTTCTTCTTTTTCTATATCTTGACGGATTACGCCTTCTAGTCTTTCCGCATTAAGAATTAATTAGGAAATTTTGGATCTTAGAGAGAGTTGGTAGAACTCTCCTTGGATGGGGGATCAGGGAGTCGCAAGACCGCTACCTACAGGACAACATAAACACAGAAGAAACACAAATATTCATTCATCCACTGATATTCGAACCCACGATCCCAGTGTTTGAGGGGGTGCCTTAGACCTCACGGTCACTGTGATTGTTGCCTTATTTATATTCATTTACTTAATAACAACGAGAATAGCTCAGGCTATGCCGCGCCGTCTAATCTTCGGCCGCTCGAACATTGGTATCGTGGGTTCGAATCCCACTCGAGACAAGGAAGTCTTTGTGCGTATATTCTGTGTTTGTGTTGTTCTCTGTGTAGGTAGTGGCCTTGCGACGGGCTGATCCCCCGTCCAAGGAGTCCTACCGACTGTGTATAGATTAAAAAACTGAAAAAGCTGCCAAGGTCCACAAGGTCTTTAGAGCCATAGATAGATAGAGACATAATTTATAAAAATGGTAGGATTACGATAATGATTGGAAGGATGTGGAATGTATCAACCTTGACCTGAGCATTTTCATGCAGCAACTAAGGATAATGTGTGTCCTGCCCGAGATTGTAACACGATACCTCCCACATACAAGTCATAAACTTACTGCTTGAGAAAAATTGACATTTAATATCATTATAATGTCGTAAAGAATAAAATCCACACATTCTATTTATTTCGTTTCATGTTTTGCAATTTTGAAAATCAACATGGCTTTTCTGATACCCTCAGTATTATCTCTGGCATAGAACATCCAAATAAGAACAATTATTTCCTGATCAATCTTTATGACTCCACTATACTTTTAATGACTGAACGGTAAACACGCTTTAAAACTGATGCAGTGTCAACAAGCAACTAAAGCACCAACCCCACGAAGATACCAAAATGTAGGCCTACAGATACATTAGGACAGGCTAACCCCCTTCTCATATTCCCCCAACTGATAATAGCAAGGTCTCAATCATTCCTCTGAAATTTACTTGGATGTCATGTTCCCTGATGATAACAGGTGGTGCCATGGGGTTTCCGGAAGCAACTGAAGTGGATAGCGCAGGAGTACAACAACCCTCCTGTGCTCATCACGGAATCCGGGTACTCGGATTTGCCAAACGAAGGCCTCAACGATGTGGGTCGAGTGTACTACTATACGGTAAGACCGTGACCGCGACCGCGGAGAGAGCGCTATGAGTCGGCCGGTCTCTAGCGACTCTTCCTCCCGAGTCCGCTCCGCGCGTCCAGAAAAGAAAAAGAACTCGCTGTAGAAGCAGTGGCATTCAATCGCTACAACCAAAATTATTCATAACATTTATAAATGTTTATTTATGCCGTAAAGGATGAATGCAGATTAATTGTGCAACTTGGGCATCTGCAGTTTAGCTGCATTTTTGGTTAAGGTATTCTGTTTCGACGTATATTACTGCTACCATCTTCAGAATGGATGATGCTTAAAAAGGATCTTACTCGATAAATAAGATTACAGTAGACTCCAACTCGGCATAATTATGATTACAATTAATTAACCTTTTGAATTAGGGACGTTAAATTTGGTATACGAATGAAAAAGGAAAGCTAAAAATTATGTACAAATATTTTATCTGATGCTTACAATTACAGAAACAGATCCAGAGGAGATATGAGGTCAGGCGTAGAAAACTTGATGTTTAAAATCTGTAAAAAGATAAAGATAAGGTTGTCTCTGTGTTTAACTAATTAGGCACTAGGCCCCTAAGGCGTTGTACACGCCAGAAGTTAAAGACAAACGTGAAAATTTGAAATGCGGAAGGAAAAAGGGTCTTTATCCTTTTAAAGACTGAAGTTTTCCTAAATAATATTGTCACGAGATAAGAGTGAATCTCGACGGGGTTTTGGACTGGAGACTGGATTTATTGACAACTTACAGGCCGCAATTACAAATAACTATAGAACTATCGCTAAGTCCTTAAAGCCTGCTGTGTCTTCTCCAGTCGTTCCCTAGTAAGGGTTTCTAACCGTGAGGATTCTTCAACTGCACCGACCAAGTCTTCTCTTCATAAAGTTCCTTACAACTGACTCTGTTACAACCCTCTGACAACTGACTTCTTGAGGAGCTGCCAATTGTGCAGCTACTCAAGAATTTCCCAGTATTTTATGGACCCTGATGATTCATTACCGTGATCACAAGAGCCTTCCAGCGGTCCCTATCCTGAGCCAGATCAATCAAATCCATACCATTCCAACCTACCTCTCTAATATCCATTTTAATACTGTCCACCCATCTACTCCTTGGTCTTCCAAGCGGTCTCCTTCCTTCCTACTTTCCCACCTATATCCTCTATGCATTATTCCTTAAAAGATTAATCTACAAATCTTACTGTCTTTCAACAGAGTTACATGACGGAGATGCTGAAAGCCATATATGAAGATGGTTGTAATGTCATCGGATTTTGTGCTTGGAGCTTTCTTGATAACTTCGAGTGGAACAGTGGCTACACGTAAGTTTAACATCATTTGTAATATAAGGAATATTCTATTGAATATCACTTAAATTCATCAGAATTTCTAAGCTCGTATAGATGATATATATACTTGAATCCTCGATTTTTGTCATAAAATGTGGTAATATCGAATTTTTACACATGACAGAAAGACAGCTATGACAACATAAAATTTCGATCCGAAATTATGTGAATTAAGACTGTCGCTTCTCTGGGTTAAATTTTGAAAACAGCTTCAGACTTCACGATAACATAGAGCTTTAGAAATTTTGAGTAAAAATAGATAGGATTATAAGAATACATATTTTACTGTTTGCTTTTTTTTTCAGAGAAAAATTTGGTCTATACAGTGTCGATTTCAGCGACCCCTCACGCCCGCGGGTACCAAAGAAATCTGCGCATGTGTATTCAGAAATCATCCGATCAAGACAGATTCCTATGCGCTACCGTTTTTGGAGAGAGAAATAGTACCAAACTGGGTACAACGTCTCACAATTATAGAACAATTAACCTATAGCGACAATATACTAAAATGTTTCGCATGGTTATCCTCCTTGGAGACAAGGATGCAGGAGAGGGTTAAGATGAATCTTCATCACAATGGTAAAACGGTGAAGAACTTCTGTTACTTTCCAACCAGGTATAAAAGCCTCAACAGTGCAAGGAAAATTAAAACACTTCGTTCCAAATTTTGTCTCTACAAGAGCCGGAATAGGTGATTCAGTACACTAACCAGGCTACATACTGGGAGAACGGCGTTTGACTCACCGATGTAACATGAGATACTCTATACCTTCCACGCCCCCACCCAAGCGTTAACATGTAAAGTAAATTTAAATACAGAACTGTTGTCTACGCCCTGCGGTTAAATTACAAAATTATTTCTTTTTTACAATATTTTGTTTCCAATAGTCCCTAATTTGCCCAGTCAATTAGAAATACAAAATGTGCTTGTAATTTTATAACATCTACATTACTTGTCACTTCACAGACAAATGCACTAATAAAAGCTGAATATTTTCAAGATGTTGGCACCTACTGGCATAGGTTCCTATGTCAGTAAGACCACGTTCAGCTTTTCAACTAGATCCTTGCTTCACGGATACAATAATGATTAAATTGACCAAGGTATCACAATATTTGAAGTACTGTATTTGGAGGTCAGTAGGCCAAAAAAAATGACTCTTTGAAATAATATTCATAAAATTTTTACGAAAATGATATTCCCCTCTAATGTTTATAAAATCATACTAAATTTCACACATCATATAAAACGTTACAAATTCTTTTAAATGTTATTAACCTTCTGGCTTAAAGCGTAAGAACAGTAAAAACAGAATGGGAACTTTATAAATTATGTGACAATAATGAGCACTATATTGAGGTAAAGATAAGCATAATGCAGTACCATGACGGTAATGCAAGAGAGACAGGTGGTCAAGATAAGGAAGAGTGGCCACACGCAAATAGATAATGATTTTTCTGTTCCGAGGACAAAAGTGAATGACTGGAGGCTCAAATACAGAGGTCACCAGGTTAACAGACTGTACTGTACTAGACCTATAGACCAACCACTCGTTGTTCACAGCTGGACTGTAACCACGGAACAGAGAAAGAAATAGCTGTTCAGTATATTAAAGAAATTACATCATTTTATGAAATTGGTTCTTATCCTGAATCAAATGAACCTAGTCCACATTCTCATATCCAATTTCTTTTTAATATTATATTCCAATCTAAGCCCAGATAATTGTAGTTGTAATACAACTGTAGTTGCAATTGTATTTGTTTTAGTTGTAAGTGTGTTTTGATCGTAATCATTGTGTGTAGTGCGTCCTTTGTTGTTTCTGTAGTTATGTGTGCTGTGTTTTGTTTTAGTGTGGTGTGTTATTTGTGTGTTGTGTCTTATTGTAATACCACTGTCACACAGGGTAAAAAACCCATTTGCATTTAAAATAAATAAAAATAATAATAATAATAATATATTTTCAGATTAATGTTGCGTCCACATTGAAACCAAGAACAAATACGACACAAATCAAAAGTCCATACGATAAATACAGAGCACACGCTAAAGAAATAAACTCAATCAAAACGCCATATTCAGCAAGACAAGAGGAAACACATGCAAATCTAAATACTAATAACTACACTACACGTGAATATCTCCAAAAACATGTAACTTAACAGCGAACCTCGGATGATAAGACATCGCCTACAATGCGCGTCAGAATAACATAGAATTTTACATCATAACGACGAGAGAATTTTAAAATTAGAAATATTTTTACACCTTCGTTATAGATACATGTATTGCAATGATTATAACGATTAACATTAATATGGATCAATATTAGGATATTTAAATAACATGAGAGGTATTTAATGAAACTATCTGAAGTTGGTCCCAATTGTGGACCGAAACAATGTAGCAGCTATTAAATAAAACCAATGTAAACAATTCGATTTATTAATTTTTATTGTTTTGTTGACGACCAGAACACCACAAACTAATATGGCGCGTTATTAAAGTTTCGCTATTGCAATTTGGTAACAATTCCATTTCTTTTTTCACGACTTGAACATTCCGTTCTCTTTGATTCTATCATCCTGATAACGTTTGTTAAAGAATAGAAATTATGAAGCTCCTCTATATGTAATTTTCTCAAACTTCCTCCTATTTCTCCTTCAAACGCTTACAATTCTGGTATTGCGAATATAGAAGTTCCTTTTAAAACCACACTATCCTTGTGTCTATACTAGGTTCCGGCTTAATACGTAGGTAAGTCAATAAGTAAGTTACAAATGGATATAGAACTTAAACAAATAAGAGTACTGATCTGAAAAATGCTTTTATTTCTCAACATAATCTCCCTGTACATCGAGGCACTTGTGTGGTGGACAGAAGGGCGCCGAGACAGATTTTCTCCGAGTATTTCCAGCGACTGCTCATAGACACTCATCGTCTGTCGTCCAGGGATGATACAATAGGTCAGTTAGTGGCCGACGTACCAAGTGGAGTCAGTCTCACCCCACCTCAAGAAACTAATACGATATTTAGATAATCTGAATTTATAGTAAAACAGTATCATGAAATTTAGTTACCAAGCAGGTTGATCTAGCGGTAGCACTACGGACTTGTAATTGAAAGGTTCTTGGTTCGAATTTCGGCCGGAACACAGGTTAACCAGATCGAATATTTTCGTGTTTTCCCTCAGTCCTTCCAAGAAAATACCGCTCGAGAGCCTCGATTAAGCCACGACCAGTTTTCTCCATTGCTTTTATTAATTATTTATCAACCGCTACGGTAGGATTTCAACTCAGTATTATTTACTTTGGAATTTATTTATTTGTGTTAAGTCAGAATTTGGCTCCTGTGACTGTTGAATTAGCAAGCAAAAATAAAGAACTGAATTGCATTGTTATACAATTAGCTTAAGTACGGATTTTTACCGTTAAGTTTTTCATTCGTAATGTCAAACGTTCGCATCGTCGCCATCTTGTAATTGATGATATACAAATAATATTTCATATATAACTTACATATACATTTAGAATCCGCCCTAAAACCACAATTAATACTCTTAGTTCCTCTAGTCTATATGGGTCTCATATCTGGCCGGCATGTTGTTTTATATTCTAAAAATAGATCACTAAATAAGGTTGTATTTTTTTCGAAGCTATATTATACTGTGTCTGAAAAACATTAGATTATACCATCATTTGATACTGAGGTTAAGTCTTTACGTCATCATCATAAAGGTATGAAATTATTTTCCCAATGTATGACTGGAATTGCAATCAATAAAACAAACGTAAGGTAAAGTTGTTTTGTGCCTAACGAATTAAGCACTACGCCATGAAGGCATAGGGGGAGTGGATGCATCCATATTTTCTTGACTCGGCACATGATGGAGTTGAGTTGTCAGCTTCACGCTCCTGCCTCTTTACCCCCGGTACCCATTGAATAGGAGGTTGGATGGACCCCAGAGCCGGTCTGGACACATGATTTGGTCTGGGATTAAACCTGCGCCGCCGTGGTGCGAAGGCAGCGACTAACTGCCCGAGCTATTGCGCGGTCTTAAATATCGTATTAACAACATAAAATATTTTGTAACAAAATAAGTAAACAAATCAGGCCTGATTCTACATTAGTGTTTCAGATGAAAAGGGGGAAAAAGATTAATTTTTCGCATGTTTGGAAATGGCTTTCCGTCACTGTTTTACAGAATACAGAAATGTTATGTGCAGTAGTCCGAATTAATTATCCCTCGTATAAGCTTACAACACTATCCGCCTCGAAACAGCATTGGCTGACAGTCACGTGTTGACCAGACTCTTTGGAATTTGTGTGCGAGCTCTGTACGGATGGACACACCGGTAGGCACTCTGATCTCTTAAACTTGTGACTACACTCTTCGATGTTCACAGCTGAAATGAATGTCTTAACAAGTGGTATATGATTCCGCCCGAGCTGGCACTTGTTACGTCACACGGAGGCGGGGCGAATGATTAATTTTTAATGAAAGGTGTACTGTATAAGTGACCGGGCAAGTGACTTCAGAGGTGTCACTTCTTATCGCCTTTTACGTTTAGTTTCTCTTGATGAATTTACCAAGTTCAGTTCGTGAAATAATACACTCTTAGTAACCCAGCGTTGTGTTAACTTGTGTGTGTGTTAAATTTATGCCGAAGAGGAATTTTGAAACTAAAAAATTAATAAGCAGTATCATATATCGTGATTTAGAGAAAAACAAAAGTGTAACGGAACATTATAAGGTAGAAATTTCAGCGGCAGCACTTCACAGTATGATTATTCGAATTACGGGTGCCAGGCGGCTAGTTACTGATGTTGCTTAAAGGTGCTTAATTAGCTAAAACAACAAAAAATGGGGATTAAAGAATTATACATAACATAGAAGCTTGTAGGAGAGTTTATTTATTATCAGCATTTCATGTTTCACGTCATTTTTGTGAAAATTCAAACTCCTATTCGAAGACCATTTAATAATAATTTCCTATAAACAAACAAACTCTGTGGTTTACGTCCGCACGCGAACTATACCGACCGAGCTACCGCTGCTTGTCGGCGAAGTTAGTGTCAACCTCAGCGGATAGAGAGTGTCGCGTGGTCAGCGCTACAGATACCCACGGCCGTTAATCTCGGTTTAATGTTAGGGGCAATAAATTCCTGCAGTACAGTTGTTAACGTAATACATGCGTATAATGTGTACTGTGCTGTACTACCGAAATTCTCGCCCATCAATTAAACCTCTTCTCAGAGAACACTCCTATTAGGAACCATTTTTGAGCGGGGAGTCGGTGGTCTTCTTGGGAATGTTTCGCTGTATTTTACAGTACTACATCAGGTACGGTTAGTTATGGGGAGTGTTTAGTTCTTGTTTAGTAACGTCGTTGATCTATTGTTAATTTCTTTTCCAGATCTAGAACACAACCAGCACGAGCAGGCAATGAAATTTCTCTCCGCCTGCGAATATGAGGAAGCGGCTCCTTGGAGGGTCTTCTTGCTTGTAGCAATGCTGATGCGTGTAACAGTTGTTGCCAACAATACCTTCAGATTTCCCCAGAATTTCTCCTTTTCTGCTGCAACTTCCTCTTACCAAGTGGAAGGAGGATGGAATGAAGACGGTAAGTCTCCAGGCTGCTCCAACAAAATTGTTTCTGGGATTAAATTGTAGGCTTATTTATGCTTAAAACTCCGTGGCCTGTAGTCCGCAAGCGAACTATACAGACCGAGCGACCGCCGCTTGTCAACGAAGTAAATGCCAACTTTAGCGGATAGAGGGTGTCACGTGGTCAGGGTAACGGATCACCACGGCCGTTAATCTCGGCTTTCTAGACCGGAGCCGCTATTTCCTTGAAATAGCTCCTCATTTATCCTCACGAGGCTGAGTGGACCCCGTTCCAGACCAATTACTTCTCAGAAAATCTGGTAGCGCGGAGAATCGAACCCGGGACCTCTGGATCTGTAGCCAGGAACTCTGACCACTAGACCACAGAGGCGGTCGGCTCATTTATGATAGGTCATGTTAAATTCGGTAAATGTCTGTTACGTTGCAAGGGACATTTTTCAGCCGAAATATATGGGTTTACTCCCTTTACTTCTTTCTCTCGTCCTATTACATTTTATTACAATTTAACCCTTGTCTTTGCCGATCACAGTAACCGCGGGGTCTAAGACATGAACCGTCTTCGCGTGCTCGAACACTAGGATCAGGGTTCGAATCCCACTAGAGATGTGGATGTCTGTATGCGTTTATTCTGTGTTCGTGTTGTTTTGTGCGTAGGTAGTAGCCTTGCGACAGGCTGATCCCCCGTCCAAGGAGTTCTACTGACTGTGTGTAGATTAAGAAACTAAAATAAAGGCCAAGGTCGACAAGGGCTGTAGAGCCACAGGTAGATACACGTGGTAGAGTTCTTAAGTTCGTGGAATGTGGTTTTATCGCATCATATTACAAGGTATTAACATGCACTTACGCAGATCGACATCAGCCGTCAAAATAGTTGCCGTTGTCCGCTATGCAAGTATGCAGACGTTGATATAGCTGCCGGAAACATTGCTGAAACATATTGGCAGGAAATTCCCGTACGACGCTTTGCGGCCATTCCACGAACTTATTGACTGTGGTGGTGTATAACACTTCTCTGTGATACGTCCATATCCTGTCCTTACTTTGTCCCTTATATAGAATTATATGTATAGCAGTAATTTGTACAGTTTGAAATATCTAGTTAAAGGTATCCCTTTTCTTAACTAATTAAGTGCAAAAGCATGGAAACATACTGGCGAGTGGAGATAAAGCTCCAAGTATTCCTAACCTCGGTACTAGATGGAGGTGAGTGGTCAGTCTGTGCCCGTGGCCATGTCCCATGGGGAAAAACCTCCTGGTGCCAGTTAAAGCGGAGGCTCCCCTTAAACATTTTAAATCTAACATTCTGTCACCTTCCTTAAAAATGTACACTGTTTAGTATTCTGGATCCATTTATTTCACCTGAGTAATTTCAGGCGTTTCTTTTATAGGGAAAGGTGTTAATATATGGGACTCAGAAACACACAAACATCCGGAACTCATATCCGACTTCTCGAACGGTGATGTGGCCGCAGATTCTTACCACAAGTACACCGAAGACATCAAACTGCTCAAGGATCTTGGGGTGAGTATTCACAGCTTGTTGTGTCACGTTTCCATAATCCCGTTATTATATTTGTGCAATGTCTATTAAAATATTTGAACGTTTTCTCGTCTGTGATATTAGCCAGGTCCTAAACAGTTAGGGTTCAACATTCAGTATAGTTAAACTATAACACCAGGTTTAAACCGTCAACAAAAACGCAAAATGCAGGCTGCAGTTATATACTCTCACGAGTTGGGGGTAAGCGTGACGAAAATAATGGGTTCTAGTTCGGATAGTTGGATTTACTAGCACCTTGTCTACAAGTTCTCTTAATTACAATTAATACAGGGCTATTTATTTACTCATTTTCCAGTTCAGCGTTGCGCATGCATTAGGATTCTCAGTTTCAGCTAATCGTCTCCTAGCAACGGATCTTAACACAGAAACTATCACTTTAAATCACTATGAAATTTTGTTACTATTTCGTCTGCAATCACTCTGGAACCTTGGAATTTAAAAGTCCTCTGGACTCATTCGTCCAGGTTACGACCGACTAGTAACTCGTAACTGCCCTTGAATTAATTCTGTCGCTCTCCCGGTTCCAGTCACAGTGTGACTGACAGTCAGTCAGGAGCCCCATCTGGGGCTCATGACCAGATATTTATTACTGTTCCACCGTTACGGTATTGTTTTTGTGGAGCGCCCTCCCTAACGAGAGGGCGGGTCTCTTTTATACAAGCTGCTGGCCCTTGCCAGCACACTGAGTTATATATGTTGGCCAGTAAAACAGAAAACACATCGAGACACATTCATGGTAAAGTGATGTATGTTGCAAATTTATTATTTCTGTCGCTACAGGTTCAGTTCTACAGATTTTCCATATCCTGGCCACGGATCCTCCCAAACGGACACGTGACACTTGTGAATCAGGCTGGTATTCACTACTACAACAACATAATCAATGGGCTACTAGCATATGGAATTCAGCCCATGGTCAGTAATGAGTACATTCATACAGATAAGCCATCAACAAAGCAGCTGTTAGCATATGAGAGTAGTCGATAGGCAAATGTCTGTGATATCATATTTACTGATGTTATCGTTGTGTGGTTATGACAGTGACTGAGGAAGTATAGCCTTGCTGTGCTCTCCCTTAATCAAGTTTATCCTCGTTCTAAATTCTGTCCTATCTGGAAAACCTTGCCCTTTTTCCTGCTCGGTATATCACAGTCATTTCCCTGTTCAGTGACTTCTGTAGTGAAAACTTTCCTTTGACTAGATCCGCTTCCCCTCATAACGTCACTTGTAAGGATGTCGACGTGTTTTAAATCAAACCGTTTCCCTTAATAATATTACATGATGATACTTCACAATTATTAAAATATTAATTCTGCATTACTAAGATATTAATTGCATTCAATAAGAATTTATACATGTATGTACGTACGTATGCCAACTTTAGCGGATAGAGGGTGTCACGTGATCAGCGCAACGGATTCCCACGGCCGTTAATCTCGGGTTTCCAGACTGAAGTCGCTACTCTTTCCATTCAAATAGTTCCTAAATTACCCTCATGAGGCTGAGGGACCCCGTTCCAGATCCACTACTTCTCAGAAAATCTGATAGCGCCGGGACTCGAACCAGGGACCTCTGGATCTGTTGCCAGGAACCCAGAGACTAACTTCGCCGACAAGCATTTGAAAGAAAATTTAAAACGCTACGTTAGCAGATCGCAGTGGCAGAGCGATTCAAATCTCATTCTGTCTTCGAGCGCTCAAAACCTGGGATCATTGGATCCATTCGCATTCGAAAACCTGGATGCATTTCTGCGGTTTTACCTTATTTTGTAGGCCTGTACATATAGAGACCTTGCGACGGGCCGACCTCGTGTACGGTGTGCTAGGAAATGTTTTATTAAATCTCTGAAACTCATAAAAGAGAGACCTTGGACCGCATTGATCTGTCGCGTTGCACAAGAAGAAAATACGTTAATCTGCGCTGCTTCCAAAATGACGTCTTTCGAAATTCTGCTCTGGAGTGTTTATCAAGGGTTTCTCATAAATATTTCCGAGATGATCTTGTTAGGCTTCCAATCGTAAGTTAGATTGGGCCCCCTAGGCGTAATTTGTACACTCACATGCGCTGCACTTCAACCAGTAAAGCCTTATACTTTCAGTATTTTGTAGCCTCTTTCTTGAGTACATAAGAATAATAATAATAGTAACTAAATTAATTTATTAAAGTGCTTTAAAACAGTTATAAAGCTAATTACATGCAAACACTGCAAGAAAAGGAAACAGAATACAGAATTTCAGAAAAGTATAAAAAAGCGTGAATACTGCTAATAATATATTGTTATTATTATTATTATCATTATTATTGTTATTGTTGTCAATAAATATGATTCTTTTCTCTTTGGCTCTTCTACACTGGCTGTTCAAGTTCGTTTTAAATTTCGTAATCAGACACAATTATGTAAGATTTGAGGCTTTCACGGCGGTGACTATGAAGAAAGCAGTCTTCTGGGATTTGGCACCGTGTATATGTGGTGTTAACCGATGTTTCGGAGGAACGTATCGCCCCCATCTTCAGGGTAGAAGAAAAAGTATAAGAAATCTACAGTCTGCTTTACCGTTTCTCACGGTGTTGTCGCTTGCAGATTTCTTATACTTTTTCTTCTACCCTGAAGATGGGGGCGATACGTTCCTCCGAAACGTCGGTTAACACCACATATACACGGTGCCAAATCCCAGAAGACTGCTTTCTTCAGACACAATTAAATCCACAGAATTTGACAGCCAATCTGTGTATTTGACAGATTCAATTATTGCGTCATCTGACAATTTCTGATCGATTAATAAAAAAAGTAAATGTAACAGGCGATGGAGGCCCATAGGATTGTGAGATGTTGAGGTTCCCACATTTTCTAGACAATCGGCTCATTGATGGCGGTAAGTTTGTCAGACTTACGCGCCGGCCACCCTTTACCCCCAAGAATATTCCTGGTACTCATTTCTGTTAGAGGCTGAGTAGACCCCAGGGCCATAGTGCGGCTGGAAGGATTAGGTCAATTGAAAGAATTAGCCTAATTGGGATCCGATCCTCAGATATGAAATGCAAAATTTTAACATTGAAAATTGGAAATAATATTCTATGCGTATAAGGAACCAACCAAAACGAATAAATAATTTTATATGTATATATACTCAAATATATTCTGTCCAGCAACTGTATGACCAGCCTTCTGTACATTATGCAGTTTATTATAATAATTTTCTAAAGAGATAACTTTTTGCGTCATCCCATAATAAGATCTCATTTTTATTAACATTATTACAGCAGTAGGTACTCACTGAAGCTGTGCTACCCATATTACCACCAATGTTTCTTTCAGGTTACTATGTACCACTGGGATTTACCGCAAGCACTACAGAACCTCGGTGGATGGACCAATATATACATGGTCGAATGCTTCGAGGATTACGCAAGACTTCTATATAAACTTTTCGGTGACAGAGTGAGTTACTTCCTGTTCTGAAAGGAAAGGGGCGCGCCATAGTTCAACCGGTTAGTCGCTGGCTTCCCACCGCGGCGGCCCGGTTTCGATCCCGGATCTGGTCAAGTGGGATTTGTGGTGGATAAAGTGACGCTGGTCCCGCTCAGGGCATTGATGTTTGTGTGCGTTTTTCTGTGTTTGTGTACAGGTAGAGGCCTTGCGACGAGCTGATCACCCGCCCAAGGAGTCCTACCGTATGTCTATGATCTAGAAAAAAACGAAGTGAAAAGTTCATGGAGGTAGGCCTAGGCCCACTGGGGCTGTAGTGCCAAAGAAAAAAAAAGTGGCGCTGGAGCAGGTTTTCTCCGAGTACTTCGGTTTCCCTTGCCAATCTTCATTCCACCAATTGTTCCACAATCACCCTCACCTATCATCTGGGGTTGGTACAATAAGCCAGAAGTGGCCGCAGTACAAGGGACTTACTTAGTCCCACACCACTAGCAATAAAAAAAATACCTTGGTTTTGGAGAAGCAATGATTTTCTTCAGTAAGAAGTAGGCAATAATCAAATTCTGTTTTAATTGGCAGGTGCGATGGTGGATTACAATAAACGAGCCTCTCATAATATCCCAGGGATATGCTGGAGAAAAAGGACGAGCGCCAAACATCAATGCGCCTGGGACTGGCGACTATCTGACGATTAAGACTATGGTTCTTGCTCACGCAAGAGCCTATCGTGTCTATCTTCGAGAGTTCAAAGATACGCAGAAAGGTATGTGACTACTGAACTGACTCGATCTTCAGTTTTTGTCTAGTGAGCATGTGAACAGCGATCGACTGTCAGTTCTCAAGCTCAGCCTCTCTCGACGTTTTTACCTAGGAAGGACAATTCAAGTAAATTTCAAATCCCAGGGAACCCATGCATATAAGTTATTGTACAGGCAGGATCTGGATTTAATATAAATAAAAGCTGTAAATTTATCTTAATTAATGCTATTTACATATTTACGTATAACATACAAATTTATTGACACTGTTGAATAGTAATACGATTAAAAACAATTAAAGTTAAAACTATCCCTGTAACAGGCAGTGAAGGTACATAGTGTTGTGAGAGGTCGAGGCTCCCACATTTACTCTAGACAGTCGGCTCACAGATGGCGGTGAGGCTGTGAGCCTTAGGCGCCAGCCGTCCTTTAACCCCAGGAAGATTCCTGTTACTAATTTCTGTTCGAGGCTGAGTCGACCCCAGAGTCATGGTGTCGCTTGAAGTATTAGGCAAATTGAAAAAAAAATCCAATGACCTCATCGGGACTCGAACCCTCGACCTTCAGGATTGTGGCATAATACATCAAGCAACTGCGCTACAGTGTGCCCTCAATTGATTAAGTACAGGGAGAAATTTACCTTTATCTTTGACCTTCACTGCAAACAATGCAAAGACCTTCCAGCAGGACTAAGGAAGGTACCGACCTCCAAAAGACTAGCAAGTCCAATTAAGGTTAGGTAAACAGCAAATTATTTGAGGCAGTCTAGGAAACTCTGATACGAGAATACGTGAACTTCAAAATATGTGTAACTTTCGTAAAGATATTTTTGATCAATCTGAATATGTCTTCATTTCTTTCTTTCCAAAGCATCCCATCCTCTTAACGCCGAAGATCCTTGCAGTGAAATGCTGGTAGCTATAAAAGGGAATTTCCAAGTTGCTCTGTATATATCTACTCCTTAACTTGTACTCTTCTCCAAGTATAATTAGAATGATCAAGTCAAGGAGGATGAGGTAGGCAGGGTATGTAGCACGAATGGAGGAGAAGAGGAATGTATATAGGATATTGGTGGTAAAGCCAGAAGGAAAGAGACCAATGGGAAGACCAAGGAGTAGGTGGGTGGACAATATTAAAATGGATGTTAGAGATATAGGTTGGGATGGTATGGATTGGGTTGATCTGGCTCGGGATAGGAACCAGTGGAGGGCTCTTGTGAACACGGTAGTGAACCTTCGGGTTCCATAAAATACTGGGAAACTCTTGAGTAGCTGCAGATTTGGCTTCTCCTCAAGAAGGGCTCAGCTCCATAAGTAAGTAAGTAAGTACTCGTATATCTAGTCCTTGAATCTGTCTTAGGTAAGGTTGGTATCGCGCTTAACATCAATTGGTACGAAGCTTACGCCAACAACAGTGAGGACATTTCAGCGGCCGAAAGAACCATACAATACGAGGTAAATTACTAACTTATAAAACAGATCCAGTGTACAAGAAATTAAACTTTTAAACTATAAATATTATCTTAAATATCTCATACATATTGCATATGTTTATAATATGAAATCTCTCTTCCTTTTCCTTATTTCCTCTCTGTCTGCTTATTTCTACGAGGCTGTATAATTATAACGGAAAGTCGATCTATTCTCGCAGCTGCTTCGTCGCTAGACAACTGTATGTGGTTTGATGCATAAAAAGATTTAGTCGATATCTGTAACACTTTTACTACCATGCGACACTCTCATGATAATATTAAGTATTTCCTTTCATGCAGCTGTCGTATGGACCGCCTAAAGAGCATCACTCCTCAGTTAGTTAACTTTGCGTGTTAGAGATCTGTTGCCTAGCAACGGGCGTTGTTACAAAGTCATTACTTAGCAACGGGTGTACATGCTACAGTATTAATCTAAAATAAACTTAGTTATAAGCTTTAAGCCGACATGAGATGTAGATTGAAAATTTAATAATTTCAGTGTAATTTATTTTAATGAAACCCATTGTAAATTAGAACTGCTTTAATTAGCAATGTTATAAATACAGAAGTAGAGGAAATAAACAGATAATCTTTGTTTGTCGAAATGGTGTGTATTTCAAGTTTTTTAAAGAGTGTGAATGAGATCTCTTACCAATTTAATCAGTTGCTGGTATTTCAGCTAGGACTGTACGCTAATCCTATCTTCAGCACTACCGGAGACTACCCACCGGACTTGAAAGAGAGGATTGCCCAAAATAGCAAAGCTGAGGGCTTCCGCAGATCCCGTCTGCCGAGTTTCACCCAACAAGAGATCAGTTATATCAGAGGTCAGAGACAAGGCTACAAGTCAGGATGTAGAAGCCACTGACTCAATCACTGTCATTATAAATATTCTGTTTCCGAAGAGAGGGGCAGAGCGGTTGACTGGTCTCATGTTGTCTAGCTATCTGAAACAAAAATTTATAACTAGCTAGCTAGCTAACTAATTAACTAATTTCATGGAGCTGAGCCCTTCTTGATAAGCCGCTAGTTGTGCAGCTACTCAAGAATTTCCTAGCATTTTTTGGAAACCGAAGATTAATTACCGTGTTCACAACAACCCTCCACTGGTCCCTATTCTGAGCCAGATTAATCCAGCCCATATCGCCCATCCTATCTCTGTGATCCATTTTAATATTTTTCACCGACTTACGTCTTGGTCTTCCTAGTGGTCTCTTTCCTTCTGCCTTCCCCACCAATATCCTATACGCATTCCGCTTCTCCACCATTCGTGCTACATCCCCAGCCCATCTCAGAATAATTAAGAACCCAGTTTTGTATTCACAGGGAAGATTTTTCGCCCCCGTTATAAAATCATGTCGGTTAATGCTGTTTTGGGAAATGCTCACTGGTTTCTGTGCGAATCGTACGAAACACAGATATAGTCTTCTTAGAGAGGCGAATATATTATGAAAGTTAAACTAAGTGAAACGTAAAGTAAACGCTCTGCATGAAAGGGTTAACTGCGTTCAGGGAATAGCAGAGCGATTATGTACCATTATGAAGCTCAATTATAGGATGAGGTGGGCAAGTCATGCGGCACGCATGGGAGAGACGGGAAATGCTTACAAAATATTCGTCGGTGATTTTTGTTACTTTTTTACTGGCACTATTTATATCTTTAAAATATCAATTTATTTTTGTTCTAAGATCTTTATCTTTTAGGGCTACATACTGCTTCCATAATCCAGATTATCGATTAATCTGTATAACCCCTTCCTCACCAAATTACTCCGATTACCGAAGGTTAACAAGATAATACAGCGCGTTCAGTTAAGGAGGAAACTTCGCAACACCGCTGACACAGCTCAACATTCCTCACAGATTGCTACTGTAACTGCCGATAGCAGAATGAGTCATTAGCGCTGATAGACGCGCGCCGTTACAGTTACAGCAGCAATCTGAGAGGAATATTGGGCCCGCTCAATGGCGTTGCGAAGTTTCCTCCTTGATTGAGCATCCTGTAATATTTAAACTGGAACTGTCCTTTAACTCCAATAATGCTGAGGTCAAGAATACGTGAATCTATACAGCCACTCCCCAATAAACCTTCATGGTGTAGAGCTTAATTTATTAAGCACAGGGACAATTTTACATGTTTACCATGTTCTCTTGTCAATGAATGAACTGTTTTCTCTTCAGGTACGTGGGACTTCTTCGGTCTAAACCACTACACAACTGTGTGGGCTCTGGCTGCTCTAAGGGAACCAGTTGATTTGCGAATGAAAGATTTTGGTGCTGAAAGAATCCAAGATCCAAGCTGCCCAAGAGGCAGTTCCAAATGGCTCATGGTACGTGACACAAACGTCAAAGCTCATGCATCCATAGTTACTCATCAATGCCTCAGTAATTAAACCAATGACCGCCACTACAGAGTGGGTATGAGGCTATGAGACTTATCAGCCTAACTGGTATATTCCCTGAATTCCTCTGTCCCTCCAATCAAATGCCTGGCGAATGGAGTCTTAAGCTTAGAGACCCTTTCTCCCACATTCACTCTAGAGTTCTGTGTACTAATAATTCAGATTAAAGGCCATGGGGATCCGTTGCGCTGACCACGCGACACCATCTATCAACAAAAATTGGCACTAATTTCGCCGATAAGCGGCGGTCGCTCGGTCGGTATAGTTCGCTTGCGGAATAAAGGCCACGGGGTCTGTTGTTTTAATAATTCCATCATTCGACCCTAAATGTCTGAGATAATTAAAGTGTCATTAAATAAACCAATAACAAATAAATAAAATAACTTAGTTACTGACTAAGCCTGATAAGTACATCGTTGTACAATCATTCACCGCCATCTTCTTGCAGTGCCTTCGACAACATATATTTCTGTCTATTATATAATTACCTTTTCATTGCGTTTCAGTTAACGAGGATCTGGTGACCGAGACCTGGGAAATTATTGATATTGCTGTACAATTACCGCCAGAACTTAATAATTCTAGAAGAAAGAAGTCATGGCACTATAAACATAATTCCGGTTCGAAGAAAATTAAACTTTTAATGAGGCATGGCAGTAGTCCTAAGATCGTAATATCTGGTGCAGAGGAAAAGCTGCTTTCTCAATCTAGTTGACGGAGTCATGGCAGTACGTCCGTAACCATAGCAACAGGTGTGAAGGAAGTGCCACTACATAATTCTAATTGATCTAATTATGGCATCATATCCATACAAAAGTCTGATATGAAGAAAATCCCGTTACCAAATTTTAAACTTTATTTGTTTATTTCTTGAGCCGGGATCGCTAAGTCGATATGGTGACTAGACTATAGACTGGATGGCAGAGGAATCTTGGTTCGATTCACGGATGGAGAAAGAAGTAATTTTTCCTCTTCATATTGTCCAGACGGGTTCTGCCGTCCACCCATCCTTTTATATAATAAGAATAATGGGTTACTTCATTTGGGTTAAGTGGCCGAGGCGTGAAGCTGACCACTGGCTTCCATTTAGTGCCCAGGTTAAGCCATACCTCCACTACCATATCAGTCTTGATGAAATTCTTGGGCTGATGTATTTGGCATGCTAACAGCCGGAACTATGCAGTTCAGTTCAGTCAACATTAAATCACTAATAAATATTCACTGCTTGTAGACTGTTCCATGGGGCTTCCGAAAAATTTTGCGTTGGATAAAACAAAAATATAATAATCCTCCGGTCTTCGTCACAGAATGTGGTTACTCCGACGATGGTCGTCTTCAGGATGAGGAACGAGTCAAATATTATGTCGTAAGTAATCAAAATCAAAGAATAATCTCACTTATGAACTTACGAACTCGCCCCAGGGAACGAACACCGGACTCAAGGTTTTGATGGACAAGGAATTCATCGAAGCAGGTGCTACTATACTTACTTACTTACTTACTTATGGAGCTGAGCCCTTCTTGGAAAGCTGCCAATTGTGCAGCTATTCAAGAACTTCCCAGCACTTTATGGAACCCGAAGGTTCATTACCGTGTTCACAAGAACCCTCCACTGGTCCCTATCCTGAGCAACATCATTCCAATCCATACCATTCCATCCTATCTCTCTGAGATACATTTTAATATTGTCCACCCACCTATGCCTTTGTCTTCCTAGTGGTCTCCTTCCTTTCGTCTTTCCCGCAAATATCCAATATGCATTCCTCTTCGCCCCCATTCATGCTACATGCCCTGCCCACCTCATCTTCCTTGACTTGATCGTTTTAATTACACTTGGAGAAGAGTACAAGTTATGAAGCTCCTCATTAAGAAGTTTTCTCCAACCTCCTGTCACTTCATCTCTCTCCGGTTCAAATATTCTCCTCAACAACCCCGTTCTCAAACACCATCAGTCTGTGTTCCTCCTTTAATGTCAGAGATCGAGATTTCACACCAATACAGAACCACAGGCAAAATTGGTAACATTGTGTATTCTAATTTTTTACGTTTTTAGACAGCAGACGAGAAGGCGAAAGAGGCTGGTCTGAATGGTAGCAAGCACTGTCCGAGTTTAATCGCCTCTTAATTTCCTCCTGAATCAGGTTTTGATTTGTTATAGTCGTTCCCAAATATCTGAAACGCGCCACATTTCCAAAACATGTTAGCTACCTTTATGTCCTGATATTGTCATGCATTTTGGTGACAACAACATATACTTAGTTTTCTCATACGGAAGTGTCCTTTTCTGAGATTTGTGCATCATGATGTATAAATTGAAAAGCAGATGCGAGGAATCAATTTTGTTGTTCACAGGAGTATCTTCGTGAGATGCTGAAGGCGATGTATTATGACGGATGTAATGTGATTGGCTTTACTGCCTGGACTTTGCTTGACAGCTTTGAATGGAGAGGCGGCTATAGGTACGTCTATTGTGAGCTATAATCTGTTTTATGTTTGCATAGGAAGTTTTCCTAGACCGCCTCTGTGGTCTATTGGTCAAGAGTTCCTGCCTACAGATCCAGAGGTCCCGGTTCAATTCCCGGCGCTACCAGATTTTCTGAGAAGTAGTCGGTCTGGAACGGGGTCCACTCAGCCTCGTGAGGATAATTGAGGAGTTATTTCAAGAAAATAGCGGCTCCGGTCTAGAAAACCGAGATTAACGGCCGTGGGGATTCGTTGTGCTGATCACGCGACACTCTCTATCCACAAAAGTTGGCACTAACTTCGCCGACAAGCCGCGGTCACTTGGTCGGTATAGTTCGCTTGCGGACGAAAACCATGGAGTTTGTTTGTTTATAGGAAGTTCTACTTGTTAATTAGGGGCGATCCGGCTTGACAGGAACAGCGTCTGTCCATTCTATCATAGACCGTGATTGTCAAAAACAAACATGAACGCGGTAGCGTAGTTGGTTGAGGCACTATGCTAAAAACCGGGAGGTCGCGGGTTCGATTCCCGATGAGGTCATTGGATTTTTTTTTCCAATTTACCTAATCCTTGCAGCCGCACTATGGTCCTGGGGTCGACTCAGCCTCTAACAGAAATGAGTACCAGGAACATTCTTGGAATAGTCTTGGGGGTTTAGGGCGGCCGGCGCGTAAGGCTGACAACCTTGACGCCATCTATGAGCCAATTGTCTAGAAAATGTGGGAGCCCCAACATCTCACAACCCTGTGGGCCTCCACGGCCTGTTACAGGGATACTTTTACTTTTTACTTTACATTTAAAGCAAAATGGTTACTATCAACTATCATTATATCATCGGTTTTATCTTCGAGGTTTCTACTTCTCTCACAGAGTGCACACATTTCGTAATATGATGAGAACAAATAGTTGTTATTTCCGTAAACATCATTAACAGCCTGGACTTTGTAACAGAGGTGCTGTGTTGTGCCTGCAGCGTATGAACTGTTTGCTTATATAGATAATATTCAGGCTTGAAGGTGTTACATTGGATTGCCTCACAACCGTCACTGTGGCTATGTAAACAGGAGACGTGAAAGATGAGGAATGTGTTTTGATCTAAACTGAAAGACGCTGCGATTAACTTAGTTTCTTTCTCATACAGGGAGAGGTTTGGGCTCTTCTATGTTAACTTCAGTGACCCTACCAGACCACGGATTGCCAAGGAGTCCGCAAGAGTGTACAAAGAGATCGTCCGCACATGGCAAGTTCCGACCCGCTACCCGCAGTACAGCTATGACACTCAAGAATGTAGTCCCACAATTCCATTGTGACAACGGCAAATCTTAATTCCTCATAGTCGATATTCAAGAAATTGTGCACAATTACGGATGGATCCGAAAAATAATTTCTCTATTTATCTATCCTTCCATCCATGGCTCTACAGCCCTTTTATTCGACCTTGGCCTCTTTTTTAGTCTCTTAATCCATACACAGTCGGTAGGACTCCTAGGATGGTGGATCAGTCTGTTGCAAGGCCGTTACTTCCACACAGGAGGGCACAGAAATACAGACTAAACGCACACAGACATCCATGCATCGAATGGGATTCAAGCCCATGATCCCTGTTTCTGAGCGGGCGAAGACGGTTCTTGCCTTAGACCGCTCGGCAACTGTGATCAGCAAACTAATTGGCAGGCATGCACCAAAAGCATCAACAATTCCAGAATCTGAAAAATATTAGGATGAGCATGAGATGTACGGGATGTGTAGCATGCATTTAATGTAAGACAAAAGTGTATAACATATTAATCCTGAAAACATTAAAGGATCCATCACTTGCAAGACATAGGCGTACACTGAGGGATATAAATAAAATTTGTTTTTAAAGTGTGGTGTTATGAATTTCACTCGGTTCATCTGGCCTAGAATAGGGATCGGCGACGCCCTCTACTGAAGACGGTAATGAACTTTTGGGTTCCTTAAATACAGGGAAATTTGTTTAATAACTAACTAAGCCACTGTTTGCTCCTTAAGACTTAAGACTATCTCTTTTCACTGCAGTTACTTACTTACTTAATTACTTAGTGAGTCAGTTGTTCAGTTGTTGGCTAGTTAGCTAGATAGTTAGTCGGTCAGTAGTTAGTATTTATAATCTATTAAATGTTCCGTCTATAATACTACAATCAATAACATTGATTTACACTTGAATCCACACAGTGGTCGTTCTGGGTATAAAATATTATTAAAATATTAAAATATATACGCATTTTCATCTTAAATCCACGGGCCCATTCTCAAATAGGTTTAAATGCGATGACATAATTTACTTTTTAAACGAGTATAATATTCTCCGAACTACGGAGTGAACTTACATACAAGGGTACAACTTATTTATCCTTCTATGTACACGATCACGCCCTAACCCTACATGGAAGTAAGGTAAAGGTAAAGTTGTCCCTGTGCTCAACGAATTTAAGCACTACGCCATGAAGGCGTATGGGGGAATGGATGTATAGATCCATATTTTCTTGACCTCGGGACTAGCTGGAGGCGAGTAATCAGCTTCACGCCCTGGTCGCTTTATCCCTGGGGAAAAAGCCCCCGGTACCCATTGGATATGAGGTTGGGTGGACCCCAGAGACGGTCTGGACGACTTGGAAAAGACCGTACTGGGACTCGAACTCCGACCCTTCTGTCGTCCAGCCCGTAACCAGACGCTATACCGACTACGCTACCCCGGCTCCTGTACATGGGAGTTTTGAATTCATATTATTTCCCAGTCTTTTCCTAATTATTTTAAGCAATCTCATATATGAGTCAGCCTTATTATCAAAGTATCCGTCAATAACGCAACAATTTAAAAGACATTAGGAATATTTTTCACGCTAAAAATGTATTTCGACACATTTTGATGTTGTTAAAATCATTACATGTCAATAGGACATTAAAAGCGCATTCTGTACATTAAAAGTGAGTATCCAAGTTTCTAAAACGTCTTAAGTCATGTATTTGTTCTAGTTTTCGTCATGTTTCGACCATATGGGCCATCATCAGGTAGGACACAGGTAGACCGCACTAGTGATACATGCGACACACAAAACTATGACAGACGCAATAGAATAGAACGACGGCATTCTCAAATATTGACGTGCATGGAAGCACAGTGCAGTGGTCTCCCAAAAGATGGGAAATTACTTGACGATGGCCCATGTGGCCGAAACATGTCGAAAACTAAGACAAATACATGACTAAAGACATTTTAGAAAACTGGATAATCACTTTTAATAAATAGAATGCGCTTTTAATGCCCTATTTTTAACAACATCAAAAAGTGTCGAAATATATTTTTAGTGTGAAAAATATTACTAAAGTCTTTTAATTGTTGCGTTATTGATGGATACTTTGATAATGGGATGCTAAAATATATAATCATATATGAGTGGGTATTTTTCTCCGTTCTGAGTGTTATGATCACATTCGTCTGAACATTCTTGGCGTAGGTCTTGTAGCGATGCTGGATAAAGCGTTAGAACAGCGAGGCTCGTTATGTAACTTCTCATTTTTTCCCTTATTTGGCCTCGTTCGTATGATAATTATAATCCATATTTAATACATTTATATCAGGCACAAATACAGTTTTTGTCAAATCAACTGTTTGTTTCATTCCCTGTGCACAAAAATCGTAATTGCTTATAGTTATACGTGTTTCCTTGTGTATATATACATTCCTTTGCAGAATAAGCTGCACTATACACGTCTTATCTAGTTTCCAGAAGATCGCACACGTATTATTTTGCTCTGGCATTTTTTTATAACCCGAATAACTTCAGAACAAGTTTAATGTTTTTACTGTTTCACTGATAACACAAATTTATATCAGAGCTCGTGACGGAAAGCACGAACCAATCTTTCGAAATGCAACGTTCACTGAAGATGTGGATTATACCTCTGGGTATTTTCTTCAATTTTGAAGGAGTGTTCGGACTTCCAGATGTCCTAACCTTCCCCAAACGTTTCATGTTGGGGACAGCTACAGCCGCTTATCAAATTGAAGGCGCATGGAACGAGAGCGGTGAGTTCAAGTGCAAATGTGTCTGTTAGTCCACGAAGGATTTGTGGGAACATTCGGCTGGAGTGGTCCACAGAATAAGCGGTATTAGTAATGTTATTGTAAAGTAAGTAAAGTAAAGGTATCCCTGCAACAGGCCGTGGAGGTCCATAGTGTTGTGGAGACGTTGAGACTCCCACGTTATCTAGACAATCGGCTCATAGATGGTGGTAAGGTTGTCAGCCTTACGCGCCGGCCGCCATTTACCACCAGGAATATTCCTGGTAATCATTTCTAGTAATGTTATTGTAGGAGTGGTAAAGTTCATGAGTCCATCGGCTCATGCTTCCACTCACGTAAAGACTCCAAAATGTACAATGAAATTTTCAAGATATGTCAGCCGTGAAGGGAACTTAAGCGTTAGGTTGGTACCACTTGAAAGGCGGTAGTTTGCCACACTCCCATCTGGATTCACCCTTGTACAAGAAACTTTACTGTCCAATTATACTGGGAGCGGTCCTCTGAATGTCTGTGGCATTGGTGTGTTTCGAATTATAATATTATTTGTTAGATGTCATCTATTTTTTAATTGTTTTTTAAGATTTCATGGTGTTTTGGAAGATGAATTTGCTTCCGCCATCAAGTGTAAACTAGACTCCATCACCGGACTTGTTGAAAAGATCAATTTAAAATTCGGAAGAAATTTTATTCATTTTATATATACAGGAGTGTCTGCGGGTAAATGGGAGTGCCTGCTGTAATCGGCAAAAGGAACGTTGCAACGCGAACAAAAATTTTAATAAAACATGTTTAAAAATGAAAATAGTTTCAAATATGCAAACAAAAATATTAACACATAACACTATAGTCAAGAAACTCAAGATAAAATATTACGAATAAAACATCAAACAAAATTTTTGTACGAAAAAACAACTGTTAAACATAGATCCATAACATACACAAATACAAAACGCAAACACATGACAACATACTTAAATAAACATTCAATAATCAGTAAACTAAAAACTACGAAATGGAAATAATACATCATAAATCATGACAATAATATGCAGCCTATCTAAATCTCAAATACAAAACATAAGAAATCGGAATATAAATTACCTAAGATGAATGACCACAGCGGATACACAATTTACACAAAATAAAACACAACTATTAAGTAAAGGGCTGAAATATAATTTACACAAGAAACATAAAAATTGGTTAGGAACATTAGAGTTAGAAACAATCTGGAAACAACAGAACAATGCTATAAACACACAATCGCGAACAACTTTAAAAAGATGCAAAAGGAAAATAAAAAGTATAAGTACAAAAAAAAAGGAAAATAATTACAGATGCAAAAACAAAATTTCAACAAATAAACTCACTATAACAAAAGTACACAAATGAAATACAGTAGTCATACACGTCAGAGAAGAACAGAAAAGAAATTGTATACAAGACAAACAATTCACAATAATTAGTGACAATTCAATACAACTATGAAACAAATGCTAAAACAATGTAATAACATTACGCAAAAATAAAACAAATGAAGATACGAGTACATACCGCAGGGCTACGGGTACGGTATTCTAGCCCGCCTCCCCATGAGGAGTAAAATATCATAAAAAAGGTAAAGCTATCGCTGTAACAGGCCGTGGAGGCCCACAGGGTTGTGAGACGTCGAGACTCCCATATTTTCTAAACAATTGACTCACGGATGGCGGTGAAGTGGTCAGCCTTACGCGCCGGCAGCCCTTTACCCCCCCAGGAAGATTCCTGGTACTCATTTCTGTTAGAGGCCGAGTCGACCCCAGGACCATAGTGAGGCTGGAAGGATTAGATCAATTGAAAAATCCAATGGCCTTATATAGAATCGAACCCTCGACTTTACGGCTTGTATCATAAGGCCTTAACCAACTACGCTGCTGCTTGCCCCACGAGACTGGAAAGGTTAGTGTCCTTTAAATTAATTACTTAATTTTTTTATGTAGTGGTGAATGACCCATGGAGAACTGAACGCAAGTCTCCTTGCTCGTCGCATAAGCTTTCTTACTATTAACTGGCATTCCTCTACAGAACTACATGTTATCGGTCGATGTGTAAAGGTCGACGTTTAATGCCATCCCATACAAATAACACGTACAAACAGACAATCTTAAGTATCTCCTTTTATAGTGTAGTACATTTCACTTTAAAATATTATACTCACATTTACACCCGTTACATTGAAACAAAAGTCTGCACACTCAGTCGTGACAAATTACACGATCTACGTTCATACAGCAAGTCTCTGTTCATCACCATGTTTCCAGATGCGTAATTTGTATAGCACTGAAAAGCAGAAAGATTCTGAGGGGTGAACTGGAAAAGATGTGGAACACAGCGCCTTGACCTCTTTGAATGTACCATTCCAGCTCTTGCCTGCAGTTACTGAGTAAAATGAAGACGAATCTCAGCGAGGAGTCCCATTCTCCGGGCCGACCCTTCGATTGTTAAAAAAATAACAATATTTATTATTACTTGAATGTACTGTATGGGGCTGAAAAATGGACACTTAGGACAGTAGATCAGAAACATCTGGAAAGTTTCGAAATGTGGTGTTGGAGAAGGATGGAGAAGGTCAGTTGGACCGATTATGTGAGAAATGAAGAAGTGTTAATTAGAGTCAGTGAGTAGAGGAATATCCTACACGAAATAAGAAAACGGAAGGCTAATTGGATTGGTCATGTTTTACGCAGAAACTGCCTTCTAAAAGAAGTTATTGAAGAAAAGATAGAGGGGCGGATAGAAGTGACAAGAAGACGAGGAAGAAGACGTAAGAAGATGCTGGATGACCTTGGGGACAGAAGAGGATACTGTCATTTGAAGGAGAAAGCTCTAGATCGCATTAAGTGGAGGAATTGTTTTGGAAGAGACTGTGGACCTGTTGTCTGACAGATTACTGGTGATGATGACTGGCATTTGTTTCTGAAGTGTAGTTTTATGGTAAGTGTAATTTTATTAAACAAACTCCGTGGTTTTAGTCTACAAGCGAACTATACCGACCGAGTGATAGCCGCTTGTCGGCGAAGTTAGTGGCAACTTTAGCGGATAGAGGGTGTCACGTGGTCAGCACAACGAATCCCCACGGGCGTTAATTTCGATTTTCTAGACCGGAACCAATATTATCCACCCACCTAGGTCTTGGTCTTCCTAGTGGTTCCTTTCCGTCTGGATTTCCCACCAACATCCTATATATATTCCTCTTCGCCAAATTCGTGCTACATACCCTACCCATCCCATCCCCTTTGATCATTATAATTATACTTGGAGAAGAGTACAAATTATGAAGCTCCTCATTATGCAGTTTTCTCTAACCTCCTGTCACTTCATCTCTCTTCGGTCTAAATATTCTCCTCAACACCCTGTTTTCAAACACCCTCAGTCTATGTTCTTCCTAAGATTCACACCTGTACAGAATCACAAGTAAAATTATAATATTGTTTATTTTAATTTTTTACGTTTTCAGACAGCAGACAAGAAGACAAAAGGTTCTGGACTGAATTGTAGCAAGCATTACCCGAGTTCAGTCTCCTGTTAATTTCCTCCTGTATCAAGTTTCAATTTTTTACTGTAATTCTCGGAAATCTGAACTACGTTATTTCTTAATATTGTGGTTTTTAATTATTATTATTTATAACCCATACAACTAAATTACGTATTCATTTTTGTCAAGAAGAAAAATATTTTGTTCTGATATGCTCATTGAAAAAATAGGGGGTTGTCTTATATTCGAATTTACCTCTCATTACCTTTCCCGTAATTTCAGGCAAGGGGCCTAGCATCTGGGATACCTGGACACACAATTATCCTGACAAGATATTGGATGGAACAAATGGTGACGTGGCTTGTGATTCGTACCATCTGTATAAAGAGGACATCCAGTTAGTGAAAGAGCTTGGGGTAGGTCTCCAGGAGACTCCGTCGCTTATTAGGTCTACTTGAATGCTTTCACTATAAAACTAGGGTCTTCGCTTCCAGTATTCGCAATCCAATCATTATTCCAAATAGTAAAAAATACATTCCAAATAATCATTTAACACGAAAATGACGAGAGTTGATGTCAAAATATTAGTGTAAGGTTCGGCCACACAGAGGGCTACGTACGCGACGCACGCTACGTACGCTATACGAACAGAGAAATATCTTCCTTTACTGCCAATGTGACTGGCCACACAGACTTCCTACGCTACGTACGCTATGTTCCCTATGTTAGCTGGGTCGCAGAGTGTACACAGCGTACGTAGCGTAGCGCTCTGTGTGGCCGAACTTTTAGTAGATAATTAGTACTACAAGCAACAGCGGGTGCGCACGCATAATCTCACGGAGCATGGTTATGATTTGACTGTACATACAGACTAAAGCAGAAGGAAACAGGACCTGCAGGACCGACATATGGGAGGAACAGGAAAACAGCTTCAAATCCGAATCGTCGAATACTAACACGACAAAAACATGTGGGGAACATTCAGATCCAAAATAACAGAACATACGAAGAAAAAGGGTTACAAAAAAAACTAACTCTGTGGCCTGTAGTCCGCAAGCGAACTATACCGACCGAGCGACCGCCGCTTGTCGGAGAAGTTAGTGCCAATTTTTGCGGATATAGCGTGGCACGTGGTCAGCGCAACGGATCCCCACAGCCGATAATCACTGTTTTCTAGACCGGAACCGCGATATCCTTGAAATCGCTCCTCAATTATCCCCACGAGGCTGAGTGGACTCCGTTCCAGACCCACTACTTCTCAGAAAATTTGGTAGCGCCGGGAATCGAACCCGGGACTTCTGGATCTTAGCCAGGAATTCTGACCACTAGACCACAGAGGCGGTCCGAGGAAACAGGGTTATGTATCATAATATAATAAATAATATAATGAGATAAACTAGGGATAATCCGTAAATAATATAACAGAATCACAAGAAAATTCAAGGAATGAGAACACTAGAACAGATAATCAGCCAGTGGTGCCTAGACGTGAATTTCACCGTGGGATAACCAGTAACTACAAGTATGATATATGTTTGATACTTCAACTGTCCGAATTTTTGTAAAACCTAGGATTTACCCGTCGAACCTAGGTTTTACCAAACGGCGTTGTTAAAAGTCCGAAAAGGCAAATATTCGAGCATTATTTCGGGATTTTACCAATTGGTATTGGTAAATGTTCTCGTGTATGACGTTTTACCAACAGTGAATAGCTTCATACTTCCCTGCTTATAACATCTCGGCATTACCCGCATAAAAACACCACCTCCTAACAATTCCTCTATTGTTGCAGAGGTGTATTAACCTCACAGTTGCGTAGCAACAAGCGCGGCGCTGACCAGAGAAAACTCCACTTCCTCTACTCTTGCGTGTTGATTCACTGCTACAGGAATTTGTTTACCGATCAGATGCCTAGTACTTTATGTCTCATCTGATTTCACTATTCCAGCTTTCGGGAGTCATGTCATAATATTTTCAGTTCACCCCTGATTTCAACGGGCCGCTTTCTAGCAACTATAATTATAACAATACTCCAATTGCTTTCAGATGGACTTCTACCGGTTCTCCATTTCATGGCCTCGAATTCTGCCAACGGGCCATGTACATAGGGTCAATCAGGCTGGAATCGACTACTATAACAACCTGATTAACGAGCTCAAGGACAATGGTTTGGAACCAATAGTGAGTACAAATCACAATACAATAAAAAGGTAAAAGTAAAAGGTAAAACTTATAACCCAGAAGATCTGGATCATAAAAGTTTGTGTAGTTTCGGTAAAAATCACGAATTATTTTTACTTACTAAACTGAGATTATAGAAACAAACAACAAGTGCTGCATAAACAGAATGTACAGCTAATCACAAAGCAGTAAACGAAGGTAAATTTTTCGGCACATTCAGTATACTGTTCGAATGTCGCTGTTTTAGACATAGCTTCATACAGTAAATTTATATATTACAGGTCACTATGTACCATTGGGATCTTCCCCAGTCACTCCAAGATTTGGGTGGATGGGCTAATCCTGTAATTGCAGAATATTTTGAGGATTACAGTTATGTTCTCTTCAACAATTTTGGAGACAGGGTGAGTTAAAGTATTAGAGTCAGCAATGTTCTTCTACATTGCGAACAAGGATACGTCATACTTTCTATATGCAACCTTACGGAACGAAATTCCTCTGTAAGTACGTCTGAATTTCCCACTGGCTTACTAACACCGGAAGTATATGGGGTATATTATCTACTCGTAGTAGCTTTCTAAAGACGACGTAACAGTCTATGTCACTAGCTGATGTGTGTATGTGGGTTGTGTCTTATTATAGTACCACTGCCACGGGGCACAAACCCATTTGCAGATAAATAAATAATAAAATAACAATAATCATAATAATAATAATAATCACCACAAGAACCTCACGTTGCACGGTAATGAACTTTCCGGTTCCGTAGAACGCAGGAAATTTACTGACTGCCTGAAGAATACACCTCGAGGAGTCCGCTGCTACATTGCGTCTTTAAATAAATATAGGAGCAGGGCGGATCAAAGATCTCTGTGGTTGGACACTAATATCTATTCAATGGATCAGGTCAAATGGTGGATAACGCTCAACGAGCCGAACTTCATTGCCTTGGGCTATGGGTCCGAGACCAAATACGCCCCTGCTGTGAATGCTGCGGGTATAGGCGACTACATGGCTACACACACTATGCTCCTTGCCCACGCCAATGCGTACCGCCTCTACGACAGACAGTTCAGGAAGACCCAGAAAGGTGGGTCCACACCACCAGTTCATAGTCGGGACTACTGTTGCTGTAGCATAAGGGAAATGACATTTATGCATAGCTCGATTACTATGTGATGGCACCAACCTGTCGTAGAAGGGACTGAAGGGGGAAAAGAGACAGTGGAGAGAGTAAGCCCGTTACGATTCACGGTAATGCAGAAATTAGCTGACAGCAGTGAACTGAACACCCCCTCATATCTACATGGACTTGTTCGCTCCGCCCATGTACGTATATTGTCACCTGCGCATGTCTTCACATTGTAACCGAGCTCTACTACTGTCCACAGGGCTTTGTTTACTTACTTACTACTTCCCACTCTCGTCCTCCATAAACCTTGACCTCTTTTACTAAACTGTCCATTATTCTGTGTCGTTTGGCATTCTCATTACTAGTGAATTCAGTCACAGATGATTGATACCGTCTTCTAGGATGCGGCGCCGTGTACATCTTGTGCGAACCAACCTTTTGGAGGAATGTATCGCCTCCACTGCAGCCACCTGCTCAAGCTGGTTCCTTGCTCGCGGATTCTACTACCCTGAAGATGGAGGCGATACTGCTACCGTCCCTCTTCTCTTCTTTGCTCGTCGCTGCTCCGGCCGCTCCTTTCCTCCTCGTAGTTGCTACGGCTACTCCTGCTTGCCGCTCCGTCCACCTTTACCCTTCCTCGTACTCTGCTGCTTTTAGATAATCTTCCTTGCAATTTGGGTACAGAAGTAACCAGGTTGGATTTAGGATAATGGTAGGCATGGATCTTTTTCTCAGGTCGATAACAGGTCTTTCTTCGAAGAAACTTCAACACAACGAACCCTTGGCTTTACAACCTTAGGTTTAATTTACTTATTCTTTGTCACAATCACTAATCTATCATTTCAATTATACATCATTCACTATTTATAGTAGTTACATTAACACTGTCCCGCCTACAAAGGCGATTCTATGAGGAAAAGGCCAGTGCCTCCACTCTTATCAACTCTTGCCTACCACTGGCTTGGCGACGCTAACAGACCTAAGGGCCTTCCCAGCACCACACCCTAGATGACATCATTCCCCACATCAATCCGGGGATTCACCGTCCACTCTCCTTCTACAAAACTGCACATACGAAATAATGCCGTGCTATCGTCACGTAGGCACCTCCCCTCCAGGGCCTCACACATTCAAGTCCACTAGTAATCGGTTACAAAACGTTCCTCCGAAACGTCGGTTCACACAAGCTCCACACGGCGCCATACCCAAGAAGACGGCATTCTTCATAGTCACCGCCGCGAAAACCTCAAATTTTACTCAGTCACAGATATTAAACTACATGATACCTTCAATGTAGTAAGCCATTTCCAATCTCCGAAATTTCAGTTGTCGTAAATCATTATGAGTATCTTCCATCCAACTCAGTTTTGACGTACATGCTGACTTATTTTAAAATTAATCTTAGCCAACAGTGTTTGATTAATTTCAATCACTCCTACATCTCCTCCCTCATTTAAATGTTCACTTCAGGATCAGGGACTTTATGTAATTTATGTACCTTCACTCCCCTGGGAAACCGTGAATTGGGAGTTGAGAATATCTGAGTAGAACTGGTGTTATTTTTAATATTTCAGGTAAGGTCGGCATTAGTCTATACATGGAATGGTACGAACCCATGGGAAACACGCCTGTAAATGTAGCAGCCAGAGACAGAGCTACTCAGTTTACGGTAAGTTTAATTAAACATGGCCTAGCAACGCTGTTGGGAGTTGGTTATGGCTAAGTAGCAACCGCGGCGTTCCGTGTTACGTCACCGCGGGGAGAGGCAGGTTGTTGATTGGCTTTGCTTAGCAACCGCTGTTGACTCGCGTTGCATAGCGACCAGTGTACTTGGACTCGACTCACTTCGGATCCGCTCGGCACGTCATCGCTGGCGGGGTGTCCGCCATAGCGCAGCACGTCACATTATTCATAATTGATTTAATTAATCTTATCAGATGAAGTTCCTGCGCTGGATATGTTTCTTCATAGACAAGTTATAAATCACCTGTTTTTCCTCTACCCTTTTTAGACTGACTAAATCAAAAAGGACTAAGATAGGCGGGGCACTGAGTTGACCTAGATTAACTACAAACCTACATCCATGAGGAAGTTAATAGTCGTTCAGCTTATGAAAACATTCCCCTTTATTTACAGAATCCCAAGATTCATTACCGCGTTAACGCACAAGAGTCCGCCACTGATCATTACTCTGTGGCAGATGAATCCATTTGACATCCTCATACCCTGTTCCTTTAAACTTCAATTTACTTCTCATCTTACTTAGGTGTAAGTCTTAGATTTACGGCACGTAAAAGATCCTCATGTCTCTAGGAGACCTCTGAGCAAAATTAGGCAAAGTTTCCCGCCCAAGTAGTTTCCGATGCCTCCGGTAGACGAGGAAGTTATCGGATACCACTGCTAGCCTCGCTGGCTGAACGGGGCTGATAGCGATCACCAGTACCGGCAGGGTATGGCGACTGGCAGAATATCAAAGGGGGACGTACAATAAACTATTAGTCGCGGTGCATGTGGAAACCTACCCTCTCCAATAATAATAATAATAATAATAATAATAATAGGTGTAAGTCTTCCAAACGTATCTGTGGACTTCACAATAAAAATTTTGTGAATCTGTCACATCTCCCACGCATGTCACATGTCCCGCCAATCTAACCATTACTAATTTGATATCGCTAATAATTTAGATTGTATTCATTTGGATTACGATACCGTTAGCCTGATATATGGTTATCAAAGAAGTAAAGTTTCGGAGGAACATCCTACCTTCATTTTCTACCATGATGACAGAAGCAGCATATTCCTGTGAAATGCTGGTAACCATCATACCATCATGCAATGTATCCACCCAGAATACAACAATCTAACGCAGATTACATCTCTGTGGATTGGTAGTTCGGAGAAAGCCCGACTTTTCAGAGGATAAAATTGTCTCTATCTTCAGGGTAGAAGTATAAACAAAATAAGACACCATCTGCAGCTTATCACCTGCTTCGGCTGGTTTCTTGCTTGACTTACTCTTCCACCATGAAAATGGACGTCATTTGTTACTCCGAAGAATCAGGCTCTGTCCGAACTACACAGTTTTAAAACCAGAATATCATATTCTTCATAGGCACGGCGTGAGAAGCTAAAATTTCACCTAATAATATCATTAGCTAAAATATCTTTGAGGGCGCGTAATATATTGAGCAGGAAAATTTTCAGAATAATTTTTGTATCCACCTTGTGTTTAAAATGAAATCCAGTAGCTCTTGTCAAGACATTTCGATTCTATTCACTTGAAAGTAAAAGTAAAGCTATCCCTGTAACAGGCCGTGAAGGCCCATAGGGTTGTGAGACGTTGAGGGTCCCACATTACCTAGACCAGTGGTTCTCAACCTCTGTGAGACCGCGGCCCGGTAAATTCTTTTTTCTATAAGACGAGAACCCAGTATAATTGATGCTAGGGCCCGGTATCGGGCCGCGGCCCGGCGGTTCAGAAGCACTGATCTAAACAATCGGCTCAAAGATGGCGGTAAGGTTGTCAGCCTTACGTGCCGGCCACGCTTTACTCCCCAGGAAAATTATTTAATTAATTCCTGGTACTCATTTCTGTTAGATGCTGAGTAAAGCCCAGGGCCTAGTGCGGCTGGAAGGATTAGGTAAATTGAAAAAATCCAATGACCTCATCGGGACTTGAACCCGCGACCTTCCGGCTTGTAGCATAGTGCCTCAATCAACTACGCTAACGCGTGCCATTCACATGAAAGAGGACTGTATATTATGATGGATTTTCTTACTGGATAGATATACGTAGGGATAACCACAGATACTGGATTCTCATTTTAGACGACCAGCTTAAAATCCTGGATCAAAACAAACCCCGTGACCTGTAGTCGACAAGCAAAACTACACCCACAGAGAGACCGCCGCTTGTCGGCGAAATTAGTGCCAAATTTTGCGGACAGAGGGTGTCACATGGTCAGCGCAACGGTTCCCCACGGCCGTTAATCTCGGTTTTCCAGACCGCAACCGCTATTTCCTTGAAATAGCTCCTCAATTATCCTCACGAGGCTGAGTGGACCCCGTTCTAGTACTACTACTTCTCAGAAAATCTGGTAGCGTCGGGAATCGAACCCGGGGCCTCTGGATCTGCAGCAAGGAACTCTGACCACTAGACCACAGAGGGCTCAATCCTTGAATTTAAGACGGACAAAATATGACTGGATATGTGATTTAGAGGACAGCGTATTGCAAACTCTGACATCACATGAGCATAATTAAACGTCCTGCATTTCAGACTTAACTTTTTCAATCTGAATAAGTAATAACACGACGTTTTCAACATGAACTACTAGATTTTAAATTGTATTTTTCAGGTAGGATTTTACGCACATCCCATCTTCAGTGCTGAGGGGGACTATCCTGCCATAGTAAAAGAGAATGTTGCCAGGAAAAGCAAAGAAGAGGGCTACGTAAGGTCTCGACTCCCTGCTTTCACACAGGAAGAAGTCAAACGCATAAGAGGTAAGAGATTTTAACGCAGTCTGCGTTACCGTGTCTCACGGTGTTGTCGCTTGCAGATTTACCTATACTTTTTCTTCAACCCTGAAGATGGGGGCGATACGTTCCTCCGAAACGTCGGTTAACACCACATATACACGGCGCCAAAGCCCAGAAGACTGCTTTCTTCATGGATTAAGTTGTTTCGTGCTATTTAACGAGACTCTATAATCTGTAGGGGCTATCAACCATTGAATGATTACGCTCCTGAAATGGAAAGGTTGGGAGACTCGATGAAGTCATGGGTCTGTGTCAGGGTAATGTTATGGTATATGACTGAAACGATGTAGTAAATGAGTGAAAAAATTGAAGTCAACTGGTCAGATATGACAACTAGGAAGGACATCGAGTGACTCCGAAAGCCAAGGCAGTCGCTCTACGATTGCAGCAATCCTGGTCGTTTAATCGTCTATTAAATTTTAAGAAGAAATTTGTTGTTTTTTTTTGGAAGGGAGGTTATTTTAGAGCTCAAAATAAAAAAAAATGTTAATATTACCATATAACAAGTATATGAGATCCATGTTAGGTGAAGTTTTACGGCGTCCATGCTCATCTCCCTGCAAGAATTATATATTTTTTTAGATGAATCACTCCTTATAACCGACATAAGATTCGATTCCCGATGAGGTCACTGGATTTTTCAATTTACATAATCCTTCCAGCCGCATTATGGTCTTGGGATCGACTTAGCATCTAACAGAAATGAGTACCAGAAATCTTCCTGGGGGTAAAGGACGGCCGGTGTGTAAGGCTGACAACCTCACCGGCATCTGTGAGCCGACTGTCTAGAAAATGTGGGAGCCTCGACGTCTCATGATCCTATGGGTCTCCACGGCCTGTTACAGGGATAGCTTGGCGCGTAAGGCTGACAACTTCACAGCCATCTGTGAGCCGACTGTCTAGAAAATGTGGGAGCCTCGGCGTCTCATGATCTTATGGGCCTCCACGGACTGTTACAGAATAGCTTGGCGCGTAAGACTGACAACTTCACAGCCATCTGTGGGCCGACTGTCTAGAAAATGTGGAAGCCTCGGCATCTCATGATCTTATGGGCCTCCACGGACTGTTACAGAGATAGCTTGGCGCGTAAGGCTGACAACTTCACAGCCATCTGTGAGCCGACTTTCTAGAAAATGTGGGAGCCTCGGCGTCTCATGATCCTATGGGCCTTCACGGACTGTTACAAGGATAGCTTTACCTTATACACTGATCCCGCCTTTATTTACACCCAATATAATACTAGGTCATAAGAGAAGCATCAAATACGCAACAGAGTCATGAGAACATGCCACGTGGTCGGGCCTACCGCAGGCCATAGGGGTGATGTGTGCGGGGAATCCCTGGAATAATAATTGGTATGGAAAATGTCAGAGAAGACCCAGACCTATGATCAGACTGTCCTCAGTGGATCATGTACGATATTCCCCGCGACTGAATCGCAGTAAAAGCCGATGTCTAGAGGCCTCAGCTATGGCACAGAGCTTGGAAGGAGATCAAACCGCATAACGGCCAAATGCAAGTACCAATTTACAATTGCATAAACTCCAAAGTGTTGATTTCTGTTGCAGGTACCAGTGACTTCTTTGGGCTAAACCATTACACCACAAACATGATTCAGCATGATGAAAACGCAGGTGTCGATAGTGACGTAGTAAAAAGTGCCAATTCAAACTGGTCTTCAGCATCTTCTGATTGGCTCCACGTAAGAACCCAATATGGCTCCGAAACCCTTGCAAGCAGTCTCTTAAAAACAATTTTCCATATTCTGTATACACAGAACATATAACTAATTTCGACAAACATTATCTTCTGATATGAGGCAAGCGGTAGCGTACTTGATCGGGGTACTATGCTACAAGCAGCAAGGTGCGGGTTCGATTCCCGATGAGATGATTGGATTTTTCAATTGACTTAATCCTTCCAGCCGCACTATGGCCCTGGAGTCGACTCAGCGTCTAAAAGAAATGAGTACCAGGAATCTTCCTGGGTGTTACGGGCGGCCGGCGCGTAAGGCTGACAACATCAGCTCCATCTGTGAGCCGATTATCTAGAAATGTGGCAGCCTTGATGTATCATAAACCTATGGGCCTACACGGCCTGTTACAGGGATAGCTTTACCTTAAGGCCGATCAAAGTGGCTACGATGTCTAAGGCATGATCTCTCTTCGCCCACTAAAACACTGGGATCATGAATTCGAATCCCACTTGAGGCATGGATGTTTGTGTGGGCCTTTATTCTGTGTCTATGCTGTTCTGTGTGCAGGTAGCGGCCCTGTGACGGGCTGATCTCCTGTTCAAGGAGTCCTACCGACTGTGTTATGACCAGGGCCCGGATTTTGATGACATGCCATCTTTTTTTTTCCTTTTATCCTATGTGATGCTCTTAAATATATAAATCTCGGATATGAGCTGCTGGTTACAGAAATGTAAATTTTATGGGCAATTTTCTGTAATTTTTTGACATTTTTAGGTTTAAGGTCATTTTTTAATTTTGGGGGTAATATTTTGGTAAATTTTTGGACTTTTAAGGGTATTTCTTATCATTTTTGGCAATTTTAGGGAATTATTCTTCATATGTTTTCTGAAATGTGAATAACATAGAAGCGAAGTGTTCTTTCTTTTCTCCTTTAGGGCATATTTCGGGATTCTTTCGGCCCTTTTATAGGTCATTTTTCGAATATTTTCAGGACAGCAAAATCCGGGCCCTGCATATTACATTTTTGGTCTTTTTCTGGATTTCTTCGGTCATTTTATAGGTAATTTTTTAAATATTTTCTGGTCATCAAAATCCGGGCCCTGCTTATTACTTATCATCAGGGTTAATTTACAGACCGAGTTTTGGAGTCAGATGTAGGTTCTCGTCTTATTGCTAGTGGAGTGGGACTAAGTCCCTTGTACTGCGGCCACTTCTGGCCTATTGTACCAGCCCCAGATGATAGGTGAGGGTGATTGTGGAGCAATTGGTGGAATGAAGATTGGCAAAGGAAACCGAAGTACTCGGAGAAAACCTGCCCCACCACAAATCCCACTTGACCAGACCCGGGATCGAACCCGGGCCGCCGCAGTGGGAAGCCAGCGACTAACCGCTTGAGCTATGGCACTGCCTAGACTCAGGGTTACTTTACAATTGGCGGTTTACAGACAATCACTTGGTCTTGGAACCAAGCCTCTTGAGAATCACGACCCGTTCTCTTTTCTCCCAACTGAACTCTTGCGGTCATAGTCCTTGTGTAACGTCCTCTCTGATGAGAGGATGGGTTTGTCTCTTATATTAATATTAATGCCGCTTTGCCTTTTTCAAGTGTAAATATCGCATACATAGTATCCGACTGAGTTTCTTATAAACAATACGAGTATATAAATATTCAATTCGTACCTCATAGGAAACAAATTACGTCTCCACTATAAAGATCAGCCGGTTATTACTAATAGGGAATCAAATACTGAATTACTGGATTTTTTGGACTTTTTCCATCGTCCGGTTTCTAGGTAATAGAGGACACGACGTTTCGGAAATTGGATCTGTTTCCGTCTAGACTAGTGATTGAGATTAACTGCTTATAAGGGGCCCAACTGAGTAGGTGTCTTCGTTTCTCACCTGAAGATGGAAACAGATCCAGTTTCCGAAACGTCGTGTCCTCTGTTACCTAGAATTCCGGACGATGGAAAAAGTCCCAAAACCCAGTAATTCTGTGTGCCGCTCACCGTCGTCAGAACCCTTTAAAGTCTACTTGAAACAAATACTGTTTAATGTGAGAACCATAAGAACTATGCAAATGCACTCTGTGGGCAGAATGCAGAGTTTTAATACATTAAAGCTGGTGGTACATACAGAATGACTGAGCTTTAAAGTGATAATTTGATTAGACTGAATCACGGCATGATTTAAAAAAGGAATTGTTTTATGGCACTGTTAAGGCCGCGCCATAGCTCAAGCGGTTAGTCGCTGGCTTCCCACCGCGGCGGGTCTGGTCAAGTGGGATTTGTGGTGGACAGAGTGGCGCTGGGGTAGTTTTTCTCCGAGTATTTCGGTTTCCCCTGCCAATCTTCATTCCACCAAATTGTCCATTATCATAATTACCCGGGGCAGGTACAATAGGTCAATCAGTGGCCGCCGTGCCGAGTGGACCCAACTGGACTCCACCCCCCACTATGCGAATTAAAAAAAAAAAGATGGCGTTGTTAACGACTGAGGCTTTGTATGATGGATGAGTTGTACATTTTGAAACTGAATACTTTTGAATTTCTCAAAGGTGACTTTACTCTGGCTTTTATTACTAATGACCATTCTGCGTTTGGAACAGGTAGTTCCTTCGGGATTTCGTAAGGTGTTCCGGTGGATCAAGAAAGAATACAACAACCCGCCAGTGTTCGTCACGGAGAATGGGTACTCGGACATGTACAGTCTGCACGACATGGAGAGAACCAAGTATTTCGTAGTAAGTAAAGCCGACTTTTCTAATGGCAATAAAATTTATCAAAGATAATTCTCTCTAAATGTAAAGGTAAAGTTATCTATCTGCTTAATGAAGGTGTATGGGGGAGTGGATATATAGATCCATGTTTTCTTGACCACGGCACTAGATGGGAGTGGTCACGGCCCGGCCGCTTTAGCCCTGTGGAGACAGCCCTCAGTACCCATTGGATAGGAGGTTGGGTGGACTCCAGAGCCGATCTGGGCGAGAAGAGAAATTTCTTGACCCTACCGGGACTCAAACTCCAAACCCTCAGTCGGCCAGCCTGGCGCCAGTCGCTATACTGACTGCGCTACCCCGGCTATAATGGAAGTCTCTGCATGGGGTTTAAACACACAGAATATCGGGGAACAGTTAGGTGAGCTTCAAATTCATAAATACGGAAATACAGTACAGCGAACTTTCAGTTGACAAATGTTGAAGGGCGGTATAGCGTGTAAAGAACTCCGTGGCTTTTAGTCCGCAAGCGAACTATACCGACCGAGCGACCGCCGCTTGTCGGCGAAGTACTATAGCGTGTAACTCAGAATAATTTGGAAGAGCTATAGATCAAAATTTAGACAAGCTGAATGGGGTTCAAAATCAAGATTGTATGATTTAATGAAGCAATTAATAAACAGAGACACAACAGCTCTCACTTCCACAGATATTAAAATACTCTTTAGAACATATCTGTTTGTGTTTATTCAGTTTTAATATAATTTAAGTTATTGTAACATATCTACTGAAAGCCAGAATTGTGAAGCCAGGAGAGACAGCCGTTGATAGGGAACGGCTATGCAAACACGGTTGTTGCTAAGCTATGACAGCAACAATAGAACAGTTGTTGAAAGCGGTGTTCTCTGCGCGATCCGTGCCGAAGCCACCATTGCAGACAAGTCTTGAGACGGTAGTTAGAAGGGTAGGAAGTTGGTGTGAGATTGCCCCAGCCTGGGAGTCAGAGATCAGTCAGTCGAGAGAGGGTCTGCAGGCAAGACAGTCAGTTGAGAGTTCCAGAAGCCGGTATCCGAGGCCGGTAAAAGCTTGGGGACCAAGAGGAAGGGGAACGCCCATCGTTTCAAAACGCAATGAAGGCCGCGACTGAGAATATTACTCTGCATGCGATAGTTATTTTTAAAGTCGAATTGTCTAAGAGTTCAGCATTTATTATTATTATTGGAGGGGATGGGTTTCCCCATGCATCGCGACCAGTTGTTGAACGAGATCGGCCTTCGGTACCTAATACTTCCCCCATATACCAGAGGCATTCGAAACTGCTTAGGCGGGAAACATTTTGCCTAATTTAGCTCAGAGGTCTCCTAGAGACATGAGGATCTTTTACGTGCCGTAAATCTACGACACGGGACCCACGGCTTAAAGTCCCTCCCGGAGGACTTGTTCCCTCAATTTTTCCGCCCTTAAAAATTCCACGACCTCCGTCGGGTTTGAACCCGCGTACCTTGAGTCATGAGGTGGGAACGTTATCCCTAGACTACGGAGGCCGCTAAGAGTTCAGTAAATCCTATTATTAATCCAAACCCCGTCTATTCATTCTACCATGGGACATTATGTACATTGTTTTGCTGCAACATGAGGAATGAAAGAGACTTTTTTTTTTTTGCTCAGCGTTACATAGCAGAGATGCTGAAGGCCATAAACGAAGATGGCTGCAATGTATTCGGATACACAGCCTGGAGTCTTATGGACAACTTCGAATGGTCACGAGGTTACAGGTAAGCACTCGCGTTTTATCTTCAGTGTAACTCCTTTTTTATTTAAACCCAACTCCCCCGTGTTCGTCCCCACAAACATTGTAAATATATCTCAAGATTTATAATAAATTAAACATAAAAAATCTTATAAGATATCTAAGGGTGTGTCGTCATAAGATAGTGACGTGCTCGTTACGTCATCGTTGGAAAGTAACTAGATTATATTTTAAACATATGATGGGAAGCACATTTGTCATAGTACAGGTCTAACTGAAAGCACATATCTTGTCTTTCAATAATATTCCTTGTAGATTTTATGATGTACCCTCCAAGATATTTTACGCGAAGAATATAAAAATGCATGAAATTATATGACATTTTCATTTCGTGCATCCTGTTATGTTATAATATAGAATTTCTTTATTAAAACTGTCACAATACAACAAGAGGCACTGACCTTAATATTGTTGTGTTTTGACGGTTTTAATAAAGAAACTGTTATATGACATTGTTAATACTCATTCAACTGTTTCACAAATCGCAGCCACCATTCAACCCGAGGTTTCGTCATGTTTCTTCACAAAATTAGTAAGAAGGAACTAAATAAGATCTAAAAATTGGTGACGATGGCACATTAATACAGATATTACGTTTTTGGACATTATCCATTGTCCTGTTTTTACCTAAGGCTCTGTCCTGTTGATATTTCAAAACACAATGTTTCGGAGACTGGATTCTCTCTCCGCCTTCAGGTAAAACATATTCAGTTGGGCCTAATCGATGGAGTTAGTCCTCATCTCCGGACATACGTACTGGCACCAAGAAGCACTAGAAGCTAAGTACAACATAAACCATCTGCGAGAGCTAAGATAAAACATAAACATATTTTAAAAACTCTCACTTATGAGGCCTTGCACCTGAGAAATTTCAAAATAGAAATCACGACTGGAGAGACAAAATTCTCATCATGGTACCAATATAAACAAAATTTCCCATTCAATCTACACTGGGAATTTTGCTGAATAAGGTCAGTACATCGAACACCCTCAAAACGTCCCTCTCGTCTTTCTTCTTCTCTCTCCTCTGCCATCTTTCGCTCTTTCTTTCCTTCCTTTTTTCTCTTTCTGCCTTCTTTGGCTCCCAAACTTGTATGCTTGCTTCTGCGAGTATGTACTGTATATTGTTCCGTTTCAGTGAGAAGTTCGGGCTGTTCCGTGTAAACTTCAGCGACCCTACTCTTCGTCGTATTCCCAAAGATTCTGCATTCGTGCTGTCCGACATCGCGCGTACTAGACACTTGCCTTGGTCCCTGGTGGCGATCACTACAGACCTCGAGGAAGAAGATTCCAACGATGTGAAAGAGCACGATTCAAAATCAGCAGCAGCGAGTTACCGGCGAATTCCTCATCATTATATAAATCCATTCCTGTTTATATGCCTGATAGCAGAAGCCAGTTTCATGCTAAGCTCATAGGAAAATGAAAATTACTCGTAATTTTGAATACACACAATTTGAATATACTCATACTCATGGAGCTGAGCCCTTCTTGAGGAGCCGCCAATTCTGCAGCTACTCAAGAATTTCCCAGCATGTTATGGAACTCGAAGGTTCATTACCGTGTTTGCAAGAGCCCTCCACTGGTCCCTATCCTGAGCCAGATCAATCCAATCCATTCAATCCCATCTCTCTAAGATCCATTTTAATATTGTCCACCACCTACGCCTTGGTTTTCCCAGTGGTCTCTTTCCTTCTGAATTTCCCACCAATATCCTATATGCATTCCTCTTCTCCCCCATTCGTGCTACGTACAAATATGTAACACAACACAACTGGTTAGAAACTGAACACGCCAACCGAATTTGTTGCTACGTGTGAGCGTTTGAAACAATTTCAAGTCCAGTATCGGTAAGGTGCTCGATAAGAAGGGTAACTTCTATTCCACACTTCCATTTTACCTCGTTATTTCTGATCAGAAATCTGTTCTGGTCCGAAATTCTCAATGAAGTCAAGGGTTTCTGCGAAACTATCGTGTTGAATTCAAAACCCCAAAATCTCTCCAATAATCCACCAAATTCTCGAAGCTAATATTAACATTTATTCTCCAAATATGACTAGAACTGAAATAATTTTATATGAAATGTTACATAATTTATTAAAAGAACAGAAAATCATAGATATTTCAGTCGGCGTGGAGACTCGGCTACAGTATCTTAAATTTTCCAAGCCTATGGAATACGAAGAAGATAAATTAAAATCACCATAAGGAAGCCACAGGTTAATTAATATATATATCCGTCCAGCCGAACTATGGCCCTAGGTTCGACACAGTCTGTAAGAGAAAGGAATACTAGGAATCTTTCGGGGGATAGAAGGCGGCCGGCGTTTAAGGCTGACAAACTCACCGCCGTCGGTGAGTCGATTGTCAAGAAAAGAATGTGGGAGCCTTCACGTCTCATAAACCTATGGGCCTCCATAGCCTGTCACATGAATAGTTTAAGCATTCTTCACGGAAATCACAACTGCTGCTGGAAAATCCACCTGTCGGCAAAATTAGTACTACCTACAACCATTGGGTGCAGCCATCTGTCGGCGCCCTGTGTTACCACAATCACACGCGTAATCATTACGATTTTACTGTACAAGGAGATATATATTTATTATATTGTATTTAAGCATCCTGTTATATTAATACATTCTTGACAAACTGTGCTATTTCCGTCCACAATGCAACTTACTTCCGCCTTCTCCTTTTCAATTTCACAACGTTTCGACCGTATATGGCCATCATCAGGTGTTCTTTTGGCAAAGACTCTTATACTGTGTGGTATATCCCACTTCTTCTATCACATATGAATGGGATAGGTCCTAATTTAAAACAATGGACTCTATTAAAATCAATGAAGTCTAGTTAAAATTTGGTCACAGTAGCTGAGGTGTCTAAGACATTAACTGTCTTCGTTCGCTCGAAATCTGGGACCGCGGGTTCAAATCCCACACAAGGTATGGATGTCTGTGTTTGTGTTGTCCTGTGTGTAGGTACCTGCCTTGCGATGGGCTGATCTCCCGTCCGAGGAGTCCTACCGACGGTGTAAATAGATTAAGAAACTGAAAAAGCGTCCAAGGTTCAACAAAGGACTGTAGAAATAGATAGATAGATAGATAGATAGAGACACAGATAGACAGAGAGACAGACAGACAGATAGATAGATAGATAGACAAAATCTAACAGAATTTCTAAGGAAGGCTATGGCTAAAAAATGCTTGTTTTACCAATGGTAATGATTTTCTGCCACACTGAAGTAAACAGTTCCTAAGAATATGAAAATTATTTTGCGTTTCTTGGTTAATTTCTGCTTTGTATCCAACGTGCAATAAACCGCTAAGGTTATTTGATGAGAAAATCAATATGAATGCCACATATTATCGCTGAGTTTGAAACAGATTAAGGTCCATTATAATTGTGACATTTCCTCCACAGCAGACATAATTATAGGCCATGACTTGGTCATCATACCCTCGTTTGTTAGAAGGATCCAACCCAATGAAATGAAATTAGCAACAAGGTGACAAGACATTGTCTCGAGTATCATAAATTATGCAACATGTCTATCTCGAATGGACTCCTTTGTAATGAAATTACCGGAAAAACCAATGATCCATCATTAACTTGGCTTGTGTATGTGAGTGCCATAACAAAGTTTTCTAAAATTAAATCATTAGTTTCAGTCATGAAGTAAACGATCTATTAGCTCATCATATTGCCAGATGATGACTGACGGAGATACCCGCTGCTTAGTAAAGACTCGGGGTTTTCTATGTGGTCCGTGTCGAAGTAATATAACGAGAACTCGCAAGGGAATGGTCTGATCGGACATGTCGAAACCTGCCCTGATTTTTTTCACTGCAGGAGTACACACAACAAAATCCACTGTCAGAATTTTAGCTGCTAATACGCACTGCAAATATTTTTTTAAAAATGCTGAACATGGCCAATATTGTAGCCTGCCAGACCCTTGGAGAAATGTCCACCCCTAGCAGAGCAGTAGACAACACGCAACATGCAACACGCAACACGCAACACGGCTGACTCACAGCCTAGGCTGGGGTTGTACAAACCTCTGGTACAAGCGGTTCCGCGTACAGAAAAAAATGAGTAACTTCGGCAATTTAAAGAAAAGTTATTTGCAGTGGGTATTAGCAGCTAAAATTTTGACAGTGGATTTTGTTGTGTGTACTCTTGCAGTGATAAAAGAAATCAGGGCAGGTTTCGACATGTCGGATCAGACTTTCCCTTGTCAGATTGATTTAGTCAGCTTTAGCGGAAAGTTGGACAGTTGGGTCAATGAGTTAGTCGCAAGGCAACTGACATCCAGTGAGGACGTGAACACGGAAGCTGGGGGATCACATTGTTGGGCACCATAGCCTAGCAACGTCTAGTGAAAACAAACTGTGAAGACTTTGCATGTAGGAACGGGGACCCAAAAATAACCGGAACCGACCTGTTGCGCGCGCATGCTTTGTAGTTACGAGTTGTGCTGCTAGGTGGTGTTAGCTGGGGGTCTCCCGCGACTGTTAGTGAGCTGGCGTCAGTCTGAGTTAAGTGGTTTGTCTGTGGTGCTCTGTTGTGTGCGTTCCTGTTTCAATAGTGAGAAGTCGAGTACGTAAATTTGTTAGCATTATAATTACTTGTAGTAACAAATTATGAGTGCCTAATAAATCCAACTACCAATCCAAACCCCATGTCTAGTCACTAACACGTGACAATATGTTCACGAACTTGAGGACAGTTCTATACGAGTACTTTCAGAACAAATGAGAGATAATCTTAACCTATCTGTACAGTCATTCATATCGCTCTGGTATTATGAAGGCCGCCTGGTAATTAGTCTGAAACGAAATATGACGCATGCGTGATTAACATTCCTGCACGTCATTCAGGAAAGCAACTTTTGCGATTCTCAGGCGGAAAGGCGGTTGTCCTGGCTGAGTCTAGTACAGCCAGTACATACCCTTCAATACATGAAGCTACCGTGCTGAAGTAAACCCATCGGATTCCCGACCCGGATTCCACCTCAGCAGCAGCTTACAAAGATCGTTCGCAGCAACATAAACAGAACGTCCTGTATTTTTCGATAGTCTGTAGGATAGTTGTTTTTGAGCAAAGAACTGACTCGAACTTGAAGCCTAAGTGGATAGCACGCACGCGCAAAACCATTTTAACACACGATAAAAAATCCACTTCTTCTCTCTACTGTCTTGCTGAATGTGACTCCATATATTCTGACTCTGCAGTCCATATTTTATAATAGTTAGTAGCTTTGCTAAGCAACGACAAGTTCCACACTTGTTACGTTTGGCACACATACAGGTGACGGTTCCCTATACTTACACTTTTCTTTACAGTTATTTACTCGTAAATATTTTGTCGCATGTAGACCAGATGCTAGGCAACGACCGCGAAACAAAAATTAGATAACTTCTGTCACTAGGAAATGGCCAGTAAACAGCAACAGAGGCCGTGATCCTCAAGGGGCTTGGATCCAAGACCAACTGCTAGGCGATAAACCGCCATTCATGAAGCAATTTTGATTTGAATTTGAGTTAGTTAGTGCAGTGCAGTGCAACGAAGTGCAGGGAACTAAAGACTTCATTGGGGAGCCAGTTAGAGAACTGCAATTCAGTCGTTGTGAGCTGATGCTGTTAGAAGCTAGTAGCCGAGACAAGGAGATAGTTCGGGAACATAGAATAAGGGGAAGTCAGATTTGGAAGCCGTTACCAGGCAACGACTGGTGAAGACACAGGAGTCTGAGAAGACTTAGTGAATTGCAGAGTGTGCGAATTAGCGATGGCATTATAGTTACTTGTAGTTGCGTTCTGTAAGTGGTAGATAAATCTAATTACCAACCCAAACCCCTTATATACGAGTTGTCATTCATACAAGCGACACCATACAATTCTTTTAATTAGTAAAACTATTTTTAAAAAAATATGAAGTCAGCAGATATAGGGAACACTCAAATACACGCGTATGAAACTTGTTCAATGTATAACTCACGGATTGTTGAGAAACTGTATCTAAATTTCGTAAAATGAATGTCACAAAGATGGCGAACAAAACGTCCCCTTAAGGAAAAGCTAAATCTTTGTGAAGTAACGAAATAATCACAGTCAAACCTACTACGAAGTTAGATATTTATATATTGCAAGGTTGTAATATTTTAAGTTTATTTATGAAAAACACAAAGAAAGAAACTGTAAGGAAACAAATGACTGTTTCATTGTCACAGTTGAAGCTACGGCAATACCAAGACCAAACACCAAGGTAAAACCGCCCGCCTGTCACGTTATCTGCCACTTCGAAGGTCTCCTGATAGTAATTTAATTGAAACAAGTTCCGTCGGTTTCGTAAGCAGTCCGTATGCGCGTAATTTCCAGAGTTGAATGCAACGCTTTCCACTAAAACAGTCTGCCACAATCCCTCCTGGATTTCAAGTAGTAGAGCTAGAGTCCAAAGCCAGTGAGAAAATAAAAATTAGGAAAATGTTTCCTTAAAATAAAAATGATACAAAACAATAAACTCGGTGGCTTTAGTCCGCAAGCGAACTGTACCGACCGAGCAACCGTCGCCTGTCAACGAAGTTAGTGCCAAATAAAGATGATAGTGTTATATCGTATAAGCAGTCGCCAGGATGTCGGGTGCTTTCTGATCATACAAATCCTGTGCTAGCAACAAGATATTTAGATGAAGAAAGCAGTCTTCTGGGATGTGGCACCGTGTAGGTTTGGTGTTAACCGAAATTTCGGAGGAACGTATCGCCTCCATCTTCAGGGCAGAAGGAAAAATAAGAAATCCGCAAGCGAAGAGACCGTGAGAACCGGTTCTCAACTGCCAACTTTTGAGGATAGAGGATGTCACGTGGTCAATGCAACGAATCCACACGGGCGTTAATCCCGATTTTCTAGACCGGAGCCGCTATTTCCTTTAAATATTTCCTCAATTATCCTCATGAGGCTGAGTGGACCCCACTCCTGACCCACTATTTCTCAGAAAATCTGGTAGCGACGGGAATCGAACCCGGGACCTTTGGATCTGTAGCCAGTAACTCTGACCACTAGACCACAAAGGTGGTCTATGTGTATAGCGGATACACAAATTATCTGAAATTCGGAAATAATTACTAAAATAACGTTAAGCGGCCTCCGTAGTCTAGAGGTAACGTTCCCACATCATGACTCGTGGTACGCGGGTTCAAACCCGGCGGAGGTCGTCGAATTTTTAAGGGCGGAAAAATTCAGTGAACAAGTCTTCCGGGAGAGACTTTAAGCCGTGGGTCCCGTGTCGTAGCTTTACGGCACGTAAAAGAACCTCATATCTCCAAAGGAGGTCACTGAGCCAAATTACAGACGTTTCCCGCCCAACAGCAGTCTCTAACGGCTCTGATAGATGGGGGAAGCATTATAAATACCGCCAAGCCAGTAGAGGCCGAACTCGTTGGCTCGGTCGGGACTGATGGTACGCACCAATATCGGTAGGGTATAGAGACTGGTAGAATATCATAGAGGGAAGCACAATGGACCAATACTGGTCTAAGTGCATGGGGGAAACCCACCCTCTCCAATAACTAACTAAAATAACGTACGTGTAACAATGTCTACGTAAGATCGAAGAAATAAGTGCTTCCCAGATGTCTAAAAGAAACAACAGGTTCATTGAGTAGTGACACATATAACGATGATTCATCGCCTTCGCGAAGGTCACTAAATTATCACGGTTCTAGTTTTATCGTAGGCTATTACCTTAACAAAACTTCTACAAAAGTTGTTCAGTTGGCTTTCAGCGAAAGCAAGGGGTTCTTCTGTATGTACGTGAAACAGGTAAATGGTAGTGTTAGAAATATTAATATCTTACAAGTTTTAAAATCATTCCTTTATCTAAATCTAAAAAGTTCCTGACGATGATACGTAACTACAAACATGAATATCATTTAGAATATTGTCCAGTTTAATGAACTGTAATCAAAGACAACAGAGGTTCAACACAGATCCAGTTGAACCATTTCGTTGTTCCTTCCTGTAGTGCAACAGGAGACGGTGAAGGATTCAGCATGAAGCGGTTCTGGGTTTACATCAATCTCATAACAAGCGCCTGGGGAATTTCGCACCACAACGTCTCCAATCACACGTTCCCAACAGACTTCATGATTGGTATAGCCACTTCGGCCTATCAGACTGAAGGAGGCTGGAACGAGAGTGGTAAGTTTTGTATCTGTACCTGTCTCTGGTAGCTGACAGCGTTGACTGGAGACTGCCCTCAACAACTTCCATCCACTTCCCGTTCTCATAATAATATAAATATATATTTATATAACACCCATTTTAATATTATCCTCCAATTTCGCTTGCGATCTCACAAGTGACCGCATTCAAAGAGATTTATCCAACACAATTTTGTAAATTTTCCTGCTCTCGCTAGTTTTTTTAAGTTTATTGAGTGGGGTGAGACTGAATTAACTTGGTACTGCGGCCGTTAATTGACCTATTGTACGATAGATGATGAGTGTGGAGTAGTTCGTGGAATGGGAATTGGCAGGGGAAACCGAAGTACTAGGAGAAAACATGATCCAGTTCCACTTTGTCTACCTTAAATTCCACATGACCTGACCTGGGCTCAAACACAGGACGCCGCGGTGGGAATTCGGCGACTAGCAGCCTGATTTATGGTACGATCCGTTCTCCCCATAACCTATCCATCACATTGGGACCTCCAAGGTTTTCATGGTAATAACAGCTGACCTAGTAAAAGTATTTATATTTACGCTACACACTAATGCTTAAAACAACAAGGCTTTCGGGAGGGGGGGTGTTATTAATGACGGTGTCAATAGCTGTAATACATGCGTCGGACAGTAAAATTAATTTTATTAATTATTTGAAGATTAATTAAGAACTGGAAAACATTTATGACGAAGTGGTCGTGTTTTAGCCAAGCATCATTCGCCTCTAGAGACAGGAATTTCACGAAAACCTCAGTTAGGATTTCCGGTGTCCCGGCCGAGATTTGAACCGAGCACCTCCCCTATACGAGTCTAGAGGGTTACCACTACGTTAACCTTCTTGATAACTCGTTTTCGAGGTTAGCATCGAGTGGGTTATGAGCAACTGTGGACCTACAAACAAAAACAAACTCCGTGGCCTGTAGTCCGCAAGCAGACTATACCGACTGAGCGACTGCCGCTTGTAGGCGAAGGTAGTGCCAACTTCTGAGGATAGAGGGTGTCGCGTGGTAAGTGCAACGGATCTCCACGGACGTTAATCTCGGTTTTCTAGACCGGAGCCGCTATTTCCTTGAAATAGCTCCTCAATTATCCTCACGAGGCTGAGTGGACCCCGTTCCAGACCCACTACTTCTCAGAAAATCTTGTAGCGCCGGGAATAGAACCCGGACCTCTGGACCTGTAGCAAGGACCTCTGACCACTAGACCACAGAGGCGGTTCTATAGGAAGAAAGATTACGTAGTAATACGTACATTTCCTTTCGGCGATATCGTACGAGTGTCTTCACACCTGAAACGTGTGGACAGAGGAACAGAAGAAGCTCACGATTATGTATTCATTTTGTGCAAGGGATATCAAATGGTGCCTTATGTTTTAGCTTGTAGTTCTGGAGAATCGCTGGCCCAGTCACTCGATTTCATTTTCAGGCAAAGGAGTCAATATCTGGGACACGTTCTCTCACGAGAGCCCCTGGATTGTGGACCGCTCGACTGGGGACATCGCTGCCGACTCATACCACCTCTACAGGCAGGATGTGGAGGCTCTGGTTCAACTGGGCGTAAGCAATGCTCTCATATGGCAGGAGTCCTTATTGAGAAGTTAACAGTCACAAAAATTCAAGAATTTTTCTGGCCCCACAGTTTCAATACGTTATTTACATGAGCCCATCGCCTTCCACATTGTAAAGTAGGTGGGTCGCGTCCATATTTTCAGGCGATATGACTTTAACAACCAATTTTATCTTCCCATTTCGGAGTAGGCCACCAAGTGATCTATTCCGTTCACGTTTTTTCGGGTTAGATCTTTTATTATTATTTATTTAAACTGAAAACGGGCTTTTGCCCGGTGGCAGTGATACTACAATAAGACACAACATACAAATAACACATCACATTCGACAAAACACAGCACACAAAACTACACAAACAACAAAGGACACTCTAGCACACAGTAAACGTAATAAAAATACACTTATAACTATAACAAATATATTTATCATGAAGGAAACGATTTTGGAGACTTACAAGTAGATGGGAGGATAATTTTAAAATGGCTCTTCAAGAAATGGAATGGAAAAGTACTGACTGGATATATCTGTCTCAGGATAGGTGCCAATTTTAGGTTCTTGAGAACACAGTGAAGAGACTTTGGTTCCATAAACTGCTGGCAATTACTTGCTGAGCAAAAACTGACTTCCCAATAAGGACTCCACTCCATGGAATTTTGTGCCGCATGTCCTGCCATCTCATCTCCCTTGGTTTCATTCCCTTAACATCTGGTAAAGAATGTGATATATGATGGTCGTTAATTCTCAAAGAAGGCAATCATAGAACGTAACAAACTTTTACTAAAATGCTGAAGGGTTTTGATGATGGTGTATGACATTCAGGATTATTGTTTTTTTTTAATGTTGTATTTTAGCGTCCTGTTGCACTGATTCGTATCCATAATGTGCAGATATTAACCGTCTTTTAATGCATACAATCTCACTCATCACTTCACACTACATGTTTCGGCATCATTCTGCCATCCTCAGGTGTATTAATCACGTTGAACCATTGTACTGCTTGCCATCAAGTGTCCATTTATAAAATGATATAAAATGTGTGTTCGTTTTGTTCATTAATAAAATTTATATATTAAAACTTGTTAAGATCTATTATTTTATATCATTTTATAAGTGGACACTTGATGGCAACCAGTGCAATGGTTTAACGTGATTAATACACCTGAGGATGGCAGAATGATGCCGAAACATGTAGTGTGAAGTGATGAGTGAAATTGTATGCATTAAAAGACGGTTAATATCTGCACATTATGGATACGAATCAGTNTTTTTATTTTGTCCATCATCTGGTACTCTGAAGAACACAGTGTTTCGAAAACTGGATCTGTTTCCCTTCTCAGGTGAGGAGGTTGAGAGATAGCTACTCTGTTGGATCCAGTAACTGAGGTTAGCTCTTTCTAACGGATCCAAGAGAGCAGATGTCTCTCACTCCTCCCCCCAAATTGAGGAAGGAAACAGATACAGTTTAGAAACATTCTGCTCTTTAGTGTTCTGTAGAATACTGGACGATGAAAGAAGTCCAAAAACCCAGTAATCCCGAGTTTTGCTAAAATGTTGAGTCAGTAAGGTCGCCTTACATGTTTCCTTCCCATAGGACCATTTTCAGAGACTTTGTAACAAAAGGAGATTGCTTACATGTGCATTTAATATTATATCCAAAGTGGTCAGAGTTCCTGGCTACAGATCCAGAGGTCCGGGTTGGATTCCGGCCCTACCAGATTTCCTGAGAACTAGTGGGTCTGGAAGGGGGTGAACTGAGCCTCGTGAAGATAACTGAAGAAATATTTCAAGGAAATAGCGACTCCGGTCTAGAAAACCGAAATTCACTGCTGTAGGGATTGATCGCCCTGATCACGCGAAACCCTCTATTCGCTAAAGGTGGCACTAACTTCGCCGACAAGCGGCGGTCTCTCGGTCGGTATAGTTCGCTTGCGGACTAAAACTATGGGTCCTAGAAGTATACCCTATATATTTCTTGTGAGCACAAAGGCTGAAATATATAAGGCCAATTTACTGACTCAAACTTTTAGCAAAAGTTTATTATACTTAATGGTTCTATTGGGTTTTAACAATTAATACCAACCGAAATGGCCGAGAAAATCTTATGTAAATCCAGTCTCTTCTAAAGCACTATAGTTTAAAGGAAACAGATTGATAGAAGGGTGTGATATGCAACCATTGGTATGTTTACAGAATGGGATGCTAAAAATAATGTAATTTTGTAACATAAAATCGATGAAAAACGTTGCACAATGCAAAATTAAGAAATTGAAAAAAAAAATGGTTTTAGAATGCTTCTTTCCTTAAACATTAACGATTTCAAAAGTGTTTGTATTGTATTTCTAATTTGACTGAAATTCGAAGAAAAAAAGATGTTTCGCTAGTTTTCATATTACTGTATCTCTTTAATTATGAGTTGGATACCATTAATATATTAAAATTTTTTGTTCCAAATTACCTCAGGAATGCCCTCCCTAAGTGGGGGTAAAACTTCGTGAATCACTCTGTATATCGTAGTAAGACATGAAGCTCGTTACTGTGTAATTTTCTCCATCCTCCTGTTCCTTCCTACAACTAACAGTCAAATAAACACCTTGATATCCCAACCACTATTAATAGTTTACGAGATTATTTATGACTAGAAAATTGAAATGTTGAACTGAATACTTAAATTTCGGAATAACATGTGGGTAGTGTTTGTGCAGGTCGACTTCTACCAGTTTTCAATTTCATGGTCAAGAATACTCCCTACTGGATTTGTCAACGAGGTTAACCAGGCCGGTGTCGACTACTACAACAATCTTATTAATGAGCTTCTGAAGAACCATATAGAGCCAATGGTAAATCACAATTATTATCATCTTCACTGGTCTTTAGCATAACGCATAACTATAAACATGTTTATTATTTCGGATTACTAAATAATAATAATAATATCCCCCTAAATGTCTCTCCACTTTGACGTGGTGGTGGGACTTTCATGACTCTGTGACCTGGAGTGCTATGCCGGCGGTAGTTTAACTACCGGTAGGGTCATCCATGCAGGAAAGGTCAAAAGGTAGAGTCCAGGCTAAGAGAGAGACCCTGGTTCTCCAGATTGGGGGTTGGGCATGAGGCTAACAACCTCATCCTGAAAAAGAATTTTGTTCAGAAACCTAACAGCCAGCCTCGGGTTATCATGTGTGGGTCCATTCCTATGGCAGCACGCACTGGTTGTGGAGACTGGTTGTAGAGGAGACCAAGGCTCACCCAGGGCTGTAGCGCCGAGTGGTAGGTAGGTAAAAATAATACTAATAAAATGGCGACGAAGATTATAAAAACAGCAATTACATTAAAATGATTTATTTTTTTCATTGAAATGGTCAGAACTTTCAAATTCGTCAAAGGTTACGTAAACGTTCAGAGTACTTGTATCTCATCTGAAGTCTTCCTAAATGCCGATTTTCTGGAAGTCTATTTAAATATTTCATTTGGTAATTTACATTTTCTCATCCGGTGTACATGATTTCTCCACCTCTCCTGATATTTCGTAATGTCGGCTTTCATTTAATTATCATCAAAAAACATCAAAGTCAATCCCCCACTGTAACGTCTTTAATTCTCTGTACAAAACTCGTTAATTTGGTTCCATTTATTTATTGGAGTACTTAGCAGCAGCTACAGGCTAAAACAGGATAATATTTAAAGTGGATAATGAATATACAGAATAAAACAGTAGAGCCAAACAATCACAACAACAACAAAAAATTAATTGGATTCGCATACTGGTTACCAACTTACCAACTTACGTATTCAAACGCCCCAAATATCTGTCATTCCCTCACACTGAGAACACAAACTTTATAGCCAAGTAGAAGCCCAAGCAATACTACAACAGACACAGAGCGGTATGATACGCAAATACACGAAACAAAATAGCTTTATAATTCTTGAGCTTTTCATGACGAAAACTGCTTATCTTCTGGACTTTTGGGTTGTGGGATCTTCTGTCGAAATCTTTTACTCTGCCCCTCTGAAACGTTGTTATCCAACTACAAGTCTACACAGTATCACAACTCCGAAGACTTAAAAATTTAAATATATATTTTATTTATAGCCAATCTCCAGAAATCTGTGTAACCTTTTACTGAATATCTGTTGCGTTCGTTCCAGAGTTGTTACCTTCAACTGTTGTCACAGTTGCTGGTTCAGTCATTACTCAGATATATAAAACATATCCAATTTTCTCGTTTCTCATTTCAGGTTGTGATGTACCACTGGGATCTTCCACAACAACTGCAAGATTTGGGCGGGTGGGCTAACCCTGTAATGGCGGATTACTTCCAGGATTATGCTCGTGTTCTGTTTTCCATGTTTGGCGACAGGGTGAGTCATATGTCTCAAATGAATGTGTCTCAATAAGGCCGCGCCATAGCTCAAGCGGTTAGTTGCTAGTTTCCACCGAGGCGGCCCGGGTTCGATCCCGGGTCTGGTTAAGTGGGATTTGTGGTGGACAAAGTGGCGCTGGGGCGGGTTTTCTCCGAGTACTTAGGTTTACCCTGCCCATCTTCATTCCACCAAATTCTCCATCATCATAATCACCCGGGGCAGGCTACAATTGGCCAATCAATGGCCGCCGTGCAGAGTGGACCCAGTTGGACTCTCAATAAGTCAGATTAGTTTACCACTGAACGTAGAGGTCAAGTCCTACATCGCATTCGGAATGTTCGGTTTCGAATCAGTGCAATTCTTAGTCCCTCAAGACAAATATAGACATGTCTTCATTGGCTACATCCTGTTGTGTGCTCCAGATATATTTAGGAATTATATTAACCGTCAACACAATAAATATACCGTATTTACGCATGTATAGGCCGCGTGCGTGTATAGGCCGCAGCACAATTTTCAGACAGAAATTATAGAAAAAATAATTTTCTTTGAATATTATTTCAGGAGTAGAACACCCTGTATTACTAATTATGAATATAATTTTTTTTAAATGAAGTGTGATTTCGAATATTTCGAATATAAGCCGCACCCCAGTTTTCCTCTTGAATTTTTGGCAAAAAAAGGTGCGGCCTATACATGCGTAAATACGGTACTCAGTTTTAATGTTTTACAATTCGATCTTTATTCTTACTACATGTTTCTGCCGTATAAGACCATCATCAAGCGGTTATATGTAGGAATACGTACAGTTACTGAACTGGATCCATATCACTGCAACGTGTCGCATTATGAGTACATACTAACAGATAAAACTTGCCTCAAGTTGGTGTTAACAATTAAAATAGAAGACATAAAACAAGACAAAAGATTAAATATAAAAAGTATACACATATCAATATTTATAATGTGTTAATGGAATACTAATAATATTAAAAGTAATTTTATAATTTAAAAAAGAAATATATCGGCCTCAAGGCTTCTACCTACGCAGGACAACACAGACACACGTCCTTTCAAACAGAATGAGAAGTCGCCTAAGTGCACACATGTTTTGCCCACAGAAAGGGACTACAGATGTAATTACAAAAAAAATTCTCATGCGCAGGTGAAGTGGTGGATCACTATCAGCGACCCTCACAGCATATCATACGGATATAGCGAGCCACAGTCATACGCTCCTGGTGTGAACGCCTCAGGTGTGGGTTACTACCTGGCAGCCTACACTCTGATAACTTCCCACGCCAATGTTTACCGTCTGTACGAGCAGGAATTCAGGAGCAAACAGAGAGGTAATCTTGACACTTGAGAGGCGAGGGTGGAAGATGTCGGAAGATACTGGCCACTATTGTACTTGTGTACTGCTAAACTGAACTGAACTAAAGCAATTTACATTGCAAAGCATCATTCCAGCAGAGAAACTAATACTAAATACAATGATACTATGCCTGATGAAGACAATGATTCTTATACAAAGTTTGAAATGTAAAATGAAAATTGTTAATAAAATTAACCATTATGAGAGGATTACTGAGGAGCTATTTGAAAGAAAAAGTAGCGGCTCAGGTCTAGAAAACCGAAATTAACGACCGTGGGGATTCATTGCGCTGCCCACGCGACACCCTCTATCCACTAAAGTTGACACTAACTTCGCCGACAAGCGGCGGTCGCTCGGTCGGTATAGTTCGCTTGCGGACTAAAGCCACGGATTTTTTCATGAATAAATTTCATTCATCTACAGAGCGACAAATCCCTGTTAGCAGTGTTTATATTACAAGTATGAATCTTTTAGTGTTCTTATAGGATATGAGAAAGTTTGTGCAACATATCATATAGCATAATAAAGCGGGAATCTGATTCCATCCATATCTTGCAGGAAAAGTTGGTATAACCTTGAATGGGGAGTGGTATGAACCAAAGACAGACTCCCAAGAGGACAAGCAGGCGACTGAAATGGCAATGCAGTTTGTGGTAAGTGTGGTGTCATTCTGTTCAGGAAAATTCTAAGATCTAAAATATATTTTTCTTTGAATATTTCAAGTTTTAAGAATAACGTTGTAATTATATGCATGTATGTTAGATTCTGGGTCACGCGGTAGAGTAGTTGATTGAGGTACTATGCTACAAACCGGAAGATCGCGGGTTCGATACCCTATAAAGTCACTGAATTTTTTCAATTTACCTAATCCTTCCAGCAGCTATATGACCCTGGGGTCGACTCAGCCTCTAACAAAGGAGTACCAGGAATCTTCCTGGAGGGTAAAGGGCCGTCGGCGCGTAGGGCTGACAATTTTATCGCCATTTATGAGCCGATTGTCTAGAAAATGTGGGACCCTTGACGTATCACACCCCTATGGGCCTTCACGGCCTGTTACAGGGACAGCTTCACCATTTATGTTAGATTCCAGCAAGAAGGTCTGTCTGGAAGTAAAGTGATGTAGACTTGTAGATTCATGACTTTCGCAAGAATGTAGGATAAAACGGTGATATAAAAGTAGTTCTAAATCCTTAAAAAATGTATCAAATTTAAACTATTCTGGAACGACAATAATAAGTAAAAATTAAAAGCGCGAAGAAATTGGAAACGGGTCTAACTAATGTCGATCATATTTGCCACCATTCACTTCAGAATTCTTTCCTTCCGTGTCTACCAAGTCACTGTATAGCAAAAACCGGCTCCTCTGACTCCACTCCTCCGGCGTTGAAGTGTGATTTCACATTTCTCCCTCCTTATCGCTGCTCGTCTCGAGTAGCATATACGAGATCTCCAGAACTTCCTCCTCTGGGCTGCTCGTTTTGAGCAATTGTTGCGGGCAGGGAGACACAAAGAGCAAAGATGACTTCTTAAGACTCATTCATTTGTATGCTAAAAATGTCTTTTAGCTCTTATAATACTAAACATCTGTTTTAATCCTCGTTAATCTGCTAAAGTTAATGAAAATGTGAATGTCACTGCAGCTGGGTCTCTTTGCAAACCCAATCTACGGCCTCAAAGGCGACTATCCTGATGTAGTAAAGAATCAAGTCAATAGAATCAGCGCGGCAGAAGGATACCACAGATCTCGTCTAAGGAAATTCAGTCCTGATGAAATTGCAACTGTTAAAGGTAAGCAATAACCTACATATACAGATCGAACAAGAGAGTTCATGAAGAGGGTGGTCTTGTGGATTGCAACGCCATGCAGTTCAGCAACTGCCGCCTGTTTATTATTGGTTTATTGCTTGGCCTACTCTTTCGACCTGAAGATGGAGGCAGTATGTTCCTTCGAAACATTGGTTGAATTACATCTCTCACTACACTGTATTACAAATCAGACGATCACACTTACCGTAATCATCGCTTTGAATTCATTACATTTTAGAAAGTTCAGTTTATTGATTTATGGACACCGGAAGGTGACAGACTCGAACATTGTTACCGATAACGTAATGTTGTCGATTCTGAAATATTACATTCATGTTCTCAATCGATATATTTGTATGTATGGTATGTAAACATATAAATTCATAGGGGATGCAAAAAGTCAAAAGAATAAGTCTAAAGCATTTGACAAATATAACTACATGCAATTTCCAAAACCTGTGTAAACGTATGAGATAAATTTTCTCTATAATCAAATAAGAATAGAGTTATGAAATTTTATGGGCTGTGAAGGAATGGCTCTACGCGTTCTTACCCTCGACACTACGTAGAAGTGAATTGTTATTGGAACAATCTCTTGGTATCCATTATATAGACGGCTTCTTGAACCCCGATCGGTGTTCGAAATACGATCGACCGACGCGTCATTAGCGATATCCACTTAGCTAACTCGGCTTCTACGTTTTTGTTTTGTTAGGAAGATACCAGGGATGTGTACCATGTATAGTTTAAGTTCAAAAATCCTGTATAAAATGTGCTTTTCTGTCGATAAAAGTAGATTTCCACGGAAAACAGTTGGAATTTCTCCAATATTATCTTTTGGTACTGTACAAGAGTATATGTATTACTTAGTAGCCCTACAAATGCCAAGTGTCGAAAACTTCGAACTTAAAAACGTATTTATTGTGAAAAATAATTGTAAATAAGAAAAGCCTAGGCAATGCGCATCCGGAACTCTCTAGCACATTCTAATAAATATCTTATTCTATTACAGCGGTCTCCCCGCGATTTTAATATATATCTTAACATAAATCTGAGATAATGCCATTATTATTTTCTACGTTTACTTTTTTATTTTCTTATATATCTATTTGAAACAGAATGCGACATCTCACATACAATTTACCCGTGAATTTTCCAGTGCTTCTACTTAACGCTGTATGAATCAGAGTTGGCAATTTTAGGATTAAAAGGACCACATATGACGTCATGTTACAGGGGCCTACGATTTCTTTGGGCTCAACTATTACACCAGCCGCACAACGAGGGCTCCTAAGCCGACAACTGACGTGAAAAACAACCCGGATATTAATGTGATTTTTGGCGATTTCTCAAACGCTACCAAATCTGCTGTACCATACTATGAGGTAAAATATTTAATTATAAACGTGCTACATTAATTGCAGTCGAAAAGTTGAAACTAAAGCGAATATTTTGAAATCTTCACGGAGTTGTTTGGAGGACTGCGGTCTTCGGGGTTGTAACGCTGTGTAGTCGTGTATGTGGAGTGAGGAGTTGACTGGTTTATGTATACTGATTGCAAGGAAGGCGGTCATGCAGATCCTAACGAGGTTTTTTTTATTGCTAGTGGGGTGGGACTATGTCCCTTGTACTTCGGCCACCTCTGGCCTATTGTACCAGCCCCAGGTGTTAGGTGAGGGTGATTGTGGAGCAACTGGTGGAATGAAGATTGGCAGGGGAAACCGAAGTACTCGGAGAAAACTTGCCCCAGCGCCACTTTGTCCCCCACAAATCCCATTTGGCCATACCCGGGATCGAACCCGGGCCGTCGCGGTGGGAAGCCAGCGACTAAACGCTTGAGCTATTGCGCGGCCTAACGAAGGAGTTAGTATGAGGGCCGATGAGATGAGAATGGTGGGTAGGAACAAAAACCTTTCCAGGGACGCTACGAGTATGTGTTTCGTAACACGATGGAAAGGCCTACCATAACTCAGGCAGTTATTCGCGGGATTCCCACTTCGGCGGCCCGGGTTTGAGCCCAAGTAAGTTAATGTGGGATTTGTGGTAGACAAAGTGGCAGTGGCGCACGTTTTCTCCTAGTACTTCCGTTTCCACTGCCAATTCTCATCCCACAAAGTGTTCCATACTCATCTATCACCCGAGGCTGATACAATAGGCCAATTAGTGGCCGACGTACGAATTGGATTAGTCTCACCGCAAACCCAAAGAACCAGAAAAAGAACTAAACATGAGAAAAATGGATTTGTGAGACACGAGGGCCCTTTGGAGGAACTAATAATTTTCGGCCATATGGGGAAAACTAAACTTGTTTAAACAACAATTTATGTAACTAGGCTACATAGCTTCAGATTAAAGGAAAAATGATACGTAAATAAATGTGAAATAATTTGAAAGGAATCTGTTGTAAACTAATCGAGGTATAATAACATAATTTACATCAGGAGACAGAAGAAAGCAATAAAATACCTGAGATAGAATAGTCGGTGCCCCGGCCAAGATTCGAACCGAGTATTTCTCGAATACAAATATAGAGAATTACCGCTAGACTGAGGGGTACGCGGTAGCGTAGTGGTTGAGGGGCTATGCTACAAGCCGGAAGGTGACGGGTTCAAGTTCCGATGAGGTCATTGGATTTTTTTCAGTTGACCTAACCCTTCCAGCCGCGCTAGGCCCTGGGGTTTACTCAGCCTCTAACAGAAATGAGTACCAGGAATTAATTAAATAATTTTCTTGAGGGGTAAAGGGGGGCCGGCGCGTAAGGCTGACAACTTTACCGCCATCTTTGAGCCGATTGTCCAGATAATGTGAGAACCTCAACGTCTCACAACCCAATGGGCTTTCACGGCCTGGTACAGGGATAGCTTTACTTTACTTTTACTGCTAGACTAACCTGATCGGTGGAGGAAAAGTGGATTTGTAACAAAGACCCCCGCCCGTATGTTTTCCTCACAGCACGGAAATCGGAAATTTGAGAATATTCGTACCACTGAATTTGTTAATCAGATGTTTTTTTCCTCATACAGGTCGTGCCATGGGGCCTACGTAAGATTCTGAACTGGATCAAGAAGGAATATAAAAATGTTCCAGTAGTCATTACGGAAAACGGTTTCTCTGACGATGGAAAAGTTAATGATACGGAAAGGACTAAGTACCTCGTTGTAAGTGGAACAGCCTGATACAGTTAACTGGCAAGCTTATAGTCAGGTCACGACTTAGGCTGGGGCCACACGAGCGCACGAAATACGTCCGTTGCAACGTACGTACTTTATGACGGACGTTGCTGAGGACACCACATACTTGCAGAATGCGGTGCGTAGTATTTGCCTGCAATGGAGCCAGAAGAAAGCGTAGCATTCGCCTCTCTTGTTTAATACCGGACGCATATCTGTGCGCTAGTGTGGCCCCAACCTTAATGGTCCCTCGTATTAAGGCTTGGCTCTGGAAGATACGACATAGCACTAGGCAACAATGACGTAAGTGATGTCTACCTCGCCGATAGCCTGCTGCTTATTTCGTTGTAAGCAAAACATATATACCACTTATTATGAAATTTGAACAGTGTCACAACTTAAATGTGAATTAATTATGTTCACTGATAATATACTGTCACGTGTAGGGAGGTACGCGTGACGAAAATAAAAGGTTTTAGTTCGGATTATTAGATTTATTAGCACTTCGGTTACAATCTCTCCCTCTCTCTCAATTACAATTAATATAGCGTTACCGATGATTTACACAAGTGACACTTCACCGTTACAAACTCACTAGGATTCTCCTGGCAACGGATCTCAACACAGAAACTAACCCTTCAAATCTCTATGAAGTCTTCTTGCTATTTCGTCTTCAATCACTCTGTACTCCTCTGTCCTAGTCTGTACTCAATCTCCACAATTCACTAAGGACCGCTCCAGTCTCGTCCTTGTGATCTCAACTGCTGAACCCTCCTGGATCTCTTTAGCTGCAATCGGACTCCTGTTATATAGCCCCGGCACGGACAACGCAGGAAACACAATTCTATTGCTGCATAGCACAGACCACACAGAAGAAAGTCACGTGTTAGCTATCTCGCCAGTCCATTGGCGCGCTGACTATTGCCTAACAACGAGCTATAAAAATTCGTCTTATTGTTGCGTTCGTTCCTATTCTCCTACACATTCTTATTCCAACGACTGCTCTACATTCATTTATCATCCTATCATATGGCGCTATAAGTTCTCAATAGAGACAGTGTCGTTAAATAACCACTATAAGACCACATTGCGAGTATCAGCTGCTTGATGCAGAGTATTCTTGCATACTTTTCAGAGTCACATGAGCGAAATGCTGAAGGCTGTACATGAAGATGGTTGCAATGTGATTGCTTACACGTATTGGAGTCTGCTTGACAGCTTTGAGTGGAACCTTGGATACACGTGAGTATACTCGTACATACATTGTAGGTTCAATAGAAACCCGTCCATAATTGATTAGACTTTTTGCTCCATCTCTATAGACGGTGAAGTTTCCATATTGTCATCTTCCAGGCTAAGATATCACGGAGCTGAGCCCTTCTTGAGAAGCTGCCAGTTGTGCAGTTATTCAAGAACTTCCCAGAATTTTATGGAAGACGAAGGTTCATTACCGTGTTCACAAGAGCCCTCCACTGCTCCCTATCCTGAGCCAGATCGATCCAATCCGTACCACCCCATCCTATCTCTCTAAGATCCATGTTAACATTGTCCACCCACCTATGCCTTAGTCTTCCTAGTGGTCTCTTTCCTTCTGGCTTTCCCACCAATATCCTATACGCATTTCTCTTCTCTCCCATTCGTGCTACATGCCTTGCCCATCTCATCCTCCTTGACTCGATCATTCTAATTATAATTGGAGAAGAGTACAAGTCATGAAGCTCCTCATTATGCAGTTTTCTCCATCCTCCTGTCACTTCATCTATCTTCGGCCCAAATATTCTCCTCAGCATCCTAAGACATCATATACCATGGGGAAAAGGTACAGACGTTTCGAAGGATTGTACTGACTCCAATCTCGAGCTTTAATTTCCATTAAAAGATATCACAGCGTACATATCCACCAATATAATCTTCACGCCGTGAAACCCCAAAATTTTTACGTAGTATTTTTCTGTCATTTTGTGACCAACAGTAGCCATTATATACGTGGTCTGAATTCAAAATCGTCATTTAATATAATCAGTACTTTAACCATGACCATATGCACTACATGCTGGAGCTCTTATGTTATTTCCCGGGGCATTCAAACAATTTATTTATTACTTATGGACCTGCAGCCCTTCTTGAGGAGCCACCAATTCTGCAGCTCCTCAAGAATTTCCCAGTATTTTATGGGACCCGAAGGTTCCTTACCGTGTTCACAAAAGCCCTCCGCTAGTCCCAATCCTGAGCCAGATCAATCCAATCAAACAATTATAAAATGAATATTTTAAGTATTTCCATTAATCACATATAAATTATTCAAAACTTATTCACAGACGTGTGCCTTTAAAATAATACTGACATCCTGTTGCATGTTACCTTTTATTGATTCAACGACCGACTGTATTTGATGACGCTAACACAATCGATGTAAACAGTGCAACAGCAAATTTTTCATACATGTTATGGTTTTATTTCTCATAGGGTGACGTTTGGCATGTATCAGGTGAACTACAGCAATCCTAATATAACCCGAATTCCGAAGAGTTCTGCATATGTTTTCTCCGAAATTACGCGAAACCGAAACCTGCCTTTAGATTACTTAAAGATAACAGGAGAAATATCTGAGGATGTGACGGATATTTACAGTTTACAACACAGAAACAGCACACCACATCACTCTGCTGCCAGCTGTAAAGGGATATTCTTCAACTACAGTGGATTTTACTTTTATGTATGGTTAGCGACAGTGACCTACGGTGGTTATATTTTCATATCGTAATAAGAATTAAACGCAAGAAGAACATTTACCATTTCTGTTGAAGCCTCAGACTGATAACGCGGACATTACAGGGCCCGAGACATCACAATAGAGCGGTATCTGCCATGATGTGGATAAATGTATGTATTATATATATTGTTAATGTTCTGTTTTGAGGTAAAACTGACAATTTTTACTAAAACTTTTTAATGCTAAACTAATAGCTATGACTCAAGTAAGTGAGATTTATTTTCATAGTTTGTTTAACCCATCGATATTATTTGAGGACACTGTTTAAGATATATACAGAAAACTAACTACATGGAGCTGAACCCTTGTTCAGAAGTCGTCAGTTGTGCAGGTACTCAAAAACTTCTCAACATTTTATGGAACCCGAAGGTTCATTACCGTGTTCATAGGACCCCTCCACTGGTCCCTATCATGAACCAGATCAATCCAATCCATACAACTCCATCCTATCTGTCTAAGATCCATTTTAATATTATCCACCCACCTACGCCTTGATCTTCCCAGTGGTCTCTTTCCTTCTGGCTTTCCCACCAATATCCTACATGCATTCCTCTTCTCCCCCAATCGTGCTACATGACCTGCCGATCTCATCCTCCTTGACTTGATCATTGTAATTATACTTGGAGAAGAGTACAAGTTATGAAGCTCTTCATTATGAAGTTTTCTCCAATCTCCTGTCACTTCATCTCTCTTCGGTCCAAATATTCTCCGCAACACCCTGTTCTCAAACACCCTCAGTCTGTGTTCCTCCCTTATTGTAAAAGACCATGTTTCACACCCATAGAGAAACACAGGCAAAATTATAGTTTTGTATACTGAAATTTTTATGTTTTTAGATAGGAGACGAGAAGACAAAAGGTTCTGGACTGAATGGTAGCAAGCATTACCCGAATTCAAATATTATGTTTCTGGACATTATCCATTGTCCTGTTTTTATCTAAGACACCGCCCTCTTTATATTTCAAAACAACGTTTCGGAGATTGGATTCTATCTCGTTTTTCAGGTAAAACCTATTCAGTTTGGCCCAATCGATAGAGCTATTCCATATCTCCAGAACTTTTAGACCTTAATTACCTGAATTCAATGTCCTCCTAATTTCCTCCTGAATCAAATTTTGATTTGTTACAGCAGCTCTCAAATACGTGTCACATTTCCAAAACATCTGTTAACTATCTTTATGTCATGATTTTGCCCTGAATTCTGGTGACGAGATTGCAACATATACTTAGTTTTCTCTGTCTTTACTTCTAGACAAACCTCCTTACTAGCGTCAGTTAAAGTTTGAGAAGAAAATTAAACACATTCCCTGAACTTGGAAACGGGGGAAAGAAAAGTTGTTAATGTTGATTTAATATGTAAACTCCCTGTCATCTGGTCACCCTGACGTCTCTGTGACGTCGTTAGAAAAACGTCACACTGTTTACGACACAACTTTCATAACTGCAAATAACATGTTATCGTTTTTCTAATTGTAATAATCGTTTACTATTAGACATTCAATAAATACCAGTAGAAGATCCCGTTGAAATTCAACGGTGTATAATTTGTTTCGTGTCTTTAGCATCCACGTCTGTCTTATTCCCCTTCCTTCATTCCCCTTTGCAAAAGTGAATCAAGTTACGTCTCCTTTCTTCAGGTGAGACAGAGCTGCCACGTATGTAAGTATACCAAAACTAGCATTGAATAAGAACAATGTAACATACTGTGGAATACAGACCCGTTGCTAGACAACGAACGCGAAATAAACAGCTATACAGCAGCCGTTGCTAGGTAATGGCTCTGTAAATAACGGCCGTTGCTGTGTAATGGCCGTAACAGACTCGTAACACGTAACTGGTAAGCGGTGTTCTTTAGGGAGCCCGTGCGATAGCTACGTGACGCAACAGCAGAAGAACTGATGGGAGAGGTGTTTTGTATGCGGTCCGTGCCGAGGGGTTATAAGCACGACAAATCTAGATCATAGTTACTCCCATCTCCTCGTCAGAGATGATGGCTACATAAGGACTATTACCGCAAGAGGCTCAGTAAAAAGAAAAAAAAAAATCTCTGATCGTGAGTTCCATGGGATTGACGCCGAGACGAACTGATTGGCGGTAATCCGTCAGTCGTAAAGAAACTTCGGCTATGGCTTTGACTTGTAGTTACTTGTGAGACATTCACCGGCCAGTAAGGGCGTGAACACGGAAACTGATGAAGCTACTGTGTTGGAAGTAGTTACCAGGCAACAACCGGTAAAGATACATCAGACTAAGAAGATTTAGTGCGTGCTTTAGTGAACTGCAGAGTGTGTGAATTTGCGATAACCCTATAGTTACTTCTAGTTACGATCTGTAAGTGTTCAATACATCTCAGGCATTCATCAGCATCTGCATATTTGTGATATGCTATGTGAGGTAAGGTGAAATTTACCCCTTTTCTTAACCAATTAAACACTACGCCATGAAGGCATATGGGGGAGTGGAGGATTAGGTAAACGAAAAAATCCACCTCTTCGTGACTCGAACCCGCGAACTTCCTGCTTGCCGTATGATATCCCATGTACTTTGCAAAAATTATGAGCATCGTCCTTGAAATCATAGCATTTAATGAAACGTTCCTGATGTGTTGAAGAGTTCTAGCTGCTGGCATACAACGCTGCATGAACCGTTGAAAGCCAACGGACGTTTCGGAGGAATAAACAAAACAAACTCCGTGGCCTGTAGTTCACAAGCGAACTATACCGACCGAGAGACCGCCGCTTGTCAGCGAAGTTAGTACCAACTTTAGCGGATAGAGGGTGTCGCGTGTTCAGCGCAACGAATCTCCACGACCGTTAATCTCGGTTTTCTAGACCGGAATCGCTATTTCCTTGAAATATTTCCTCAGTTATCCTCATTAGGCTGAGTTGACCCAGTTCCAAACCCACTACTTCTCAGAAAATCTGGTAGCGCCGGGAACAGAACCCGGACCTCTGGACCTGTAGCCAGGACCTCTGACCACTAGACCCAGGCTTATTTAACAATGCTGTCAGTATAGAGGATTATATAGCATCATATGGTGATTCGGGAAAGGAGTCGGTCGTCACGTAATTTCAGGCAATATCGTGACTATCTTTTGGAGCGACTGAGGAAGACTACGAACCGGTCTCAGTAGGAATGCTAGTAACTCGACATACCGGTAAAGTTTTCCTTGTTCTTAAATAATCAATTAAGCGCCACGTCATGAAGACGTGTGTGGGAGTGGAGACATAGCTCCAACATACTTCACATCAGCACTAGATAGATGTGATTGGTCAGCTTCATGTTCTTGCCGCTTTATCCCCGAGGAACATGACCACAGTAACCAATGGACAGGACGCTGGGTGCCCCACAGCCGGCATGGTCATCGTCAAGAAGAGAGAATGTCTTGGCCATGCTGGGAATGGCGAAGGCTGGCAGTCCAGCCCGTAGCCTGTCGCTACGCCGATTGAGTTATTCCGGTTCCTCACTAACCTAACGGCTTACTGATAAATTGCGACCGTAAGTAAATGTGTATTTTATCACATTCCATAAGTCGCAATGCTTATCGCGCGCTCTAACGCATCAGTCGTCTTCGCACGCTCGAACACTGGAATTGTGCGGTCGAATCCCAGTATAGGCATGGATGTCTATGTGCATTTATTGTGTGTATGTGTTGTTGTGCGTGTAAATAGCGTCCTTCAGACTGGCTTATCCCCCGTCCAAGGAGTCCTACTGAATGTGTATATGAATACGAAACTGAAAAATCGGCCAAGGTCCACAAGGGCTGTAGAACCATAGACAGAGATATATGGACAAAAGTTGCAATTAGTGGGACGGAATATTTGTTTGCTTTTCACTAGTACCAAGCAAAAGTAATTTGTGACTGTCTTGAGCAAGGCCTCTCTACCAGGCGAGTCTGAATGTTGTCACACACTGACAGAGTTGACGTTGTAACACCGATACAGGCACCAAAACAGGTAAACGAAACAACTCGAGATTGTTCTAAACAGACTATTACAAACTTAGTTTAAGGGCCCAGCATTAATAGGCGTCTTTACGCTTTAATTAACTCTTGGAAAACATAAAACATGCCTACAAACTAATTTAAAACGGAAAACAATTGAAAATATTTTCATTGTTTGCATCTTTTTGTGTTTCATGATGTGTCTTTTGGCCGTCAACACAATAAATTTATCAAAAATTAAGCCTAATATCACTGTGTTACGTTGGTTTTATTTAGTGACTGCTACATGTTTCGATCCATGTTTGGGACATCATCAGGCAGTATTCTTAAATACGTCACTCGTTATTGAATTCTCCCAATACGGATCTATATTAATGTTAATAGTTCAAATTTTTATGATATGAAGAAACTACTTAAGAACTAATATCCTCAAATAAAAATGTATAAAACACACTCCAAAGAGAAAATACCTCAATTACGACTGCAAAAAGGTAAATCAAGGAAAAACACATAAAGTAAACTTCACACATTCACTTCTGCCTCCAATGCAACTCTGTTCACAATCTCTCTTTAATTCGCAACAACACTAAAATCACAACCAACTGCTACACGTTTCAGCCTTATTTGACCCTCCTCAGGCAACTGTTCACTTTTCGAAATCTCGACAATGCACCATTTCGTAAGTCAAAATGTTTGAATGCTGTTGCATTTCCACCGTTCACAATCAAATACGTTTGTTTGAGAATATAGCTCTTTATCTTTTGCCACTTCAATATTCCGGTTTTCGGGCGTCATGTCACACTAAGAATCAGAGACAATGCCAAATAGTGGAATGACACCGTGAAAGGCCAATTTCTGGAATGTGAAATAAAACGCTGTGTTCGGTTGTGCAGGTCTCCTCACAGCCCAGTGATGAAGAGACTGTTGTGTTATATCACTGTTCTCATGGCCGAAGCGTGCGCCTTCTCGCATCAGAACGTCTCCAATCAAACTTTCCCGACAAATTTCTTGATCGGCGCTGCCACTTCAGCATTCCAGATTGAAGGAGCTTGGAACGAAAGCGGTATATTCCTCTTCCCTCGTATATTTCTTTTAAATTTCTCTGACCTTATAAATTGTCTTGTTCCTTAATAACATAACGTTTCGGAAACTGACTCTGATTCCGTCTTCAGGTATCAGAAATATCCGTTTGAAATATCTGGTTCCAATCACTGATTTATGTCTTCAGAAAAATTAAGGTGATGAATAAAGTCAAAGAAATTGAAACTAATTTTGATATACCTTTACAGAAATATTCATAGATTAACTATAGCTCGATTACTGTGACGTCACAAAGCTGCGTGAAAGGGGGGGGGAAGTGAAGGGAAACAGGAAGGCGGAGTACGTAAGCCCCTTATTTTCTTTTATTGCTAGTGGGGTGGGACTAAGTCTCTTGTACTGCAGCCACTTCTGGCCTATTGTACCAGCCCCAGATGATAGGTGAGGGTGATTGTGGAGCAGTTGGTGGAATGAAGATTGGCAGGGGAAACCGAAGTATTCGGACAAAACCTGCCCCATCCCCACTTTGTCCACAAATCCCACTTGACCAGACCAGGGATCGAACCCGGGCCGCCACGATGGGAAAACAGAGACTAACGGCTTGAGCTATGGCGCGGCCACTAAGCCCCTCAAGAGGCTCAAGAGCCACTCCTATACAGAAACCAGCTGCCAGCACTGGACTAAACTGTTTACCTCTCATACCTGCTGTATGAGGATATGGATTTTCCATTCCGCCCATACACGAAAATTGTCTTCTGCGCATGTGTCATCACATTGTAATCAAGCTCTAAAAGTCTATCCTCCACAGAACCATTATCGTCTTCCAGTATCTCTTTGAGGCTCTACATGGCTGCATCCCGACTTCTTCCCTCCCCCCCCCAAAATAAATTCAACATTAATTTCTTGTGCTAACCATAAATCCATTTCAATCCTTCTTGATTTGACAATCCTAAAAATACCAGGGTTTAAGCTGTATTTTTGGGCAATATATTCAAATTTCAAATTTATATGCAGTTATATTTTATCGATATTTGTATATTACATTTTTTTAAATTTAATTTTTCTACGAGTTGCGAAACACTGCTTAGCGATATGTCATTTGCAGGTAAAGGAGTGAGCATCTGGGACACATACGTACATACTAGACCATTCATTGTCGATGGATCGACTGGTGACATTGCTGCTGATTCGTATCATCTGTACAAACAGGATATAAAAGCACTGAAAGAGCTAGGGGTAAGTGCAGTTCTTTGTAAAACTGCATCAAATATGAAAAATAACAGAACATATTTCCATGAAAAGTCCCTTTTCGGCACAGTTTTGGGTTCTTAACGATTTCAGGCTAATTATAAATAGAGTGAAAAAGTCTTGTGAATCAAACTATGCACGCTGGACATTATATACAAGGTGTCCGGATGAAAGATGTCCAAAATAAAAAAGAATATCTCGGAAACTAAGTGTCATACACGTATCCGGTTTATGTCATCGGAAAGGAAAACTCTGAAAGTTTTTTTGTCATACCCGGCCTATGCGCATGCGCCTCCACATTTCTGCTAACATGTTGAGATTCACCTGGACTGAGAGATGGCTGGGAGATGGATCGGTTGAAGTGGATCAATTGATTGGTCTCCTAAGTCGCCAGATTTGACCCCACTGGATTTTTTCTTGAGGGGTTATGTGAAGAACATTGTCTATCAGGTTATGATCAAAGACCTTCAACATCCGAAGGCCCGTATAAGGGACGGTGTGGCTATTGAAACACCAAACGTACTTCAAGCCTGGATATTCGTCGTGCCGGGAGTCCACATTGAAATTTACTGAGAAAATCGTATACTCAGAAAAAGACTTTGATAGTTTCTCTTTGTAATGGTGTGACCCATAAATGTGTACAAGTATAATAAATTCTTTCTGAGATATATTTTCTTATTCTGGATATATATATGTACATACACTAAAGCAAAAAAATGCTTCAAATAGGCATATGTATTTGCATGTATTTGCCAATAGCAAAAGGCGAGCATTTTCCACAGTATTACGTCATTAGATTAGTAGTAAACAACTGATACATACTGATAAGGCAGTCAGGAACAGTTACTGAGGTCCGCGTCAACGGGTGGTTCAAAAGAATGAAGTAATCTACTTAAAACTTGTGAATACATTAAACCCTCGGTATAACGGATTAGTAGGGGGGAATCGGATGTCCCTTATCGCCGATGTCCGCTATAAATGGGTGAAGGGGTCTTCACGGACATACACCATAACATACATAGTCAATACATGCAATGTAATTGTGTAAAGGCTTATATATTGGGGTTATTTTTTATTTTTAAATACTTTTCTAACTATAAAACGTTCTTAGTACCTAAAACAAACAAAAACAAACTCCATGGACTGGAGTCCGCAAGCGAACTATACCGACCGAGCGACCGCCGCTTGTCGGCGAAGTTAGTGCCAACTTTTGCGGATAGAGGGTGTCGCGTGGTCAGCGCAACGAATCCCCACGGCCGTTAACCTCGGTTTTCTAGACCGGAGCCTCTATTTCCTTAAAGTTGCTCCTCAATTATCCTCACGAGGCTGAGTGGACCCCGTTCGAGACCTATTACTTCTCAAAAAAATCTGGCAGCGCCGAGAATCGAACTCTTACCACTAGACTACAAAGGCACCTCAACTCTCTAAAAATTCGCAACTCTACACAGCCAGATTTTGCCCGTTATTTCGAAAATGCGTCATATCTAGGTCCGTTATAAAGCGATTTAACTTTATTTTGTGGAACAATTTATATTGTTGGTTGTTATCATCAGTATATGCTCAACTTCAATACACAATTGCAACAGATTGTTAAGTTAACAAATATAACATAAGCCAGTAAATTTTGGAATACACGTTATCGCATATGCAAAGTCGAAGCAAGATTTATAACGAAACACTTGCTCCAGAAATCTGTTTGTTGGATATGAGAGACTCTTATGCTGTGGGGGATGCTCACTAAGATAGTTAGCTTCGTATACACATCTGAAAGCAATTAACGATTATGAAATATCTTTTCTAAAGAATAATTCTTGTAACGTTAAAGTGAATAAAAAAATTCCGTGGCCTGTAGTCCGCAAGCGAACTATACCGATAGAGAGACCGCCGCTTGTCGGCTGAATGGACCCCGTTTCAGACCCACTACTACTCAGAAAATCTGGTAGCGCCGGGAATCGAACCCGGGACCTCTGGATCTGTAGTCAGGAACTCTGACCACTAGACTACAGAGGCCGTCACAGAAGAATATCTGTTCCCGATAATGAGAATGCAGAACATATTTAACAGTCTACACAAAGGTACTGATAAGAAGCATATGCGTGTTATACACGTAAATGAATCACATTTGTTTCTATGGTAAATATTTTTTCTGTGATTTGCACCAATTGTTTCAGCTCATAGAAAATCAGTATTTTTGCTACTCAATAAACGGAAAGCCTATCTTTCTTCATATGTTCGTATACTTTGGGCAGCCGCTTAATTACCGATGTGACCTAATTAACCGAAATCCCCCGTATATTGTTCTGTGTGTGTCAAGCCTGTTATGCGCTTGTCCACTTACTATACTGGTACAAGAATCCACTTATGATAAGCCTGTTTTATGTTTCTGCAGGTGGATTTATACCGGTTCTCAATATCATGGCCTCGCATTCTGCCAACGGGACTTCTGAATGTTGTTAATCAGGCAGGAATTGATTATTACAGCAATCTTATAAATGAACTAAAGGCGAACGACATTGAACCCATGGTGAGTGCTAAGCGACATGTCATACAAAGAATTTGCAAGTATCTGGCAAGTAAGTAGAATTACGTGTTTTATTCTTTCCAATGCGACCAAGGAAATGTTGTTTGCTTTACATATGTGCATCGTTAACTACGAAAAATTGACTCATATATGTTTGCCTTTTTTAAAAGGTAAAAGTTATTCCTATTCTTAATTAATTAATCACTAGCAATGACAAATTATGTTGTACTGGAGGTATAGCTCCACCATTCTTGACCTCGGCACTAGAGTAGGCGAGTCAATTTCACGTCCCAGCAACTTTACCCCGGGGAAGGAGCCCCGGTACCTATTGCATAGGAGGCTGGATGAGCCCCAGATGTACCTGAATTCTATACAAAAAAAAAAGAGGAACTTTAATACTAGAATGGTTTGTCGAAGAAAAGTATGGTTGTTCGCCTAGTTTATAAAAGCTCCCCTTTATTTGGAAATAGAATATTTATGTGTTCACCTCGTTTCGTGTACAGTTATATAATAATAATTATTATTATTTATTTAAACTGCAAATGGGTTTCTACCCGGTGGCAGTGGTACTACAATAAGACAANACACACATCACACAAAACTACACAAACAATAAACGGCACACTACACACAATGAATACAATGCGAATACAGTTACAGCTACAAGAAATACAAGTACTTAAGGTATACAAAAGTAAAGGTATGCCTTCTACACAATAATATTCTGTATTTAAAAAACAAAGAAACTACTCTATCAGCATTTGCNGCTGTAGCGCCAAAAAAATATACTAAATATAATACTTTACTAACATCGTTAGCATTTACATATTGGGGCGTCGGAGATTGATTTCCGGGTGCTACGCTCCAGCATCCCACTCGAATTACAATTCCTACAGTACAGATCTAATTTACGGTTGTGCTTTACATTAACACCTCTACTGATTGCTCCTCGTCTAAGTTTATTCTCGCTCCATTCTCGTCCTTAATACACCTTCCAATTCCTCTGAGTTAAATCAGGATAGCGACGGGCTACTGGTTGGACGGTTGGGATTGTTACTCCCGGCAGGGGCACCAACTTTCTCTTTACCCCACAGCATCCAGACCGGTTCTGGGGTCCAAACAGTCTCCTATCCTATCTGTACCGGAGGCTTTCCCCCGGGGTAAAGCGTCCGGGGCTTGAAGCTGACCACTCACCTCCATCTAATACAGAGGTCAAGAATACGTGGATCTATACATCCACTCCACCCTACGTCTTCATGGCGTACTTCTAATTCAGTTAAGCACAGGGAAATCTTTCTACATTTTACTTCCCGAATACTAACTATTAAGAGGACAATCTCTTCTATAACTGAAGGAGTAACAGAACGTTTTTCTTGTATTGTTTAGAACTTAATTCAAGTAGTCTGTAATATGCTAAGCATGCAGCACGAATGGAATAAACCAGAATATCTATTCAAAGGCACTAACTGGAAGACAGAGGATATCATAAAGAAATATTAAAACAAGTTCTAGAAGAGGCGTGGAAGTTAACGTCATTGTAAGTCTCGAGAAATGGGGTACATTTTTTATTCCATGCTTCTCTGTTAGTGATGTGGTGTGCCTGGGGATTTACGTTTTTCAACAGCGATAATTCTGTAACATTAGTCAGTTATTCTGGGTTTTTGCTTCGAAATCTCATGCTATGCTAAAACTTGCCATTTCAGGTGACAATGTACCATTGGGATCTTCCCCAGGCACTGCAGGATCTGGGAGGCTGGGTTAATCCAGTAATAGCCGATTACTTTGAGGATTATGCACACTTGCTCTACACGCATTTTGGAGACAGGGTGAGCATCCCCTTTGTGAGCGGCCTCCGTAGTCTAGGGGTAACGTTCCCACCTCAAGACTCAAGGTACGCGGGTTCAAACCCGGCGGAGGTCGTGGAATTTTTAAGAGCGGAAAAATTCAGGGAACAAGTCCTCCGGGAGGGACTTTAAGCCGTGTGTCCCGTGTCGTAGATTTACGGCACGTAAAAGAACCTCATGTCTCTAGGAGACCTCTGAGCTAAATTACAGGCCCTTTCACGCCCAAGTAGTCTCCAATGCCTCCGGTGGATGGAGCATCAAGGCGCCGGGGGCCTACCTCATTGGCTCTACGGGGGCTGATGACACGCACCGTTACCGGTAGGGTATGGCGACAGTAGAAATTAAAGGGGGACGCACAATGGACCAATAACTGGTCTAAGTGCATGGGGAAACCCACCCCCTCTCAATATGAATACGAATCCCCTTTGTGCCGTGTCTCTTGCTATCTCGTGTCTTTATTTAAATTCTCTCATCTCATAACCTTATCTTCTTCTCCTACATCTTATTTCATTTCCCCGTTTATATCTACAATTCTTTCCTTACAATTATTTTTTTTTTCATTTTCTTTCTTTCCTTCCCAGTTTCCCGTTCTTCCTTCCTCTCTTTCGTTATTTATTCCCGTTTCTTCCTTTCTCTCAGCAGATATTCTTCTGTGACGGCCTCTGTGGTCTAGTGGTCAGAGTTCCTGGCTACAGATCCAGAGGTCCGGGTTCGATTCCTGGTGCTACCAGATTTTCTGAGAAGTAGTGAGTCTGGAACGGGGTCCACTCAGCCTCGTGAGGATAACTGAGGAGCTACTTGAATGGAAAAGTAGCGGCTCCGGTCCAGAAAACCGAAATTAACGGCCGTGGGGATCCGTTGCACTGACCACGCGGCACCCTCTATCCGCAAAAGTTAGCGCTGACTTCACGAACAAGCGGCGGTCGCTCGCGGACTAAAGCCACGGAGTTTGTTATTTATATTCTCCTGTATTCTTCATTTCTCTTCTTTGTTATTTCTTAATTATGCTGTTTTCATTGGTGTCCGGTAGCGTTCTTTATTTTTATATTTCTGTTCAGGAATTAAGGCAAAGAAATAAAGTGAAAAAGCTCTCTTCATTTGTCATAGCCACGTTAGCATCTGATGCGAATATGACTGACTTAAAAACATCTGAAACCCTTTATTCGATTTCAAACTGAAACCTTCGCACTAGTACTGCAGGTCCACGTTATACCGCGCCAAACGTCGAAAAATTCGACTCTGACAAGCATTGATTTATCTGAGAGCATATGACATCTGTTGGCATTTTTTCTGAACTACATAGACGTTGAAGAAAGCAGTCTTCTGGGATGTGGCACCGTGTAGATGTGCACGCTGCCACATCCTAGAAGACTGCTTTCTTCATAGTCACCGCCGTGAAAACCTCACATCTTACATAAACGTTATTCACCTGTACTTTTATATAGTCATATTGTATAACCACGGAATAAAAGAAGTTCAAAAACGTGGCTTAACACTGTAGGAAATAATACTGCAATAATAATGGACTGATTTAGATATACAAATGAAATGATGGTGACACTTTCGTAATATGCGCAGGTAAAATGGTGGATCACAATTAATGAGCCGATTAATATAGCATTCGGTTATGACGGCAATGAATCTCGCGCCCCAGGAGTGGACGCCAGGGGCATCGGGGGCTATCTTGCTGTCCACACCATAATCCGAGCCCATGCCAAAGCTTACCGCCTCTACGACAAGGAATTCAGGAGCAAACAGGAAGGTAGACTCGACGCATGACATTTGTGTGGGTGACTACGTCAGAGCTGGAAGGAGTGGAGTATATTTTCTCGTGTTTTACGTTTCCGAAACCTTATGCTAAAACCAACGAACATAAGCAGTGTATATGAACATATATCTACTTTTATTAAAAATAGCAGAGGTCCATATACCCATATGCCTTGCGCAGACGCAGAACTCCTCTCTTTCTTTGTTAACGGTCACCACCCGTGCAGAAATTATATTCCCTAAAATAAGTCTTAATAGTAAATTTGTTTGTCATGTGGTTAATGCTTTATTTTCGTGGGTTTATATTCTACAGATTTTAATATACTTGTACCTGATGTTGTGAATATATGTAAGGTAAAGCTGTCCCTGTACTTAACTAATTAAGCACTGTGCTATGGAGGTGTATGGGGGAGTGGATGTATAGATCCATATTTTCTGAACTTCGACACTAGTTGGGAGTGGTCAGCTTCACGCCCCTGCCACTTTACCCCCCCGGGGAAAGAGCCCCTGGTACCCGTTGGATATGAGGCTGGGCGTGCCTCAGCTCCAGTCTAGACGACGTGGAGAAAATTCTTGAGTCAACCGGAATTTCGACCCCTCAGTCGTCCAGCCCGTAGCCAGTCGCCATACTAATTACGCGAGCCCCGGCTCCCGGAAGTATATGTATGATGTGAAGAAAGATAACATGTAAAGCCATCCGTGTCACAGACCGTGGAGACTAATAGCTTTGTGAGATGTTGAAGCTCCTTCATTTTATTGACAATCGACTCACAGAATTCATTACAGATACGAAAGTATGTACATTTCGATGTCGGCTGAAACTTAACGCCATCTCTCAGACACGGAGAATAACTACATCCTCTTTGAATGAGAAAAACACACACAGTCAGTGAATCTTAATCGTCTTCCATTACACATACACATTACCACAACATAACACCAACAACACAATAACTGTAGGGTCAAAATCTGCCTTCAACTCTTCGCTTTTAGTTCCTTAGGAGAAGGGATTCGATTCCCGGTAGGGACAAAATATTCTCCTCTACATAACAGGTAGGCCGCCTTTGGGATCCACTCAGCTGCCCATACATTGGGAATTGGGGGGCTGCTTCTCCGAAGGTAAAGCGGCTAGGGCAAGAAGCTGACCCTTCACCTCCATCTACTGACGAGGTTAAGAATGGTGGAGGTATTCCTCCACCTCCCATACCCCGTCATGGAGGGTTCTTTATTAAGTAATCCCAATGTTAGAGTTACCTTTATCTTCAACAATTCTATTTTTCCATTGTATGAAATAAAATTATGTTTCAGGAAAAGTGAGCTTATCAATTCCCACCTGTTGGTTTGAACCGGTGTCCAACTCTACTGATGACGCGGAAGCTACGGAGATGCAGATGCAGCTAACAGTAAGTTCTCCTATGTCTGCAGACGACGGGAAGGTGACTTCCATAAATTTTGTCCTTTTTATGTTTCCACTTCGTGGCACATATTTCAACCAAATTTGGCATGATAATAGAGGACCTCTAGAGGCTTAGACTCTTAAAATCCCATTTTTAATTTAAGTATCCCCCTAGATTTCAGAAACCCCCTCCAAGAAAACGGATTTTTGCACATTACTGTCCGTCCTAGCGTATTCAGATCTTTTACGCTTAGGTCACGTCATAGCTCAAGCGGTTAGTCGCTGGCTTCCCACTGCGGCGGCCTGGGTTAGATCCCGGGTATGGTCAAGTGGAGTTTGTGGTGGAGAATGTGGCACTGGAGCGAGTTTTATCCGAGTACTTCGGTTTCCCCTGCCAATCTTCATTCCACCAAATTCTCCATCATCATAATCACCCGGAGCAGGTACAATAGGCCAATAACTGGCCGCCGTGTCGAGTGGACCCAGCTGAACTCCATCCATCTCTTACGTTTTATAGAACTTAGAGACAGAAAACAATTCCGTGTTACTGTATGTGCCTGACTGTTATAATTTTATAGATAATTAAATTTCAATTTTCCCGGAACGTCAATTCACAAGAAGTGCTGAAAAGTCGACAATTCAATTCTTGCATTAAAAAAAGTAGACAATAACTTCCACAATCATCTCTACTGATCAAGAAAAGAAAATTCCAGTAGATCCAATTACCGGGGAGAAATTCTTTAATATTACTCACCTCAATTCCTCCGAGCAAGTGCTCGGAGGAATTGTCTAAAATTAGGCCACGATTGATTATCATATCATTTATATGCCGATTATAGAGGGCTCTGACGATGGTTTGTAACACTCAAACTTACTGACTTTTTGCACTTCGTCAGTTTCCCTATAGTCTAAAGAACACAGTGTTTCAGGAATTAGATGTTTCCGTCTTCAGGCGAAAGGGTGGGAAGCACCTATTCTATAAAAACCTAACCTAGTTCTAGTTGTATGATAGCTCTTTCTAGCGGATAAATAGAGAATGTGCTTCCCACCTTTTCATCTGAAGAAGGAAACAGATCCAGTTTCCGAAACGTTGTGTTCTTTATAATACCAGATGCTGGATAAAGTAAAGAAGCTAAGTAATCTTGAGGATACATTACGTTTGTTAGTTTTCTACTGAGTTCTGTACTATTCATGAATGAATGAATGTATAAGGGGTAGGCCTCCTCGGCCCTTGCACCGTGACTACAGTGGTCTACTGTGCTTCCCCTTTTGATTATCCCCTCAGCAATCCTGCGCTTCAAATAAAGAGCAGGACTTTGTAAGTGGGGGCGTCGAAATAGTCACTTGGTTCCATAGAGTATTGACCCAAGTGACGCAATCTTAGATAAGCTAAGGCCTCACATTCACACAGGACATGTGTGGCTGTTTCTGCACTATTCAACTTCGGGGACTTTACTGGTGACTGTGTCAGGTTGATGACAAATGTGTGATTTTTTTATGTATAAAAGCATAAATTTTCAGCCAATTACAACTTTTATTTTAAGACAATTAAAAGGTTATAATTAAATTGTGATCACTATTGAATAGAATAATTACAATAGAGGCTGTAAGTGAAAATTTATACTTTTATATACATTTAAAATGCAACTAAAATACAACAATTCACTTTTAAATGTGTGATGTTATGACCATTCATAAACAACTCTTTTATCTCAGTTCGGTCTGTTCACCCATCCTATCTACAGTTCAGAAGGGGACTACCCATCGAGAGTAAGAGACATATTGGATAGGGTCAGTGCCGCACAAGGGCTAAGACGATCTACACTAAGACATTTCACAAACGAAGAAATTTTGAATATTAGGGGTAAGTAAAATTGTAACGATTGAAATATATATTTTTTGTATTGCTAGTGGGGTGGGACTAAGTCCCTTGTACTGCGGCCACTTCTGGCCTATTGTACCAGCCCCAGATGATAGGTAAGGGTGATTGTGGAGCAACTGGTGGAATGAAGATTGGCAGGGGAAACCGAAGTACTTGAAGAAAACCTGCCCCTGCCTCAGCGACACTTTGTCCACCACAAATCCCACTTGACCAGACCCGGGATCGAACCAAGGCCTCCGAGGTGGAAGATTTAAATAAAACACGATATTCTAATTGTTCTTTTAAAAAGATTTAAACAATGTTCCAATTATTTACCGTTTCACAATAGAATATTTGTTCTGGTAAGAAATTGTGTTCAATACAGTGCTGGAAAATTATTTTCTTAACTGTGGTAATATCACATCCCGTCTAGAAAACCGAGATTAACGGCCGTGGGGATCCGCTGCGCTGACCACACGACACCCTCTGTCCGCTAAAGTTGACACTAACTTTGACGACAAGCGGCGGTCGCTCGGTCGGTATAGTTCGCTTGAGGACTACAGGCGACGGAATTTTTGTTTTGTTATCGGTTATCTTTATGATTTCCTTGGTTTCTCTCGGTCTATGAAAGCTATGACATACCTGTACACCATACAAGACCGTCCTCCCTTCCTATTCAACGCCAGCTTCCGGAGCTGAAACATGTAACCACAGATTCAACTGATAATGTTACAGGAACGTACGATTTCTTTGGACTGAACTATTACTCACTCTGCTTTGTGAAGTCTCTCAGATCACTACACGACACAGCTACTTCAGAATTCCTCTACGCAGACATCACCGTCAGTCCCGAGTGGGCCACAGATGATCCAAATTTCAGGGTAAGAACTATCACTATGTCACTAAAGACGTATATATCTCTTGCAACGAACAAAACAAATTCCGTGGCTTGAATCCGCAAGCGAACTATACCGACTGAGCGACCGCCACTTTTTTAATTCGCTTAGCGGGGGGTGGAGTACAACTGGTTCCACTCGGCACGGCTGTCACTGAGTGGTCTATTGTAGCCTGCCCCGTGTGATTATGATGATGGAGAGTTTGGTGGAAGGAAGATTGGCAGGGGAAACCGAAGTAGTCGGAGAAAACCCGCCCCAGCGCCACGTTGTCCACCACAAATCCCACTTGACCCAACCCGGGATCGAACCCGGGTCACCGCGGTGGGAAGCCAGCGACTAACCGCTTGAGCTATGGCGCGGCCTAAAAAACCATGATTGCTGAAAATATTCTAAATATTAATTTTTCACGCTTAGATAAAGGAGAATGTAAATTTAAGGAAGTTATTTGAAGTGATTGGAATGAGTATAAACACGAACAGAAGTTTTCTTTAATCGCCCTTCAACCATTTTATTTTAAAATGAACATTTTTCTTGCAATATGGTAAAATCAGCTTTCTCTGCATATTTTTAAAGAAATTCTATACCAGTTTTAATCGTTTCTTGCATCCTGTTGTGTGTTTAATCAATAGTAGAGTCAATTTACTGACTACACAACACGTTTTTTATTATCACTACATGTTTCGACCTCAAGAGGTCATCCTCAGGTGTACGAACACGGCTGTATAATTACACGCCGTCACATTAGCTTTTTATTCGACCCTGTATCTTATCCAGACTTGCGCTCTTGAGGTAGAAACATGTAGTGATAATAAAAAACGTGTTTTCTATACCAGTAATATGGGTTCGGAACACGAAATTGTTTCCATTACAGGTAGCACCGTGGGGGTTCCGTAAATTGCTGAATTGGATCAAGAAGGAATACAACAATGTTCCAGTGTTTGTTACTGAAAATGGCTTCCCCGATGGCGGTGACATCCTGGATATTGGAAGAATTAAATATATTGTCGTAAGCAGTATAGCATCATCTCACACTGGCGTTGTAGCTGTGTCCGTCATTACACATTAGGAGAGCACTGGCTAAAGTATCCCCCTTTGTCCAGGATTTCTTAAAATCAGTTGACTGAAATAACGTTAATTTCTCATCATCTTCATGGAGTAGGCTATGCTCTGTCTGTTCCGTTATCTTGAAGATTATGTACTCGTAGATCTTTCCAAACTTAACTGTGGGCGCTCTGTGTTTGTTTGGTCTTCCTTTTTGGTTCTGCGTTAAAATTTTCTTCGTAAACCGTCTGTCTTCCGTTCGTAGAACGTGATATTTCCACTGTGTAATTTCTCACAACACACAAATATAATAAACTTCGCATAAGATGTAAAATGTAAAAAGACATTTTAAATATCTAACTGACAAATTCGATTTTGTGTGCGCATGCGTGCATGTTCTTATGGTTAAATGAGACCGAGCGCCTTAATGTTTAGGTCCCTAATTGGCCCAGATAGTTGAGAGAAACAGATCATTTGGTAAGGGAAACCGACGTACTTGAACAAAACCTACTCTTTTGCCAGTCTATCCATAAATCCCACATGAAATTAATTTGGATCCATCCCGGACCTCTGCGGCAGGAATTCTGTGACTAATCAGCAGATGTATGGTACAACAACAGATCAAAGGTAGGTCAATGGAATAGCCGCTGGCTTCCCACCGCGGCGTCCCGGGTTCGATCCCTGGTGTGGTCAAATGGGATTTGTGGTGGACAAAGTGGCGTTGGGGCAGGTTTTCTCCGAGTACTTCGGTTTCCCCTGCCAATCTTAATTCCACCAATTGCTCTACAATCACCCTCACCTATCATTTTGGGCTGGTACAATAGGCCAGAAATGGCCGCAGTACAAGGGACCTAGTCCCACCCCACTAGCAATAAAAACAATAGTTCAATGGAAGAACGAGGACTTGGGCGTGATTACGTGGGCTATAAAAAAGAACAGATATGACTCCAAACGTATAGGTTGTAAAAATTATAACATATCGTTTTATCCTATACGTCTCACATGTTTCCCTAACGACGAAACAGCATTTTAAGTTGGTCGCTTTAAACATTCGGTCTATACAGACTCTCCTAGAAACTTTTCGCACACAGAAACAGGAAGAAAACTCGCAGATTTATATCATAGATAACATGTGCAAAGATGAATTTATGTTTTTAAATTTAAATGGCGAGGGTATTCCAACTTATAGATTATTAATTACATTATTCATATTCCTTTAAAGTTTAGTCTGATGTGCACTGTCATTTCGGCCATTTTATATTTCTTAACCTCAAAGAGATTAACTTTCTAGAGGAAACTTACAACTTATTTTAATAAATGTTGTAAGAAATAAAACTATATTCTAAAATAAAATAGGTAGCAGAGTGCATATATTTTTACTTTCCGGAGTGTATCAGTTCAGTCCTCAACGTAAAAACTTTGTGTGTTCAGAGTCACATGAGCGAAATTGTGAAAGCAATCCATGAAGATGGCTGCAATGTGACTGGCTATACAGTTTGGAGTCTCATAGACAATATGGAGTGGGAAAAAGGATACACGTAAGTAACCTTTTTCATCAACATGCAACGCAGTTGATTCAAATCACAATGTTTTAAAAAAACAGTACAAGCTTCCCTGTACGTAATTTCTGAATGCTTTGTGCTATTTTGGAGGTGAAATATGCAAAAATAGGCGGAGAGACATAAACGACATCTTTGTAATGCATTTATTCTTTGCACTTACTGCAAGGTATGTGAAAATAGAACTTTGCCTATGTTTGTGAAGGCAAGACAGCAAGAAGACTGAAGCTGTTTTAGGAATAAAATGTTCGAAACAAAACAACACACTCCGTGGTTTCAGTCCGCAAACGAACTATACCGACTGAGCGACCGCCGCTTGTCAGTGAAGTTAGTGCCAACTTTAGCGGATAGGAGGTGTCGCGTATTCAGTGTAACGGATCCCCACGGCCCTTACTTTCGGTTTTCTAGACCGGAGCCGCTATTTCCTTGAAACAGCTCCTCAATTATCCTCACGAGGCTGAGTAGACTCCGTTCCAGAACCACCACTTCTCAGAAAATGTGGTAGCGCCGGGAATCGAACCCAGACCTCTGGGTCTGTAGCCAGGAACTCTGACCACTAGACCACAGAGACAGTCGTTCTCGGAAATACCGTTTTATAATAAAAGCACTAAAATGATACTTAAACGCATACTCATTCTACACTGGTAATGAATATTTATCATCTGAAAAGTGACTCACCCATTAAATGGTGTATAAATAGCATAAGTTGAGAGTATTGTTGTATATATGTGGATGCATTTTTGAATGGACCCACGTGTAACCACTGTTTTTTCTTTGGTTTTCTTGTGTGAAAACTTCAGTTGTACTGCACATGTTCTTGTATTTATATGGCATGCCGATCACAGTGGCCGCACGGTCTAAGGCATGAATTGTCTTCGCTCGCTCAAACGCTGGGATCATGGGTTCGAATCCCACTCAATTCCCTCAAGGTATGGATGTCTGGGATGCCTGTGAGTGCATTTATTCTGCTTTTGTATTGTCCTGTGTTTAGGTAGCGGCCCTGCGACGGGCTGATCACTTGTTCAAGGAGTCCTGCAGCTTGTGTAAAAAAGATTACGAAACTGAAGAAGAGGCTAGGGCCAAATAAAGGGCTGCAGAGCCATTAATGAATGAATGAATGAACAAATGAAATGAATTTATATGACTTATCCGACATCCTACAGTCGTCATTTTGACTAACTTTGGATCCAGTGAATGCGATTTAATGCAATAATAATGTAAAGAACTTGCATAAAATTTAGGAAGTTCTTAAATAGCTGCACAATTGAAGGATCTCAAGAAAGGCTCAGATCCATGAAATTACTTATGGAAGAAGTTATGAAAAATTAAAAAGCATTATGTTGGTGTCTCCACCTAATCGTGGTGAGGGGGTTTGAGTATGCCAAGGACCCTGAGAGCTATACCAGCGGTAGCGTAGCTACTGGCAGGGCCTCCCTTGCTGGACAGGTCAAAGGGTAGGCATCAGACGAAGAGAGACACCAAAAACTGATGCCGGAAGCAGCGTCATCAGTAGCGACTTGAAGCACAGAGCAAATGATGCTCGAGTTGGTTCAAGTTCGTATAGCAGCAGGCGTGACCAGAGTGGTTTGAACGGCTGCTGTACTGCGATGTGGAAAGCAAATGGAAAAACTACCACATTATCACTTTTCCTGGATAGTCTCTTTCCAAAAACAGAGATACCATATATGCGAGATGTTTCCTCTGGAGGCAAAACAATCCGGAGGTAAACTACTCCCCCAATCGGATCTCCGGGGGGGAGTGTTTCTAGAGGAAATGTCATGCAGGCGTTACAACAAGAAAAAGTGCGAAGATCAGAAGAAACAGCATGGATACAAGATTGGAACATGGAATGTCAGGACCTTGAATCAAGCAGGAAAATTGGAGAATTTGAAAACGGAAATGCAGAAGAATGAAGTGTCTGTGCTAGGTGTCAGCGAAGTGCGGTGGAAAGGACAAGGTGAAATAAGAAGCGGTGATTATACAGTGTATTATTCCGGAGGTGAACGGGCTGAAAGAGGTGTGGCAATAGTGGTGCATAAAAGTGTAGTGAGGAGTGTTGTTAAGAAGATTGCTTGTAATGACAGAATTATTGCTCTGAAGTTAAAGGCGGAACCGGTAGATATACTGATTATACAAGTGTACATGCCAACATCAGAGTATGAAGATGATGAAGTGGAAAAAGTGTATGACACAATTGAAGAAATTCTTCAGGAAGATGGAAGAGGAGACACAAACAGCATCATATTGGGAGACTGGAACAGCATTGTTGGAGATGAACCATATCAGAATATTGTTGGATCACATGGACTAGGAAGACGGAATCACAGAGGTCAAATGCTTATTGACTTTTGTGAACGAAATGGATTGATTGTTACCAACACTTGGTTCAAGAAGCCAAAGAGAAGAATTTACACATGGAAGGCACCTGGGGATTGGAAGAGGCATCAGCTGGACTACATCCTTGTGAAACATCGATTCAGAAACAGTGTGAAGGATGTGAAGACGCTTCCTGGGGCAGACATTGACTCTGACCACAACTTGCTGGTTGCCAAGTTCCGAACCAGGTTGAAGAAAATTATAGGATTTCGAAAGCGCAGACCCAGATGGGATTTGGAGAAGTTATATGCTCAAAGACAAAGCGTGCAAGAGACTCTAGAAGAGAAACTCGGTGCAATTGAAGGTGAAAGCGGAAATGCTGAAGCGCAGTGGAACGATATAAAAGAATGCATGTTAGATACTATCAGTGATTTGGTAGGTAAAGTTGAGAAGATAGCAAGAAAACCATGGGTTACACAGGAGATGATGAGTAAAATGGAGGAGCGAAGGAAATGGAAGAATGTCAACAATGAAGAAGGCAGGAGGAAATACAGGAGACTGAGGAATGAATTGAAAAGAGCCACGGACAGGGCCAAAAAGGAATATCTTGAGAAGATATGTAATGAGATTATGGAATTTCAAAGAACAGGCCGTTATGATTTGATGTACATGAAGACAAAAGAACTAGGATGGAAAGAGAATCATGGGATTCAAAATGTTGGCATCGAAGACTCCCAGGGGAATAGAATAGTAGATCAGAGGCAAGTGCTGAAAATTTGGGAAAATTATATTTCAGAACTATATGATCGACCTAATCGGCCAGAAACCTTAGAAGTTGAACCGGAAGAAGAAGTAGATACAGACGAGAAAGGACCATATATTTTACAAAGTGAGGTGGAAAAAGCTATCAAGGAAATGAGGAAGGGAAAGGCTACAGGAGATGATGATGTACCTGGAGATGTGCTCAAGTTACTGGGAGAAGGTGGTTTGAAAACACTGACAAAACTAATGAACACCATATATGAAAGTGGAGAGTGGCCCAAGGACTTTACAGAAGTTACAATGATTGCCTTAAAGAAAAAGACAAAAGCTACAAAATGCAGCGACCATCGCACAATAAGTCTTATTGCACATACAGCAAAGATAATAGCAAAGATACTTAAAAGAAGAATTGAAAGGAAAATAGAGGATGTACTTGGAGAAGATCAGTTTGGATTTAGAAGAGGAAAAGGAACCAGGGATGCAATTGGGATGATGAGAATTATAGCGGAACGAACTTTGGAGATAGATGAAGAACTGTGTGTTTGCTTCATAGACTGGCAGAAGGCATTTGACCGGGTAAACTGGACCAAATTAATGCAGATCCTGAAAGAAACAGGTATCGATTGGCATGAAAGAAGATTGATTAGCAAATTGTACATGGATCAGAAAGTTAGAGTACGACTGGACAGGGGGGAGACAGGAAGTGTGCAGATTGGAAGAGGAGTTCGACAAGGATGCTGTTTATCACCAATTCTGTTCAACTTGTACAGCGAATGCCTTACCAAGGAAGCTCTGGATGGGCTCGGTGACTTCAAAGTAGGAGGGCAAATTATTCAAACTGTGAAATATGCAGATGACCTTGTGTTAATGGCTAAGGAAGAAACTGTGCTACAGGGCATGATTGATAGACTAATTGAAATTGGAAGGTGCTATGGCATGGAAATGAATGTGGAGAAAACAAAAGTAATGAAAATTTCGAGACAACCAACCCCAGTCACAATAAAGATAGACCAAAAACAAGTGGAGAATGTGAAATGTTTTAAATATTTGGGTAGCTTGTTAACAGATGATGGAAGGTGTACTTGTGAAATTAAATCCAGGATTGCCATGGCAAAAGCTGCATTTAGCAAGAAGAAGAATCTTTTTACCAGCAAATTGGACTTAAATTTGAGGAAGAAACTAGTGAAATGCTACATTTGGAGCATAGCTCTGTATGGGGCTGAAACATGGACACTTAGGGCAGTAGATCAGAAACATCTGGAAAGTTTCGAAATGTGGTGTTGGAGAAGAATGGAGAAGATCAGTTGGACCGATTATGTGAGAAATGAAGAAGTGTTAATTAGAGTCAGTGAGCAGAGGAATATCCTACATGAAATAAGAAAACGGAAGGCTAATTGGATTGGTCATGTTTTACGCAGAAACTGCCTTCTAAAAGAAGCTATCGAAGGAAAGATAGATGGGCGGATAGAAGTGACAAGAAGACGAGGAAGAAGACGTAAGAAGATGCTGGATGACCTTGGGGACAGAAGAGGATACTGTCATTTGAAGGAGAAAGCTCTAGATCGCATTAAGTGGAGGAATTGTTTTGAAAGAGACTGTGGACCTGTCGTCTTGACAGATTACTGATGATGATGATGATGAAAAAACATGTCTTCAAGGGTTGAATAATCGTGAACCGACGAAAAAAAATTCCTGTACGATGGAATTAGTCATTCAGTTAATTACTAAGTCAACTAGCAGTTAATTCCTAGGTTAATTATCCAAACAGTAATTCAATCAAGTCAGTTAGTTAGTTAGTTAGTTATTGGAGAGGGTGGGTTTCCCCATGCACTTAGACCTGTATTGGTCCATTGTGCTTCCCTCTATGATTTCTACCAGTCTCTATATCCTACCGGTACTGGTGCTTACCATCAGTCTCGACCAGCCAGCGAGACCGGCTCTACTAGCTGAGAGGTATCTATAATGCTTCCCCCATCTACCAGAGGTATTAGAGACTGCTGTTGGGCGGGAAACGTCCGTAATTTGGCTCAGTGACCTCCTTTGGAGATATGAGGTTCTTTTACGTGCCGTAAAGCTACGACACGGGACCCACGGCTTAAAGTCCCTCCCGGAGGACTTGTTCCCTGAAATTTTCCGCCCTTAAAAATTCGACGATCTCCGCCGGGTATTTGAACCCGCGTACTACGAGTCATGAGGTGGGAACGTTACCTCTAGACTATGGAGGCCGCTAATCAAGTCAGTTAGTTAGGAATACAGGCAACAGGAATACAGACTAGCTGATTACTAATAACCTAGATATTTCCTCTTCAGTTTCGATAACTGCATGCGATACCTTGGCCAAGACTTAAAAGAGAAATGTTGAGCTTACATTAAAATTTTTAACACAGAACTATCATTGGCTATGACTTGAAGGTTTTTTGTTTGATTTTCCACAGAGAGAAGTACGGTTTGTACCACGTCAATTTCAGCGACCCAAACCGTCAACGTAAACCGAAGAGTTCTGCTTATATTTTCTCCGAAATTACGAGAAAGCGTGAGCTACCGAGATATTTTCTGGATATCACAGGAGAATTTTTGGAAATCATACCGTCTGAGATTATAAAGGAACGTAATGCTCAAATAAGCAATTCATCCTCGTCCCGTCATAACGCCGCATCCTGGGGTTGGAAGTTATTGACTTACAGTAAGGACTTCCTGATCATAATGTTGGCAACAGTGATCATCAGCTGTTTCGTCTTCAGATCAAGTTAATAGTTTATTTCATAATAGTGGAAACAACGCATGAAGGGGTCTGTTCCGTTTAATATTATTTTGTAGAAATACTGAAATTGTGATTTATAAAGTCTGCAGTATGTAAATATAGCGTGAAAGAGCCAATGACTGATAATGTTAGTGCCATACGCTAAAGAAAGAGGGGGAAAGGGTATTGACTAGCTACTGGTGGCGGTCTCTTGCGAACTCAGACGGAAACTGTAGGTCCTGCGAACAGCGGCATGTTTACCGATTTAGTGTGATTTGCTCTATATCTGGACAGATTGTTGTATGGACACTGGAACAATATATCCTTTTTGCGTTTTGACAACTAGACAAGTAAATAGGTAAGTTAAACACATTTGTTTTTTTTTCTCTGTTATTAAATCAATATTTCTGTGAATACATAGCTTTCCTGAACACAGTGGTATAATTTTTGTTTCCTCCCAGAGTTCTCGATCAAAATATTCTTCAACCTTGAGGTTTATTTTTTGCATGCTGTTCCTAGTCCCATCCTTCCATGTACTGACTGGTCACCCACGCCTGCTTTTCCCATGCGGGTTCCATTCTGCAACCTGTCTAGCAATTCTGCACCCCTCCATTTGCATGACGTGACCATACCATTTTAGTTCCTGTTCTTTTGTTTCCTGTAATATATATCCTTTCATTCTAATTTTTGTTCTAATTATTTCATTTCTAATTCTCTCCATTCGTGATGTCCTTGCCGAACTCCTTAGATGATCCAATTCTGTAGCTATTAATTTACGTCTGTGTTTCCGTTTTATTTACCATGATCAGCTCCATATGTTAATATAATTTTTACTATTGATTTTATATTAATAACACTGTTCAGTGTAAAATATTTCTATTCCATAAACCGAAACTGAGCATATCAATAACCCTTCTTGTGCCACCAATATTTGTTTTCGATTTCAAGGTCACGTAGCTATCTGCACGGACCACGTAGAGAACACCGCCCCCTAGTTACTCCATTGTTGCACGTTACGAATCTATTGCCTAGCAACGGACGTGTTTGCAGAGTGGTTTCTTAGAAATGGCTGTCTCTTCTGGCTTCACAATTCTGGCTTTCAGCAGTCATGCCGCAATATCAAGTTGTTCTTGCCGAATATTTAATTTTCAAGAATTTGCCTAATAACATGAATATGATCTATGGTTGATCTTCCTTTGGTGAAACCACTTTCTTCCTCATTTCCTTTCTTCTATATAACGCTTTTCTATATCATTTTCATTAAATTACTCAAGAACTTTATAAATGGATTTGTGATGCTGTTGCCTCTATAACTCTCCCGCTTCTATTTATTTGTTTATCCTATTTTCATTACTTGTTGAATGTTATCTCCCTGTACTAGTTTATTTAATAATTTCGTTACCAACGTTAACACTTTTTTTTTCACCAAATTTTATTAATTCTAAGTTGATATTGCCAGGTCCAGGAAATTTTCATTCATCATATTATTCATTACTTCATGATGGCAAAATACTCCTTTTTGAGCCATAGCCTTCCTTAGAAGATTCTTCCAGACTGCATCCGGCTTTTGCTTCTTTGGATTTCGCAACAGTAATTTGTTTACAGCCTTGCGTCCAACCCCCAACCCGAAGGACCAAGTCCCTGTATTTATATCCCCCAGGAACGGGGTAGCCCAGTTATATCCCCAGGCACTGCGTTCCTCTTTCCTTCGCCTTCTACGACACGTAGGGTTACGGTGGAGGTATTCAAACCCGCCTCCACACAGTGGTCATATTCTTTTCAGTAGTAAAGTAAGTAAAGTAAAGCTATCCCTGTAAGAGGCTGTAAAGGCTCGTAGGGTTGTGAGACGTCGAGGGTCCCACATTATCTAAACGATGGTGGTAAGGTTATCAGCCTTACGCGCCGGCCGCGCTTTACTCCCCAGGAAAGTTAATTCCTGGTACTCATTTCTGTTAGAGGCTGAGTCGACCCCAGGGCTATAGTGCGGCTGGAAGTATTACGTCAATTGAAAAAAAAAATCTAATGACCTCATCGGGACTTTAACCCGCGATCTTCCGGCTTGTAGCATAGCCCCTCAACCAACTACGCTACCACAAAATCATAATATTCAGAAAACTTTGACGATACCTGTGCCGTCATGTAAGAATGAATACTATTTTCATCATGTTGTGTTAATGAAGACCGCCTCTGTGGTCTAGTGGTCCGAGTTCCTGGCTACATATCCAGAGTTCCCGGGTTCGATTCCCGGATCTACCAGATTTTCTGAGAAGTAGTGGGTCTGGAACGGGGTCCACTCAGCTTCGTGAGGATAATTGAGGACCTATTTCAAGGAAATATCGGCTCCGGTCTTGAAAACCGAGATTAACGGCCGAGGGGATCCGTTAGGCTGACCACGTGACACCATCTATCCGCTAAAGTTAGCACTAACTTCGCCGACAAGCGGCGGTCGCTCGGTCGGTATAGTTCGCTTGCGGACTACAGGCCACTGAGGGTTTTTTTTGTGTTAAGGAATGAAGTCATATGGGGACCGCCTACGCATCAGGTGTTAATGAATTTAATAAAATCAAATTAACATTGAGAGAAGGTCTATATGAAAATTACTGTTGTTGTTCTCTGCCAGTACGTTTTGATCGTACACATCATCACCATACGGTTCATAAATAAATTACATGACCACTGAATTTCAAAATTAAACTGAATCCATTATTCAGAGTAGAAATATTCTAATGTTAAAGTAATGTGAATTGGGCAACCATAGTGTTCCTTGATACTTCGCACTTTTATATTTTGTGCTGTGAACTGCGTTTTCTCCGGCATATGTGTGTGTGTGTACGTATTATAACATTACGTAATAAGGACATGATAACCCTAGTTCTGGTTGAAAGAAACATTTTATCTGATTCTACTAGAATCTAAGAACCTGGACGAAAAATTTTTGAGAATAGGAGAATACTTGGGCCGGAGAGAGAAGAAGTGACAGGAAGTTGGAGAAAACTGCATAATGACGAGCTTCGTTGTACGCATCTCCAAGTACAGGGTTACTACAACTGATTCATTCCATTTCAAAACACTATACTCTCCAAAGTAGTATACATACGAACATGATTGGTACATGAAAAGAACCGCAAACTCACCAAGTTTACATCGTGATACACCAGTTGGCAGCATGAGTGCAGTGCCTCACAAAATGGCTACGAAGCTGGAAAAGAGTTTCTGTGTGTTGAAATATGCGAGATGTTCTTCTGTTATTGCAGTGCAGCGTGCATTCAGAGCAGAGCACAGAAAAGAACCGCCATGTAGACAGAGCACTGTGCGGTGGTATCGGCAGTTTAAGGATACTGGTTGTCTGTGTAAACGGAAACGCACGGGGCGACCAATATAGTGTTTTGAAATGGAATGAATCATTTGTAGTAACCCTGTTTAATTAGAATGATCAAATCAAGGAGGATGAGATGGGCAGGGCGTGTGGCATACATGGGAAAAAAAGAGGAATGCATATAGGGGTTTGGTGTTGAAAGCCAAAAGCAAATAGACTACTAAGAAGAATTAAACGTAGGTGTGAGGATGATATTAAAAGGAGATCTTAAAGAAATAAGATGGGGTGTTGTGAAATGCATTCATCTGGTTCAGGAAAGAGATCAGTGGCGGTCTTTTGTCAACACGGTAATGAACCTTCGGGTTCCGTAACGTATCGGTAATGGTAAAGGTTTACCCCCACTGTGTCAGTTGTTTAGCGCAGCAAAGCGATAAGTGTTACCTGTAGCTTCGAGGCAGCGATACAAGTTAATCAGATTGTTTCCAATTCTTTAATCAGAATGATTAACGACTTAGCATCTAAGACAAAGGAACCAACATTTACTGATGCTACATCTAAACTATATAATTGTTTTACAGTAACATTAGAATTAGTTGCTGTGAATTGTGTAATTATCCAGCATTTGAGGTTTTCACAGCGGTAGTTAGGAAGACTAGTGTCTTCTGGGATATCAATTCGTGTGGTCCTTTGAAATTCAACAGATATTTGGCTCTGCTTCCCACCTGCTTTCCCGGCATATTTTTCGAACCTGAAGATGGAAGCGACATGATCCACCGAAATGTCGGTTGACTCTCAACGGACCACAGGGTGTTACATGCCAGAAGATGCAACTCTAGTGTAAATTATGTTCAGTCATAATAATGATTTAGGTTGTATCGAGGATGTTAGCTCCATCCTCGCTGCAGTGAATCCACGAGATGTCATAGTTTACAAGCCGAATTTCTTGCGATTAACCTTGAGCTCTGTGACTGGACTACGTTAGCACCAAAGAAAGGGGGATTAACGATCAAACGACGTAGGCAACAGTGGTGACGTCGGCCGGTTGAAGACGGGAACAGCTGCACAGAAAACGCCGATTAATACGAGGAAGAAGTGTCCATTTAAGTGAATACATGAGAATCCCGAAAGATGTCAAGCCTCATTACCGAACTTCGTGACGTCATGTAGTGAAGCCTTTTCTTTTAATGTTGTTGTATCCCGCGGTTGAGGGATAAGGTTGGCCTGGGGCGAGCGGATCCCTTGGGAGGCAGAATGGGGTGTACCTCTCAGCAGTTGTAATATAACTGAAGTTTTATTACTAACAAATGAATTACAGGATCTTGCTGGAAACGTAGAAGTGGTTATCTGCCTAAGCTACGGGCAGTACCGACTATTAGAATGACATACAAGTAGTCTCAGCTAGTTGAATGATCTAAAAGCACTTGGGGCGTCAGTCCTTGGGGTTTTATACTACAATTAAAGACTGAGTCCCGGATTATGCCCAAATATGGTTACAAAAGTAGTCACTTGAACTTCAATCTCGGCTGCTGTATTATTCCCAGCGCTGTGCGGGCCCTCACTCCAAATGTGACGTAGTGTCTCGGGTCACAAGTTCAATTGATATCCGGCCGGCTGACAAACACTTTTGGGGAAGAATACAGTTTACACAGCTTATACATATATTCTGTTAAAATAATCCAATTATATGCAATACCTTGGTATTTGTACCTATTTCTACAGGTAATTTAATATCATCATTATATGCAATACATCCCTTCTAGACCCCTATACAACACAGTTTACATGCCGAATTTCTTGCAATTAACCTTGAGCTCTGTGATTGGACTACGTCAGCACCAAAGAAAGGGGGATTAACGATCAAACGACGTAGGCAACAATGGAGACGTCGGCCGGTTTAAGACGGGAACAGCTGCACAGAAAACGCCGATTAATACGAGGAAGAAGTGTCCATTTAAGTGAATACATGAGAATCCCGAAAGATGTCAAGCCTCATTACCGAACTTCGTGACGTCATGTAGTGAAGCCTTTTCTTTTAATGTTT